TGAAGGATTCCCCCACGCCGGCACACCCGGTCTTTTGACAGAGAAGCCAATGTGGCTTCCTTGTAGCAGGCACACTTAAATCAAGGAGGGGAGAAGAACAAGGCCGGGGGCTTCAGAAAGACACCTTGGTAACGCCTCCAGCAGCGGGGGGCGGGGGGGCTTGTAGCCTGCAGCCCCGGAGTCCGACCTGGCCACAAACTCTGGCATGTGGACCGAGTGAGGGGTGCGGCGCGCACGGGGAGCTGGAGGACCAGAGGGCAGGACAGAGCCGGAACAAGGTGGGTGGCGAGCGGCATCGTGGGTTCCCACTGGCAGGTCTGCTCTGGATAGTCGTGTTGCCGCAGCCGCTGCCACGTTCCTTTTGGTCTGCGGTGCTGAAACTCAAGCGGCCACTTGTGGGCACCTGGAGATGCATGGAGAGGAAGGGCAGGACGCGGCGTGAAGCATGGAGAGCGGGGAATGAGGGCCGGGCGTCCTGGGATGGACGGCGATGCATTTCGGCCATTTCCGTGGCCACGCTGGGACAAAACTCACCTGGGTCCGCCTGTGGCCGAGGATCGGCCTTTTCCGGCTGCCCCTTTCCAGAGTGAACAGACAGAGGTTACAAGGACATTGGTGCTTCTGCCTTGCCATCTAGTGGCTGAGGCAGGCCTGGCATCGCGAACGGAGGCCGGGCTCTTTCGGAGACTTCCGTGCACAGTATTGATCTGCTCGGCTTTGCATCCCATCTTAATCTCAGGAACTTGGAACAGCTCATGACTGACCTGGAAAAATATATTCTCCAAGCCTAGAGTATAATTTTGCAGCATCAAGATAAACTCCTGCCAAAGAAAACAGACGCCCAACTCAGCATTATAAACCTTGCTCTCGTTTAAACCTAACAAAGACAATGTAAACGGAAAGGTCTTTTGCATGTCAGAACAGGAGAACTTCGTACAATTAAAATACAAGTTGCATGACACAGGGAACATGTAAGGGGCAAGATCACATTCGCTGATTGTGGCCCGGGCTGTTTGTTCAACTGAACCGGGGATGAGCTGTCACTGCCCACATCCCGCAAACAGACCTAATTCTGGCACATACTGGTCTTCTGAATGCGTGGATCCAGCAGGCACAATCGCAAGCCTGCATGTTTACCACATGGGGCCTTTATCAAACAACACAAAGGCTGAAAAGGAAAATATTTTCTGCCTCTCCAAGAGTAACGATATTGCACACCCCCCAAGCAGCGTTCCTGCCCGTGCGAGAAAACCTGGCAGGTCTGCGCATCCTTCTGTGTGTGTGGAGAAAAGCAGCTTGGGAGAAGCCTGGCTTTTCCTGGGGAAACAGCCTGTGGACAAGTGGGAAATCACGCACCCCACACCGCTTCAGTCAGATTTGGAGCCCCAGATACAGTCGGAACAAGCACGGGGCAGCCCGCATGTCTCTCGCGTCTGGTTTGTTTGGGATCACAGCCCTAGCCCTTTGGCGGTGCTTCTCTAACGCCGAGTGATCTCAGTGTGCTCTGCGCAGCTGCAGGTCAGCTGGTGTCAATTTATCATCCGATTTAAAACAGGACTTGGAAATAAAGCAAATACGCTTGGCAAATGAGGGTTAAAAGACCAAGAGCACCAGTGGGCGCATTCGGCCGGAAAGCCCTTGCGCAAGCATTCGGCAGCCAGCGCAGGCGGCTGGTTTGGGAGGTGATGCCCCTTTCCCTTTTGGTCCTAAAAATGCCTAGGATGCATCCTAAATCTTTGAGGGGTGAGATGGGATTTCCTCCAAAAACGTAGCTGAAAGTAAGCCTTAGATATACAGAACTTCTAAGTATCTGAGCTATTTTCTGCAGCCAAATCTCCCATTTCTCAAACTGGTGGGAGTGTTTACAAGGGAAAATAACTAATGGAACGAGTGGAGAATTTCCATTACACAGTCGCTACAGGGAACCCTCTGGCTGGGCCTTGATTGTTTTAATGTGTTCTTGCATGCCACCATCCTTACAAGGTCACATTTTTTAGCCGACACGTTGCGTTGCCTTCACCAGACCATGTAAGGAGAAAACGAATCTGCTGCAGACACGGGAATTTTGTCAGAAGCATCATTCCACCTGATCACCATGGAGCTGTGCTTCCCACCCAAGGCAGCCAGCAAAAGGCTTTGGTCTCGCTTCCCTGGACTCGAGGGCGGAGGCCCGGACACGGAGGTCAAAACACCCACAGAGCAAGGATGCTTTTGTAGCGGCAGTGAGTGAGGCAGCGACCTGACCTTCGGAGCCGGGCGATCTAAAGTAAAACATCTGTCTTTGAGATGGTAAACGTTCATCAATCCCTGATGATAGTTACCTGGAAAACTTGCCAAGGCCCATACTAATTCATGGAGAAAGTCAACCTTCTTCCTCCATCTACCTTGGGAAAAGTCCCCTGGGAATCTTCTTTATAAACTTACTGGGTTTCCCATCAGATTTTGGTAAGCAGGTCTCTCATGGAGTTGGTAATGTCTGACCAGAAGCCCTTAGACTTATCAAGGGATTTTAATAGCCTGGGGCATTTAGGTAGAAACAGCGCTAGTCAGAAGGGGCCTCCTGAGCCATCTAGTCTGACCTCCGGCACCAGCCAGCTCCGCTCACGACATGCCCACCATGTGGACGTCCAGCCTATCCTTGAACACCCGCACCGATGGGGCCTCAACCATCCCCCATGGAAGCCCATTCCACACCCTCGGGGTCCTGACTGTCAGGAAGCGCTTCCTGGCATCTAAATGGAACCGTGGCTCCCTGAGCTTGGCTCTGTTGGAGCGCGCCCTGCCTTCCTCTGCAGGGGAGAACAGGTCACAGGTAATGTGTCGTCATGGGAGTTGATGGTCAAAATTATTGGCATCACCTATTTCAACAAGTCTATATTGTTGTCATTGTTATAAAGTATATATTCTAGCTGGTTTAATTCTATTTTTAAGTTCTCTACATTTCTATTAATGTTTTAACTCTATGAAGCTGCCTTGGGTCACAATCCTGGGAATAGGCAGAACGTGCATAGATATATACATACATAACTGTGCTAATAACAACAACCCCATACCCTTATTGGCCTTGTTAAAAGCTCAAGCTAACTCATATTAAGGCATAAACCACAAACCTTAACATCCGAAAGACTTATTCTGCAATGAGCCTTCCTGGATACCTTTCACACCATCAGATGCAGTTTGAATGTGAGGACTCGGATTTCTGTTGACGTGAGTAATGCCATGACTCTGGCTTGGATGGGCATCCCATACCAGGCCAAGCCACTGTTTCCCCAGAACTGAATGAGAGACTAAGGCCCTAATCCTATCGCGATGCCCTAAGCCCCCTAACTCGTCTGCAGCAGCAGTGGCAGAGGGAACACCCAGCAGACTGGGGGGGGGGGAACGCGCCAACGAGCAGCTCCTGGGACATCTCTTTGCCAGCACCACCTTTCAGGGGAATGGAGCCAGGGATGTGGGACTCCCTGGGGGCCCGTCTACAGCAGCCCCTTCTCTGGGCTGAGCCTTGGTATCGCGAACCGGAGAGTCACTGCAGGCTAAAAATGGCATGGACCAACCATTCACTCTTCAGTGGAGTGAGTTCTATTTATTTTGAAAGAAGGCTCCGAGGTCGAATAGGAAAAGATGGATCACTGGATTGGGTTATCAGGGTACGCCCACACACGAACAGCCATCGTATTTTCCAATAAGCTGCAGTTAACCGTTTAATTAAGCTGAGCTCTCAAAGCTCTGTGACTCGTGGAGGTGATGCAGGCAGTGAAGGGTGTTCCCCCCAGGCCCCTTTTCCTTGGAACAGAAGCCTGGGAGTTCCTTGGGAGGCTGCTAGCCAGCAGGTGGACGAGAGACGGGCCAAGCAAGAACGATTTCCCACCGTGATCGCATCCTCTCAGCATGATCTCACAAAGCCTTCTCAGTGCTTACGGTCTGCTGCAATGAGGAACAGGAAAGGATATGGCAGAAGGATCAGTAGCTCCCTTGACAAGCTGTCAGGACACCTGCCAATGATACAATAGCTCGCGTCCATCACACTTTGGCTCCATGGGGTGTGGAGGGATCCGAACTGCCGCTGGGAACGCAATGGGGTCCTTGGCCTGGGCTTCCCAGCCCCCGGGCTGGTTTGCTGCACCCAGAGGCAGAGTTCCTGCCATGCACACCCAGTGCGTCTGAGGTGCTGCCCAGGAGCTGAGCACCACGCTCGGGGCAAAGAGGGCTGGATTCCAGGTAGCTTCACCCTAGCCCTGCTGTTCCATTAGTCACGGTGTCTGGAGCATTGACTGGTCTTGTACTGAGTTACTTTCCACTGTTTACACATGAAGACAGACTTGAGTGCTTGGATGACCACCTGTGTGCTTGACCCTTGCCCTTTAGTAGAAAGGGGTGTCCAACTGGGCCCAGGAGACTGTACATTGCTCCTTGAAAGACAGGCTGATACCAGGTTTTTCGAAAGAGGATGTGATTAGACCCTCCCGAAGAAACCTGGACTCGATCTGGAAGGTGTGCATTGGAGGCCCATCGCCAGCACCTCCAACCTGGGCCAGGTGCCTGAGCTGGGTGTGGCTACAGACAAATTGGATGGAAGGACAGCGGGAGGGAGACCCTGCTGATTCTCTTGGACTTCTCCTTGGCTTTTCACATCAGCAGTGATGGTGTTACTCCAAGACCCCAGTATGGTGGGGTGCTCTGTGTGTTGGACTGGAGCTCAGGAGAGCCAGGGTCTTGTCCCCATTTGACCAAGACATTTGCTGGGTGACTCTGGGCCAGTCACTGACTCGCAGCCTAACCTACCTCACAGGATTGTTGTTATGGGATGAAACTGAGCGATGTAAGGCACAAGGTGAAAAACGGTGGGGTAGAAGTCGATGCAATAAGAATTCTATTTCTGGCAAACTTATACTAGACTAGTGGTGGTCACGAAATACTGGTGCTTATGTCTGCATTTCCAGGTGTCATAATTTCTAACAAAAGTGCCTAGCAAAACTGAACAAAGAACAACCACCACAACAAATAGTGCTATACTTTATTTAGTACTGGATAAAAAGCTGAGTAAATACGTTGAACCTTATCCGAATATGACTTGTACATTCGGTTTCTGTACACTTCAAAACAAGAATTCCTGTATTCCAGCAAACAATAATTCCCTAAAACTTCAAACAAGTCTATTATGAAGTAAGATCCACTTGGAAATTCTCCTTCCAGGGCCCCATGAAAAAAATGTGGTGCATAGACACCTCATTCCTTTCAATGGGGTTTGTGTTGGAGAAGTTCCAAGAACCTTCTGTCCATCAAGATTAGATATGATTCTGTAGTAATAACAGAGGGATATAATGAGTATCAATACACTACCAATAAGGTGTAACTTGTAATAATAAATGCAGGCTAAATATATAACTTAACTGGAAATAAAGCTTTCACTGACCCACTATCTCTGCAGCAGGCTCCAAAATGAAAATAAATCAGCATTGCTTTCCCTGATTTGCATTGCAGGAAAACCACACAGGGTGTGTGTGTGTTACAAAACTGCATTTTTCAGCCCTTTTGGAAGAGTAGGTTTGGCAGACCATGTTTACAGCAGTTTACAGTCGACTAGCCTCATGGTTCCTTGTCTGAAATGTGCCTAAACAGAGATTACATGTTCTCATTTGTGGTGGTGTAATTAAAGAATGGCACCAATTTGTCAAGAACAAAAGCTGGGTAGGCCCCCTAAGCCAGGCATGTGCGAGAGGCGAGAGCGAAGCGCTGGAGCGCCAGCTTTCCCTGCCTGCAGTGCGCTGGCTTATCGCTCCACTCAGCCTCTGGCTTCCAACCCCTCTGCCTGCCACATGATGGATCGGGAGGAACGCCAAGGGACGGGTAGCCAGTCCTATCTGGCAGGACGTGGGGACGGAGTCTCTCCTCCTCCCTCCCTCTCTCAATGAGGTGGTGCAGAATACAGTTTTGGCAGCCGGTAAACGGATTATTAGGCAAACATTTTTGCTGCGCACAACCACCCAGCTTGCGTGAAACAACCCTGTACACAAAGGTTTATTGTGCACTTGTGATCTCTCACTTGGGGAAGTTGGAAGGGGCTGTTCGAGACGTCATTATCCTCCCGTGCCTTTTTGCAGAGTTTATTTTAGAGCGAGGAGAGCACAGTATTAAATGTCAAACTGGAAGAAAAACCACAGGTGGCCTTGCAAATCCTTCAGCAATACCACCAACACCGCCATGTGCCTGGTGTACTCGGAGAAGCAGTTCTTACCACCCCACCCCACTGCCTTGCCATACACGCAACAGGAGATGCCTGGGTGTCTGGTGGGAAGACCAGTGACCCCACTGCATGAGCGGGTGACCGTCGAAGCGCAATCTCTGTGTGCTACAGGCCTGCCAGAGCGCCCCCCTAACCCTGCACGTTCACACCTGTCACCTTTCTGTTTACTTAACCTGGCCAGCCTGTTCAAGGCAGCTTCGGTTCAGAGGGCCTGTCCAAGGCATCTCATTAGAGTGGAACGTACCTTTTCTTTATGGTGTTGTGACCTGTAGCCAATCCCTTTCCTGTCCATATCAAAGTATCCAATCACCTTCCTGTGTGTTGTATTCCCTCCCCTTTTGTGTATTCTATATAACCCTAAGGAAATTAACATGGCGTGTTCCTATTTAGGCACCCATGGATCCATGCCTCTGAATTGCGGATCAGTGTGACACTGGTTACCTGAATTTATAGAACTCTGTCTTTCTATAAATTCAGGTAACCAGTGTCACACCGATCCCAGATTTGGTGTTCTCTAACACCAAATCTGGGAAAAACCCGGTGTGAACCACGCACAATGAAAACGGGTTAAAAACGGAAGAGGCCGCCTCGGCGAAACCCTCGTGTGCATTATGCCCCAGTTCAGGGAACCGTTCCCTGCCTTTGACACCTCCAGATCTTTGGAGAAACAGATGGGCAGCTTCCCATGCTTACAGGCTTGCGTTTGGCCCCGTGCGCTGAATCTGGCTGCACAGCTGTCGTCCTGGGGTGGAAACTGTGAGGCAAGAGCTAAGCTTTTTATTTTCGTACAGCTAAGATGGTACTGGAGGATCAGATCCGATGCCAGGGGCCTAAGGGTTGCTCTTTGCCAGGTGTGTAGAATAAAACATTATGGGATGGTGCTTGGAAGGGCAGGGGCGAACTTGTCTGAGCCCAGTGAGTACAATTGTCTGTTAAGCCATGTTCTTTGCACTGGATCCATCCCTGAAGATTTTAGAGCTTCCCCTGAAATGCAACTGAAAACCTGAAAATTCAAACTGAACTTTAAGAACTAGCACAGTGCGGATGGAGGGGCATCACGGATATATAAAGACTGCTGATCAATGCTTTGAACCTTACAGGCCTTAATTTGTTTTCCATTTCTTCTGTTCACATCAAAGTAATGGGATTTTGGTAAATGCCAGCAGAATTTCTACTCAAGAAGCAGTGAAATTATCGGAGTCTTTGTAACAGTATATCAGCTTCAGTTACTTTGCTTATAAAAAAGGGGATGAGTTATAAATAGTGAGCTATGCCATGGTGTTATGATAAGAATTAATCAAACAGAACATAGGTTTGGGCAGGCTAGAGATGAATATTTATTTGTGTAGTATAGGCACCTTTCAACTTGAGATTGTAGTGAGACCAAAGATTATCTTTGCAACACATAACCAGATATTTTCTTTGGCCAGGACTGGGTTTAAGTTGTGAAGGTTCCATGCACATTTGGTGGGAAATAGTTCTAACTTTATCCCAAAATACAACATTATTGACCCTGTGAGTACTCATCCATGGAGTCTAATGAGAACTGAGGGAGTATTTTGAAGCAAAAATCAAACCTAGGGAAACTATGCTTTTTAATAAACCAAAGCTTATAAGAAAAATAACCATTCCTGCCACAACTCTCAGTGTTTTATATTTTCTTTTCATCCTGAATTTAAAAGGGGTTAGTAACTGATTATTGTATTTTGTTTTTAATGCATATAGACCTGGAGTTCATTTTGTTATCTTTAAAATTGCCAAACTTTTAGAATTCTGGAAAACAACAAAAATGTTACATAAATAAATAATGTTCATTTCAAAAACTATCTTTACAAAAACAACTGGGGCTATATTTAACCCTTTCCTCTAAGAAATCCAATCTTCCCTGTACCTGAAGCAGTTCAACAGACAACAGCTCACCACAAGGCGGAAATCTAACATGCAATGCTCCAGTCCATAGCAAGACAATGGAACAAACGACATTAAACAGGATCAGACAGTGGTCATAATAAGACAAATTGGTGCTATTCACACAGTTTCCTACCAGCACGGATCCAAATGGGTTTGTGTGTGTGCGCTTGTGTGTTGTTCTGGTCAGATACTCTGAATCGTGGGGATTGGGGCCCTCTTCCCACGATTGGTACTGTCCAGAGTTTGTATCTACATGCTTGGATTGCAACAGGATATTTACTGGAAGAGCACCGATTGGGGATGTAGAATTTAGTTTCCTTCAGCTGTGTTTAGATGCTCTTCCTGTCTGCGTTGATGCAGTCTAAACAGGAGTGCCGGGAGGATGGTGTTTACATGCATCTTGATCGCATTTTCGTCTGAAGGTCAAGGTTTTGGGTCATGTTGGTGAGCCTGCTACAGAGAGAGCTAAAAGGATAACACTTCACCGCAAGTATTTTCATCGCCATTCAGAAAAGAGCACTCGAGGAGCACGGCGTGGAGCTGTGCTAGGCACTGGGTCCATGCAGGGCCGCTGGAGAAGCTACAACCCCAATACATCTAGCGCAGGACAGGGCAGTAGGTAAGAGGCTGGGTGGCTCCACAAACCGTGCAGAGAAAGTTTCAGGCAGACTCTGCACCCATCCATCTCCAAGGCTTTTTCGGTGTCCCTGTTTTAAAAATGGTGGGATCTACCAATCTCTCCCCTTAACACTAACACCGCAAAATACGTTTGAAAACCATCGGCCACTACCTAAAAGGGATCACTTGCTCCTTAGCTTTCCTCAGGGTACAGTGGGCTTGCACAACTTGGGACCCGTCAAGCCGTGTGCAGCCGAAGAGGCGCCTGGTGCCTGCCCGGTTCTGCGGACTGGCCGGCCCGCAAACACGGGTGGCTGGAAAGCACCTCGCCAGCGCCACACAGGGCCGGTGGGACGCATTCGCCCGGGGGGGGCCGCAAATCGTGCAGGCCTGGAGCACCGGTGCATTCCTCACTTTCCAGGAGATTAACCTTCATAATAACAAGGGCAACGACACTAATTTATCATTATTAATATTATTATTGGGCGTCTACTGCCCCTGCTCCCAACGGAGCCCCGAATGGCTCTTCAGCTGCTTAGCGTTCATCAGCGGATTGCCCTAGATTAAAGTGACAGATAATGCTTTGCCAAACTTTAATTTCATAATGCTGAGACATAAACCTAAACTGACTGCCAAGCGTGGGCAGATTAAGGGGCGTCAATTTCATCTGGTCTGGATGCTCCCTGATGTATCAGGCGCAGTTATTTATTAGGCTGGCTTGGTTCCCTGCGATATATTGAATGGAAGCTCTCCTCCAGCAATGGCGCATTCAGACACCGTATTCACCAGATGAAGTCACGGAGGCCATCGGGTCTTGCAGGAAGAGTTCTGATCTGGTAACATGTGAGCTTCAATGAAAGTTTCACGTCAAAAGGGAGCACCGCGTGGTTTTTACGGGTCGACACACATTCCTTGTCCTTTCTTAAGATTATCCTCCTCTTTGATGCCATTGTGCTGTTGTGACCATCCATGTGGCTACAAAGTCATAAAATGACTCAAACCAAATTTTACTGGGTGTTTTACGCCTACCTTAAGAGGCAGCAGAGCAGCTTGTGCAGCTGGGACGCTTTTCTCTATAGGACTCATTGCATTTTTAAAAGACACGACACCCTACCAACCTTTGCTTATTTACCTCTGGCTCTGTGCAGCCACTGGTTAACCTGCAGCGGGGGCACGTTGCGTGGCTCCTAGTGTTTGTGGGATGTGATGCTGGGCTTTCTCCCCTAAGTCCTCTTAGGGGAGGAAGTTCCAGGGCACCGAATACACTGCACTTTCTGTCCTCAGGTCTGGCCTGCTCAGGTCTCAGGTAAGCCGATCCAGAGCCCATTTGGCCTCCTGTGTATCAAAAGTCAACCCCAGTTGAGCCAGGAATGCCTCTCTTAATCCTTTCTGCAGCACTGATTTTAATGGGACGGGTAGGACGGAAACAGGGACAGAAAGAGAAGCAGAGTCGCCAGGACGGAGCAACAGAGACACCGAAACAGTACAGGCAGAACGCTTAACCACGCACCCACTGAGCCTTCAGAGCTTGGATACGCGTGACGCAAAGCAGCAGCCGGGCTAATAATGCAAGCGGATAACTGGAGCAAGCCATGGCCCTACTGGCGGGGCGGGAACGCCAATGCCTCGCACAGCTCTGCCGTGCCGCTACTTCACTAACTCCTGAAATATGCTGGAACGCACAAATCTGGGAAGCGAATCCTTCTCCATCAGCATGAAGACCCTCTTCTGGGCCAAGTCGAAGGTGCTCACGGAGGGCTCCACCAGGTTCTTCAGGGTCACAGACTTGGTGAAGTGGTCGATGTTCACCTGGTGAGAGGGAGGCAAGCGGTCGGAACTGCAGGGCGTTGTGCAAGGGGCCACGTGCTTTGTGCCCGCATGGATTGCGGGATGGCCAGCCTCCCGCCAGAAGGCACTCGTGTCAGTAGCCACCACATGCAAGAAGCCTAGAAAAGTCTGTCTGTATATTACAGCTGAACTGAATGTACATCCAACATCTAGGACACCAATCCAAAAAAGCGAAGTTTTTTAATTTCTAGGGATAAACATGCCTTGACTTCCAGATTTTGAATTTTTGCTACAAACGGTAGAATGTGTGAGGTTGCCATTTTTGTCCACTGCGACCAGCTTTGTCTCCGATGCCTCCAGACGAGGCTCTTTTCGTCTCCTTGCCCTGGTTCATTCATAGATGTCTACCAGATGTGGGGGGTGGAGTGCCAGGGGGCGGACTCACCCACTCGCAATCCTCCTGTGTTTTCCCACCTTTTATTTTATTTTATTTATTTTATTTTATTTTATTTAAGACCTGCTAGGGAAAGGCCCCACAACTGCTGCACAAGGCCCAGCTGGGAGTGCCAGGAGCCGTCCACCTAGAGACACCTGGCGTCTCGGAACATGTGACCCATTTGGCAGAGAACGCCTGGGAGCGAACGGGGCCTGCTGCCCTTCGGTGAAGCTATGGTGCCCTCCATGGCAAACTGCACGGCACGGACCATGGGCAGCATCTGGCAGTGTCCCACTGTTAGTACGAGGGGTCTTCGGAAAGTTTCCACACTTTTATGTTTTCTATTTTACAAATAGTTGATATATTTTGTGCTGATGGCATTAAAAAGTTGGTACAACGCTGGGAAAAATGCATCACAAAGGAAGGCGACGGTGTGGAAAAGGGATGCACTTTGTTTTTGAAGTTTTGAACAAACAGAGTTCAAAAAGTGCGGAAACTTTACGAAGAACCCTCATGTATCCAAATCTGAACTTGAACATTTGGGCAAATATGCGGGAAATCATAAATGTTGAACTGGGGCAAAGTTCTGTTGCAAGACTAATTTAGAGACTGCATTTATTCTGTGCAATCACAGGTGCAAAAGCAGAGGAGGCTGCCCTGTTTTGCCAAAACACCGAGCCACGACGTGATGTGGTCGAGAGATGCGCCAGAGAGTTGCACTCTGCATCCTCTCCCTGAGGGACTGCCTGGCCCAAGTGACACTGTGAACTCAGGCCACCCCGCTGGCATTTTCCCCACAATGAGCAGCACTGTATTTCCATTTAAATTATAGTAATTATTGCTAAATTTGTATCTCTATATATAGAGATCAGGGTATGTAAATTTTATGTAAATCTGTCCTTTTTAACTATGCATTTTAAGTAGTCATTGCCATTGAACAACCAGGAGCTACTCCTCCAAAGGTCCCCCCCCCCCGCCAGCATTACCTTGGAGGGGTTGCTCATGAGTTGCCACCCCTTTTTTAATTTAGTATGATAAAATGCACAAATAATTGTGTAATAATTGGCACTGCATTTAATTGCAGGTTAACCGTGGGTTACTTAACTGTATCTACTGTCCAGGTTCAGAGGTCTTGCAGCGACCTGTGATTGGCCTCCCTGAGGCTGGAATATTCAAAATGGCTACGGAACGCACTGGAGCAAAACCTGGGTTCATCAACCCATGATTGAGCACCGTTACTCATGAACCTTTGTGACCGCCATCTTTCCTCACCTCTTTCGGAGCCTCACTTTGGATAAATTCCTCATAGATTTTCTTGGCCTTTTCGGCCATTTTAGCAGGCAACTTGGTCTTCTTATAGTCTTCACAAGCAATCCAGAACTCGATGTTCTCCTCACTGAACTCGGACCGGAGGAAGCTCTGGAAGCTGGCAAGTCCGTCTGCACAGAGGGGAAAAAGGGAGAAGTCTGGCTTTTAGGATTATGGATTGACTGCACGGCCTATTTGGTTGAGAGTCCTTGTCTGACATGGGGAGCGATAACCCTGCTATGTTTTCCTTATCCAAGGACTGTGAGCCACACTGAGATTTTGAGAATAGATTCTGCGAAATGGAAATCAAATAGGAAAGAGAAGCTGAGGCAGAACTGTGTTGTTCCAGCGCAGCAAACATGACGTGATGCCAAAAGTAACAACAGTGGACACTAATCACAGCATCCTAAAAGGTGCAACTGCTAACATAAATTATGAGGACAGGCATAAACTACTCCAGCCCAATGCCAATAGTATTAGCTGGTCAGCTGAGTCTCCCAAGGAAACCAGCCAAAGTTTTTATTTATATTATTATCTATAGATAATTTGAAGCATTTGATCTCCAAAGGGACTCCCACAGCAACTTACAGAAGATACCAACATTTTTAAAAATAGCGATAATAAAAAATGCAGTGTAGTGGCCAGCAGGGCAGCCGTGTGTTCATGTTACAACAGGATGAAGAATACCAGATCTAAATGCCTGAGGAATGGAAAGCTCTTCACTGAGCTGAAACCAAGTGAGACTTAGCACTGGGCAGCCCTCACTGAGGAGAGAGTCAGGCACCGCCACCAAAAAGTCCCCATCTCTGGGCCCCACCCTCCTCGCTTCCCCTGGCTAAAGAAGGGCTTAATCTTTGTGCACCTGGCCATGAAGGTGCCCAGGTCCCGAGCCAGTCAAGCCTCGAGGCCCCAATCCCCTCCCTTGCGGTTTTCCATTTAAGCCAGACTTGGACTGGGCGGCCTCGCCAATGGAGTGAGCCTTGAGATAGAGGACTGCCCCCGCTGTCTAAAGCAGGACACATGCCTCCCATGCGGAGCAGACTTGGGCAGGTCCTGCGCACACCCTTGTGTATGCTCGCCAGAAGGCCCGGCTCACGTGCGGCTATCGGTGTGGGGGGCAGCGGGGTGCCCCTTCCCCATGCTGCCGCGGAATCGCCTCTCCCACCCTGCTCCGCTGGCGAATGCAATGCCATTGAATCCGTACGCCCTCCAATGGTACTTGATGCCTCCATGATGGCCTCTGCTTTCTAATCAAAAATATCGCTAAATATTGCTAACTTGATGGCTGCGTCGTGTCACGCCACTGAACAGTCACCGAGTCACCTCACGCCCTGACGTTGCTCAGGCACCGCTATTCCGGCGGCACGAGAATTTCTCTGCAGACTTACAAGGATTTTGGAGGAGCTTCTCCAGAGAGTTGCGCCACTGCCATGCCTCCTCCGGAGAAGGTCTGAGACAAAGGGAATAAATACACATTAGTATAAGCAAACCCTCACTGATAAATGAGATCTTGTAGCAAAGCGAGGATGTCCGCGGGGAAACAAGGATTTAGCATTCAGAGCATTCCTGCACATTGTAACAGCCTTCTAAGGTAGGCCGATGTCATTGTCCCCCTTTTAGAGATGGGAAGACTGATGCTGATAGAAGTCGTGTTCCGCCTAAGCCCATCTCAAGAGTTCATGGCCGAAGGGAGGGTCTTGCTCAGAGCTCAGATGGGCAATTGGATCTCTTGTCTCCTTAAATATTTGTAATAAGCAACCCCATGGCAGGGGATTTGGGCTTCAGCTGCACCATTGGGCAAAACATGGGCACTCACAGGATTGCTTGGGCAGGACTGGTCCTCACTTGATGACAGCCTGAGTGGTGTGGAGGTTAAGGGGGTGGGACTGGGACTCAGGTGACCTGGGTTCTAGTCCCCACCTGGCCATGGAGCCAACTGGGTGACTCTCAGCCCAGCCTACCTCACAGGGTTGCCGTTGTGGGGATAAGATTAAGAGCAGGAAGAGGAGAAGGCTGTAAGCTGCTCTGAGTTCATCAGGAAAAAACAGGACAGAAATCTAACTGATAAATGACCTTCTCGCGCAGTGATCCAGATTCCATTCCACCCTCCTTCCAACTCAGGTCCTCGGATTCTGTGCAAAAAACCCAGATGCTGAGGGTGGGACCACCAGTCCTCTTAGCATGGGCCAGCCCTGGGGGTCTTTCTCCCCCACCAGGTCTCCGAGGGGTCTTCTTGCCCTGGCCCCTCCCCAGGTCCTGCATTTTCCTGCTTGAGGCGGCCAGGGCCTTCAGCAAGGCACATTCCACGGATCCCGGGGGCCAGGACGGGTGTCAAGGGACCCCACATCAGGGAAGGAACTCAAAGCGAGGCTGCCGCTCGCTGCAGAAGCCCTGTGCGGTGGGCCAGGGTTGGCAGTCTCTCCTGGCACCCTGACGTATTTGTGACCTGGTGCCGTGGTTGCTCCTCTTCGCACGGGCGCTGTGAGCATCTCACACAGCCTTTTGACTGGCAAGGGGGCCAGCTCGTCCTGCGTGAAGCCAGGGGAAGCGGGTGGCGAGCGATCCTTCCCCATCCACATCCCCGGGGTATTTACTCTCTCAGCCTCTGCATCAGAAGGCTGCGATCTTTCCCCACTCCCACTGCAGCTCTGGGCTCAGCGGCCCGTTCCCACGCTCTCCTAAGGGATGTTGTGAATAACTCCCTTTGTCTCAGGCGGGACATACCAGAGAGTTCTCACAGCAAAGTGGATAATGATTATCTGATTTTGCTCAGACTTTGCGGACTTGAATTTAAGAGATTAATTTAAGACAAGAGGCTATAAAGAGGCTGGAAGCACAGCTGACTCGATGCCCAGGAGGGGGAAGGGAGGGCATGTATCATCTAGCGTCTGTCTGTCTGTCTGTCTGTCTGTCTGATTTATATCGTATCAACCAATAGCCAAGGCATGTGGGTACAGACTTGGCTGGTCCAAAGAGGCTCCGTGGATGTTTGGCTGTGCATTTTGCAGGCAGCATCCTTGCTTACTTGTGAGGAGACATGCAGAAGCCTGCTCTTGCTTGCTTCTGGGTTGGCGTGATTTTGCTTGGCTTGACCTTGCCCGTCCTACCTTTGGCTCCAGCCACAAGAGTTGCCCATTTTCAAACAGACCGAAAGCTGAAGCCGCTTTCCCAGCCCGCCGATTGGCACTGAAACAACCAGCAGCGTGGTCTGCAAAATGGAGGACTGAATGTGGATCGAGGGAGTCCGGAGGCTGGAAGGAGGACTTCCGAGTTGGCACGTCTGCCAGGGCCCTGGGTAAAAAGCGCTCTCTCCAGGCGCTTCCATCTCCGATCTGTAAAACTGGAATGCTACCTTACAAGCTTGGTGTGAAAACACACACAGCAAACTTGTAGAACACTTTGACTGGGGAAAGCTTAGCATGTAGCACAACCAGGTGTGTGCAGCCACACAAACATACTTGGGGAGGTAGAAGTTTTGTTGAACTGGACCCTGATTCACCTTTGTCCCATCACTTTAAAAAAGCAAATCTTTTATTTCAGGTTAGACAGAAAAGTTCCTTCATGCTTAAAGTACCAAAGAAATGTTTCATTGGATGAACATCCAACACTTGGATGAAATAGCTAAAAGCAAGGCGGACGGCCTGCCCAACGTGGCGACGGGGGTGCAGAGGAAGAAGAAACTGGTTCTGCATGGAGAAGGACGCCGATGCATTTTCTGAGGAGCAATATGGATGGAAGCAGGATTCGTCCCGCAGCAGCAGAGCCACACGGCTCCCGTTTGTATGTACGTGACATTTATGCACATCCCCAGGGAAGGCAATCCAGCAAAGTTCACTCTTTTCCATCCTCAGAGCTCACCCGTTTCAGGCCATTAATGCGATGCCTGACATCTCACTGGGAGACGGAATGCACGTCGAGCCCGAAGAGATGGGGACGGTCCCTGCAGGGGCAGGCAGAGTCCCAAGGACTGGCTTTCCTGCCGCACCCCCTGGGAAGGCAGCTGGGCAGGCCGCAGATCGGCGGGACGCGTCCTCCGGAAGCCCGTGCGCGGGGTCAGAGGGTGCAGCGTGTGTTGTTCCCAAGTGGATGCGCCCCTCCGGCTCCTTTCCCCCTCTTGCTTCCTGGAGCCACGCACAAGACGGAGGTGTGCGGTTCTGATCCAAATGGCTTGTGTGAGCTCGATGCAACTTTTGGCACTGAGGGACAGCCTGCGCTTGAACCCCTTCCGTCCGTGCAGCCAGGGAATTCACTCAGCCCACAGTTTTTGCAGGTGGAGCACACACCAGCCAACGCCACGTATCTGACAATGTCTGTTTGTGTGCCCCACACGTACCATTCCGAAGAAAATATATTAATATTTAACTTTAATATAGTTAACATTTGATTTTAAGAGATGGGAGCTGGATTCAGTAAATGCAGTTTTGATTGGTCTGGGAAGCATCAGACTCGGATAACCGGGGGTTTCTAGCTTCATGAAAAAGAGCAGTTGGAAAATGACTATTGGGAATTAAAGATTAAGTCAGGGAATTGGTGGTCCATCAGTGAGGGAAAATGTCTGTTGTCTGGAGCGGGTGGTGTGACTGAAGGACGTGAGAAAACTGAGGCAGAAATGAACAGTTAAGGGCTGAAAATTAAACTATTTCTTCTTGGGGAGATAACTGTAAGTGGCTTTAAGTGCTGAAATAAGGAGTAGGTGGTCTTGTTGGACCACGAGGCTGCCCTACGATCTTGCCAAAAAAAGACTAAATGAGTGGGCATTAAAATCTGGAAAAACTGCCCAAGCAGCCAACTGAGCCCAGGGCTACGGCAGAGCTTTGACACCGAAGGAACCTGTACCCAAGAGCTGGGCCTGCTTATGGGTGAATTGTTGTTTTGTTTTATTCTACTTGTTTTTATTCTAAGCTGTCCTGAGATGCTAGTGGTAGATGGGTGGAAAGGTTTTAAACAATAAATACATAAATAAAATAAATTCGGCTGGGGTGAATTTGGACTGAGGTAGGGAGGCCATTAAAAGGCTTACACTGGCAACTGCATCTCTGGAGTCCTTTCAAGCTGGCAGGAGGCAGTCTTTGGAAATCCCCAAGTACGCCTTCATGGACAACACCACCGTCGCTCAAGAGGCCATCTCACCTCCAGGGCTGGTGCCCCGCTCATGCCAAGGCCTCTTGCGCCAGGCGACGGCGAACATTTCGGAACCGACTGATGGCTGCTGGAAAGGGCCAGCTGGTGGGCGTCTAGAGGAAGGGGGGACCGGAAGGCCAAACAGGTGGCTTGACTGCACAAGAAGCCCCATTTGTGGGATCGCCCAGCGAAGGAGCAACCTTCCTCTGGCCTTCCTCTGGCCGTGCTCCTGGCGGCCGGATCTGCGTGGTGTCCCTGGCGCCTTCGGAGGGGCTGCAGCGCCCAGGACAAAGCCACGAGGAGCGCTGGCGGAGAGCTCGTCCTGCGCCGGTCACAAAGCGGGACGGCCGCAGGCCACTGAGGCAGAAGCGCAGTCTCCTTTCTGACGGATCGTTTTCCTCTCTTTCTCTTTCCTGAGGGGCCTTCTGAATGCCACGCTCTTTTTCGCTCCTTCCTCATCTGCCGACCTTTGCGCCAGGAGTGACTGCGCTAGCCCAGACATCTCGGTTGTGTTGGACAACTGTGTCCAACTCTGCCAACATGCGCAAAACATGTGCCCTGAATAACCAGGGCTGTGTGTGTGGCTTGGAGCACAAAATTCAAGTCAATGAGAATTGCATTTATGTCTTACATTTATATCCCACCTTTTTTTCCAAGGGACTTGAAGTGGTTTATATAATCTCCCTCCTCTTCCCACTCTTATCCTCACAACAACCCTGCAAGGTAGGTTAGGCTGAAAGCCACTAACAGGCCCAAAGCAACCCATGAGGGCTAGAACCTGGATCTCCCCAATCCCACTCCAACACTCTAAACACTGCACTATACTGCCTCTGCTTTCATTGCAAAAAAAGAAAGTTTTATCACTTGCATTTTCAATGGCACGCTTGAACGTTTGAGACTAATGCCTGTTAAAATATTGCAAAACCAGAGGGGCAGCCTAATATTATTGTGTGAAACCAACATCTGCAGCTCTGCCTGATGAACGAAATCAGAATAGATTGTGAGAATGGTTGCATTTTAAAATCAATGGTGCCAATGCGAGAGAGGCAGGGCTTAACCCCCTCTCGGTTTCCCTGATGTGCAAGGATGCAGAATTGCGGATGGGGCAGTCCTGCCCATTTTGAAAGAGGCTGCCCCCCTTGACCTCCCTTCCTCTAGCAGGGGCAGTGCACAACAGACAGGCCTCCAGCGAGATAAAGCAAAGGAGATGAAAAGCTTCACAGCGAAGGAGGAGTGCACGTCTTAATTTGCTCTAAATGGCTTTCGAAAGGGCAAGTGCATTATGATCTCTCTAATTTGTCTCTAATGATCGTTAAAATTGGACTAATGACAACAGCACCAATCGCAATGCAATCTGCAGATCAGCCCATCTGCAGAACCTTCGCTAGGTATAATTGGAAACAGGCTCGAGGCTCGGAAAAGCAAGCCAAGGGCGCTTCCCCTCCCGGACGAGGCGCTCTTTCCCTGACAGCATCAGATGCTACTGGTGTGCGCTTTGTTCCAGTTCCTGGAACTGATTTGTCTTCAGCACAAATGGGAGGCTGTTTTCTCACAGATAAAAAGGACAATGATTAATGTGCGGGGTTGGCCTGCGGCCGCACTCCACACACGGTTCCAGAACAAATCAGACGGAACCGTCCCCTTCATATGCAGCCCCGATGCATCCCCTCGCCACGGATACCATGTATGAGTGGTTTTCTCTGCACATGCTCTATGGAACTCTCCTTCAAGATACCTTTGAGGTTTTACAGATAAGGTTTGTGTCAATCTCACAAACTGGAATCCTGCGACAAACACTGAGAATCAGGGAGTAATTTCTGGACTGATTTTGTTTTCCCTTTGGTAAATTGACCTTAACCTGCCTAACCGTGAATGCTTAATTTCCCCCTTGAACACTCATTTCTAAACACTGTTCATTTCAGCACTAACCCACCAGTGGCAGCAAAGGAAAAGCATGTGCTGCAGCTTTCTGAATGCTTCTTCCCACCGTACGGGGGAGTGTGGGAAAAGTAGTCTAGTGGCTACAGTGGTATATTTGGACCAGGGTCAAATCCTTGCAAAGCCTTGAACTTCACCTTGGGTAAATTAGATCACAGGGTTTTTGTGGGGAAAAAGTGGAAAGGAAATAGTTTGTCCCAAGAAGGATACAAATGAAATATTTTTTCCCCCAGGACTGACCCCTGTGCAAGTAGCAGCAGCTTGCCATATGAAAATGTTGAAGGCGAAATGGAATTCTCTCCCTGCCAAGTCTGCAGCAGGCCAGGGCACCGGGAGAGGCGCAGGCGCAGGCTGGTTAAAACGGTGGTTGCCCCAGGTATTCAGTCACACCAGAAAGTACTTTTTAGGGGAACGGAGGTGCCAGAAGAGGGGCAGCCAAGCCTCTGTCCGGCTGCGCGTGCCTGCAGTGAGGTGACAATACACAAGGGGAGACCTGTCTGCAGCTCATGGCGCTGCGCTCCCTTGCAGCTCTTCCAGCGCTTGTGCTTGTGCACAAGTTCTCTTTTTCCTTTGAAAGTGGCATGGTGAGAAATGGCCCTCGGAAAAATGGGAAAACCACCCCACCCGCAAGCGGGGGGGGGGGCAGTGCCGGTGCAAGCCACTGCTTCAAGAGCATCTCTGAAAAGGAGCGGTCGGCGCGTGCTTACTTCTGGGCCTTGGCTGGCTTCTCCGGCTTCTCTGGGTGAGGGATGATCAGGTCAACGGCCGAATCGGGCTTCTGGAGCAAGATGCCCAATTTGGTCTTGATTTCCTTGGCTCTGGAGGGAAAGAGAATGAGGAGAGACGTGAGCACAGTTGCCACAGGGTGTGAAACAGTCTAGGCTGTTTCCTGACGTTTATGACAAGTACATTGAAGCCCTCTTCTTCCTACAGTCTGGGATCATAGAAGCGTAGAATACTAGAGTCGGAAGGGGCCAGAAGGCCATCGGGTCCACCCCACTGCTGTTGCAGGACACGGGGTCACACCCTCCTGCTCAGAGGGCTGTCCCATTTCTTTTTGAATGTCTCCAGTGTGGGAGAGCCCCCCATCCCTCCAGGCAGCTGGATTAGCATCATGGTGCCAGTTCAGGGGACTTTAAAGCAGCTGTCCCTAAACTGGTGCCCACCAAATCTGTTAGACTGCAACTCCGACTGCTTTCATGGTAAACCAGGAGTTTAAAAGCGGAAAGCAGGTCTCTGTTTATTTGCAATAGATTTGCAAGATTGCTGCCTCTCAATGGCTTAACAATAGCACCAACAAACACTTTCATACCCAAGTATTCAGCTGAAATGAGGGGAACTTGAACTCGGAATTCTGAAACCTATCTTTTGCATTAGTGAATCTAGGAGTTGAAGGAAAGGAAAGGAAAGGAAAGGAAAGGAAAGGAAAGGAAAGGAGACCCTGAAAGCCCGGATGCTGACCCCTCCCATAATCCACCCCAGATATTCATAAAGTGTGGTATATACCTTCCTGGAACGAGGGTTTGGGCAACAATATTGCTGCCTTCCAATCTAGTCTGGAGCCAGTTCGCAGCGGTGGTTATGAACTCTAAAGCTTTCAAGAGCACTTCCTTCCAGAGGGACCTGTTGCATAGGTCCCAGAAGCCCTGGCCAGAGAGACACACTCAGTGGGGCAAGGGGGCCGCATGCTCTGGGGCTGCATGCAGGTGGTTTATTTATTGGGTTTTTATCCCCCACACTGGCCGATGAGGCTCCCTGAGATGACCTCCTCCTTCCTGGTCCCTTGGTGGGCTCTTTTGCCCTGTGAAGACCTTTCCATTCTGGCACGCACGTAACCTTCTCAGCTGCTGATGCTTTGTCAACCTGACTGGCTTTTTATCGGTTTCTCTTTGATAATGGTTTGTAAGAATGGTGCAAATATCAACAACTCTTGTAGAAAATGCAATTAAAGTAACAGCACAAGCTGCAGGCCAGCTCCCACCTCACCAATGATCTCTCTTGCTCCTGAGTAAGCATGCAGAGGTCAGGTTGCAAAAGAGGTACAGCTGTTGTGCTCCATGGTTTATTTAAACTTAGGGGTGCAGCCACAATATCTTAATGTACTTTCAGTTTTTAAATGGGGAACAGCAGTGATGAAATAAAAGACAAGCACAGAAAATAGTTTTCACCCGTTCCTGAGAATATAAAATTGCCTTGTCTGATCAGTTCAAAGTTTGTTTTTTTTTTAAATCCCATTATTTATATTCTGCTACTGTGTCTCTCGTGGGGGCTTCAACACCCACCTTCTAAAATGCATGCATTTGTTTGTTTCTTTAAATCCCTGCAAGACATTCTGGAAAGTCCCTGTGGTGAATTTTGTGCTTCCCTGTATTTGATGTTGATTTTGTTTTTATCATTTTGTATTCCTTTTTTTGTTCTTCTAATGTAAACTGCCCCAGGAACTTCGTTTTGCCAAGCAGCATACAAATATCCATCATCTAGCTATACAAATAAAAAGTCAGAGAGCTTTTATTTGTCTTTTCAGGCATCTTAACGACAATGTAACAAAGGATGCAATGTATAAAGGTCCCCTCAGAACGCTTCTCCTGCAGTTATCTATCCAGCTACATTTTTTCTTTCCCTTCTGTTTCTGTAGACAGGAAATCCAAGTTCTCAAGACTGACCGCTCTGCTCTTCACTCTCCAGGCCAAGCTTTCCAAGTCATGGCCTTGCCCATCAGCGTCCTTGGAGCACGTCAGCAGCTGTGAGGCTGTTTCCGTGGCCAGCGGTTCCAAGAATCCCCTCCGCAGCCCTGAGAAAAGCCTTCCTCGTAGGCCAAAGGGTGGCCGAGTCCCCATGCTCCCTCTTGACCGAGGTGTCTCTTGAGCGAGGGGCCTCCCGTTGCAACTGCACAGCCGAGAGAGACCGGAGCGGTGCCTCCCGCGGCCCCAGAATGAGAAAGAAAACTCTGTCTAGGAAGCCACGCAGCACAGCAGCAAGCAGCGGCCAAGCCGGGCACGCCACTGGCTTCCGAAGCCTGGATGAATGCGGCGGATTTTAGCAGGCAGTTAAATCGCTTCAGATGTCTGGCGGGCGGCTGCAGCTGCCTTTCATTTTCACTCTGGCGCATGTGGGAGGCTTAACCCAAATCCAAATAGGCCCCCTATGTGCCATGCCCGTGGCCGAATCCAGACTGGGGTCCCAACCTCCTCAGAGGGAAAATGAAAAAATGAAAAAAAAAATGCCTGCTAGACATTTAAAGAAGTGTGTGCAGTTCTTTCCATCTCCCCACAGAAGGCTCCATCTCCGGTCCCTGGGTCATCCTTGTTGCCCTCCTCTGAACCTTTTCCAGGCTCTGAAACCACGAGCTTTCTCTTGGAAGCCAGTAGGAAATGAAATGACTTTGTATCGGATCCGATTCTCATTGAGGGCAGAACTATGCATGATGTTCATTACATGGAGGCTATTAACGCGCACAGTTTCACCATTCGAAAGCCACGGTGATGGGGCAGGTGTAGGAGCGGAATTGGAGTGCAGTAGAGGGGAATTAATCATTCCAGCAGGCCTTAGTCCCAAGGAAACTGGTCCGGGTCCCAGGAAGGAAGCTCCCAACGGGGGAAAACGGATAACCCCAGAACTAGTCAATCTGTGGAGCCCATGAAGTTGCGGTTAACTTCCCAAAAACCCAAGGTTTCTCAGCCTCTTACCTATTCCAGCCCTGCAGTGTTGGTTACAATCAAGGCACACTTGCCACTGACTGGGAATCAGTAAAGAATGTATTGATTACTAGTGAGTCCTCATTCAGAGGAGCCTGCAGGCTCTCTCCTCTGCTTCCCAAGCATTTCCAAAACCTTTTATAGGTTTTGAAGGTTTATCTGGAAATGGCAGAATGAGTGGAATGAACAGCTTGGGGTTTTTTGCAATTCCATTATTCCACCTTCTAGCTGTACACTGGAACGTGTTTCCAGAAAGGCAGATAAAGATCCATGTGCCCCTGGAAAGAAAACACGCGCAAAAGAGCTGATCCTGCACGGACTCTGGAAGCTGAAGCCGCACGCACATTAAATGCCTCATGCACAGCAGCCCAGACTCTTCAGTCTGTGCGCCCTGAGTGACAAACAGCCGTGGCACAAACTGCAGGTCTGTGGAAGTCTCAGCTTTGCACGCTCCCTGCCTCCAACAGCCAGCAGAGTCATGTAAATGGGATTAACAGTTTATTGCATAGCAGCAAGTCTACAATGCTGCCAAACGTTAGACCATAAATTAGTGTCCAGACAAAAGCCAAATAGTAAAAGAAGAAAGGGGAATGCAAATATCCTAACTTCACATATGCTCTGGTGGAGTTTGAATTGAAGATGTCTGAACTGGAAAGGTATCTTGGGACTGAGGTAGGTAGCCCAGTGAAAACGGTGACCCATTGTGTGGCTGCTGTGGAAAAGGCAAAGTCCGTGTTGTGGATCATTAGTAAAAATAAACACTGGCAATATTATAATGCCTTTCTGTAGTGGGAACATACCTGGAATACTGTACCGCTCTGGTCCCTACACCTCTAAAAGGACATTGCAGGCCAGAAAAAAGTAGAAAAGAGCCACTGAAATTTTCAAGGTCCTGAACCAACCTTGAAAACCTTTCTGTGAAGAAAACCCACCTTTCTGTTGCAAAGTCTGGCACGTGAAGGGAGACAGGAAGAGACACACAACTTTCTGCACCATATCAAGGGGATATAATACTCGGGGGAAGCTGATGTGTGGAACATTCTGGAGGGATTAAAGAAAGGGCTGCACTTTTTCACACCATCCATTGTTAAACCGTGGAATTTGCAATTGCAGAACATGTCAGTGGTCAGCAACCTGGGCGGCTTGGAAAGAGATTAGTGCGACTCAAAGGGAACAGGGCAGTCCGTGGCGACTGTTTGTGGGGTCTGTGCTGGAGGCACTAGTCCTCCAAGGAGCAGCTGCTTGCAGCCACGAGCAGGGCTGTGCGCCTCGCGCCCTCCCTTGGCTGCCTAAGCGCAAACCGTGTTTTTGTTGTGACCCATCTGCTCACCTCACATGCTGAAAGGCAACTGTCAAAGAAGTACTGAAAGGGTTCTGTTTGTCCATCATCAGGTGATGAAATCACACTTTCAAATATGGCTCATTCCATGGCCCGGAAGCTCTCCAGACAGCAGGACAGTCTGTGCAACATTCATTAGCGCTCATTTAAAAAAATATTATCATTTGCAGGAGTCAGTCCCATGAATTGGGATTCAGGCAAAAATAATTGGCAGATAAGTTTTTAAAAATACTTGAACGAATTGGTGGTTCTTCCTCCCCATTTTATATGTACTTTTGCATATTCTTATTTCCTGGGCCCTGTTTTGGGAACAGCTGGTGCCATTCATGAAAAACAATGCATGACCCTGATGGAATAGCATGGCCCTCTTTCCTTCTTCCTGTGGGTTTTGTGAAATTATATCTTTGGATTTGACCAGCGATATAATAGGACTGGAACCCAGGGAACTGGCAGAGACAGAAGCTTTAGATTTGTTCTGTTACCTTGGGACAGATTTTCAGCAGGGCTTTTGATTCGCGGCATTTATGCCTGTACCTTGTTATGTTTTTGTTGGGCTGTTTTTCCATTTAATCAGATCCTATGATGAAAACCAGGCTTTTTCTCAGACTGATAATGCTTTGCCATGTGGGCTTTATGTTTGGGACCATTCTTGTTTATTTTATTCCGTGATGATTTATCACAATGTTCCTGTCGTCAAGGCCAATGGCTAATAAAACCGCGCTACACCAAGGCTTTGTTTTCTTTAATGTCTGCATCACCAGGAACACAAACAGGTTGCATCCAGAGTTGCTATCAAATGAAAGTGGAACTGAAGGATGGGGAGCGTCCAGTGTTGACAGAGAGCAGGTGTGGGAGTGAGGGGGATTAGTAAAAGCATTAACTCCCCTGGTCCTGCTGTGCGCTGATGTGATAAACAGGTGCCTGGCTGCAAGGCTTCAGACTGCACCCTGCAGGTGGAGGCAGCAAATATTCTCCCGGATGAAATAAAATAAAAGTACTGTAATATCCCTTCCCTCAGTTCTTCCGTATCTTTGAGACTCAGTCTTCCCCTTTGTTTTCACAACCTCACAGGGTTGTTGTTGTGGGGATAAGATGGAGGAAGAGATGTAAGCTGCCTTGAGCCCCTTGTAGGTAAAAGGCAGGATATAAATCGAAAAATAAAAAAAATAAAAAATAAATAAGTTTGGATCCTGATAGGTTAACTGCAGGAAGTTGGTGGAAGGAGATTTCTGGCCACAGGTGAGCACCTGTGCCTGTTCAAGAGCCTTCCTGGAGGGTCACGGACTTCTGCTGAAGAACATGGGGAGGGGGGCTGCCGGGGAGGAGGGAATCCCTCAGATTTAGCTCGGGTACCAAGATGCTAGTGTACAGATGCTCCCAGAGGAAGCCCTTGGGGTCCCTTGGCAACCCCCGTCGCGTATTTCAACTCACATTTTTCAGGTGGGTCTGCAGGTGGCCACAGGAGGGGGTAAAGGAAGAGGAAACGTTCTTCTGTAAATTTCCTTCAGTTAATGTTGTTTTCAAGCCAATATCTACTTTGCTGGCATTTTATTGGGTTCAATTTTTCCCATAAAAATGTTTACAAAGTTAAAATTTAAAGATTTTGTTGTTCCATGCCATCAAGCTGCCTCCAACTGCAGGATGCAAGCCCTCCAAAGCAGCCTTTTCCCTGACGGCCCTGCGGTTCAGACATTGTCTGTAAACATTTCAAAAGTTCTGAAAAACAGATTATCTGAGCTTACAAAACTGCAGGAGGAAATGTAAAAAAAAGTGTTTTCTAAATGGCTGGGATAAGTATATTCTGAAGCTGGAGTATTTGTTGTACAGCTCAGTGGCTAAAGTACCGCCAACCAGCATAACTGGCTGGGGATGCTGGGAGTGGTAGTCCAACACAGCTGTGTAGCACTGGGTTGGAGAAGGCGCATTAATGCATATGAGCAGAAATATCTCTGCTCCGCCACAGCTAAGCAGGTGTCCTTCAGGACGCCTCAGCTCTGCGGGCGACGGGGCAGTATACAAACGTGACGGACCGACCGACCGACCGACCGGCGCAGCGTTCCCCCCACTCTGGGGAAGCAACAACATTCACTGCGTCAGTAAAGGGGAGACTTTTCAGCATAAGGCATGGGAGACACGAATTCTTCACCTGCAATTTGCCACTCTCCACCTGACAGCCTGATTTCTGCAATGGGTTTGCAGAAATTATATGTGAATTTTTACCAGAAATCAAATATGAAAAAGATCACAGAACAACCGAGGAAATACTGGAATACTACAAATGGTCCATGACATCATTTTGATTCCTTCTTAAAACGTTAGTGAACCAATGATGGCAATTCCAGAGAAGTCTGTCTGACTCACTCTTTCTCTCGCCACCTTGTCAAGTGAAGTATTTAAATGCTTCTGATAAAGCCAAAGCCCACGCAGGCCAACCCCGATTGCTAAACTTTCTTCAGACAAGTATTCCATATCCCATGGGTCTTCAAACTAAGGCCCGTGGGCCGGATCTGGCCCGCCATGCCCATTTAACTGGCCCGCCCCACCGGTTTTGCACTCGCTGGGCAGGCGCACAGCTTGCTCACGAGGAGATTGTTTTGGAGCAAGCCGGTGCCTCGCCCCGCACACCCCCCCATCTCCACCTTGCCTCACATGCACGTGCCCCCCCTCACCAGCCCCCCCCATGGCACCACCTTGGCGGCCTGTGCCCACCGCTGGCACACGTCAATTGGCCCCCTTTAGAAAAAGTTTGGGGACCCCTGCCATATCCCATGGAGTTAGCATCTCGTCTACCTCACCGTGTAGAACGGTTCTGTCACACAGGGCAAACCAATGTACCCCTTTTCACGCAATCGATCCTGCATGAAAACCTTGCTTAGAAATCTCGCCTTATGTCAGCAGTGCCCTGCTGAGCCAAGGAGGAAGCAAGCCCAGAGCCTGGTTTTCCCAGGATACTTAATGAAATCTGTCCCTGGAAACTGAAAGGCAGGTTCTCGAGACAGACAGATTTGTAAGGTTTGCAAAGCCCCTTTTGCTGAAAAAGTCCATACCAAAGTTTTGCTTCCCAGGTTTAATAACCGGGACCTACAGCAGAACGTCGTGACATGGAAGGCTTTCCAGGACTGCAGTCAGAAGTTCCTTTTTCAGAATCCCTTTTCCATTCCCCTCCAGTCCCCTCAGTTGAGGTTTCATTCCACCCCATCCATACAGCCTCTCAGAATTCGATGGCTTAGTTCTCATGGGGTTGGGGGGATTGCATGGGGTGGGAGAGAAGGAACTTCTTCGGGAAGCCCTGGGCTTTTCCCCAAACCTGGTACCTCCCTCTTGCATGTTCTCACTTCACAAGGATTTACACTCAGAAATGGGTTAGCTATTATTATATAGGATCTTTCGCATGATGAACGTTCGGAGCATTTCCTACCAAGGTATCAGTCAGCCTTAACAATACCCTGTAAAAGTGTTAAGGTTATTTCAAATAACCTTCCCGAGGGTTTTGAGAAATTATCTGTTCACCAACTGGGGTATAGACTGGATGGATGGATTCAACCAGTAGTATAAAATCTCAGAAAAAGAAAATAGGCAAACCAGAAGTACCACTAAATAAGAAGGCTTAACCTCCAATGAGTTTTGTCATCTTAATCCAAAGAGATAGCAAAATGTTGCTTTTGTTAGGACTCTGTCGTCATTATCGCCTACCTATAAGTCTTTCTATTATCATCTCATGTGCTAATTGTTGAGCTGTCTGGCTAAATGTAACTACTCAGATATTCACCTTGCGATTGTGACCCATGCTTATATTTTGGGTGGCTGACTGAGGGCTGAAGAAAAGGTATGTTCCGAAGGTCGCCTGGCAAGCTCAGCCTGAGGAACAAGCTACAGGTCTCAGTGGCCAACCCATGTGCTGAGTCAGGCCTGCCACCAAACCCACATAAAATGAGAAGGGTGAGAGAGAGAGAGTTAAAGTATGGGGTAACTGTGCCCCACCGTCTCCCCCAAAACTGTTGTCTAAGCCCTTTCCCCCCTCACTCTGGTGATTCGAGAATGGGTGTAAAACCCACCGGGAGAAAAACAGCTTTTAAATTGGAATTAAGGAGGAAACGCGTGGCCAGAGGAGAGCTGAGTTCACGTTTCCTACCTGTGCACTTTCAGAAATCACCCCTGCCAGTGGGGAGTGTACAAGACCAGGCACGACTAAGACCATCTGTTTGCCGTCACTTCTCTGACACTTGCGTCTGCCAACAGCACTCGCAACAAGAATGTCGCCTCGATCAGTCCAAACCTGATTCATCTTTCTGGTCACAGACATCCCCAGGAATCAGCTGCTCCACTGACCATCCTTTTCTGTTCTACCTGGCTTAGATTTTCCCCTCCCATCTGATCCTGGCTTCAGACCCAGGGCACAGTCTGCTGGACAGTTCCCTGCACAGTCCCTCCTGGAATGAATGGAGTAGAATGCTTCCTACTTGGATGCTCAGAATATCTATTTCCTCTCTCTGCTAAAGCATCGCACTCCTCAGAGATGCTGCCGGGTTACTCCTCTGCCTGCCGCCTCACTGATTTCCCGCTTTGGAAGAAACATCGGCGCGCCCTCACCTTTCCAGGCATGTGTGCGGCAAAGCTGCTAATCCTTTGCACATCTTGGCGTGTGGTTCCGGCGCCTGTGATGCCAAGCAGGTCGTGAGCACGAGGGCTGAGGCTGTGTGGAATGCAGCCTGCTTCTTTCCAGAAATGTATAAAGAGGCAGCCTTGGATGTGGGCCAGCTCCTTCGGCCAATCACGTCCAATGCAGCGCCTCTGAGCCGAGGGGCAGGAGCCGGTCAGCACAACCTCCACGGGAGACAAAGACGTGGCCTTCCCTGTCTTCTTGTGCTGCTTTTCACAAATTAGCAGCTGTCGACTCAGGACCGCTTAGGTACGGCTGCCGGCTTTTCACCTTGCCAGTGGAGGATGCTCCGGTCCTTCACGGTGGGACAAAATAAGGAGACTCTCGAGAGAAGGACTGAATCCGGAGGGCAATGATGGGTCTCTAGTGATATTGTCTGAATTGTGAAATGCAGATAGGATACTGGTACAAGCGGGCTGCCAGAATGGGCAAGGCACAAACTGGGCATGCAAGATCATGGAATATATTGCCTTTCATTTGAGTAAATTTATGCAAACTTTCCTTCTCAGGAGGAAGCAATAAGGCATGTTTACAGGGGGCCGATGAAAATCCCACACTCCGCTCGCGCAGTAAGGACAGAAGAGTAGCACAGCAGGGCCAGCAGCGTTTCTCACTGGCTTGGGGCGTCCTCATGTGTCACCAGGGTGCTGGTGGAGGAAAAAGAGCGAGCCAGTGCAGCGTGGGGCTGTGGATGGAGGAGAAGTGGGCCCAAGGCTCTCACTCACACCTACCTCGCGGGGTTGTTGTGATAAACATTGAGCTATAGGAGGCACCTTGCGTTTCTCTCGAGAGGAAAAAAGGCAGGCCATAAATACAATGTTAAGGAGCAGCTGCTCTGTGTCATTTGTGTCATCAGGTTGTCTCCAATTTATGACAATCCTGTGCCCTTCAAGATGTCCTGTTGGATGCCCAGTACCAGGCAGCTGCTATGCCTCCTGGAGAGCAGCCATGAGAGTTTCCAAAGCAGCTTCCAAGTGCAGAAGTCGATCTGAGCAATGAAAATAGAGGTGTTTAACAGCTACAAGCGTCCACCGCTGTTCTTCGCTCACTGTCCGATGTTATTAATCACTCTACACTTGTTTGAAGGTACCTGTCCAGGAAATCTCTCAGACGATCTGACAGAACTTGTATGGTTCCCACGTGGATGAGAAGGGTATGGGGCTGAAGCACAACTGAAGTGCCACTTGTGAGACCTGACGGGGGCGCACAGCGGTTTAGACTATGAATTGGAAAGTTCCCAGCTCAAGTTTTGCTTCAGTTATGATAATGTCCCAGTTCCAGAAGTTGTCTGTGGAACTGACAGGACAGGAAAACTCCCCTAAGCCATGAAGAAATACTTTTACTGTGCTGTGGTCGTCTTCCTTCTTGGAAATGTAACCTCCAAGCAGCCCTTGGTATTTCCTCTGGAATATGACATGTTTGTCCGTTTCCACAACAGAGGAAATCATATTTATATTAGTCTCATTGGTCAGAGTCCAAAGTAATTTTGACAAGCTAGAACAACCCAGTTTAGTTGAAACAAAGAAAGCACATGTACATGTACACACACACACACACACACACTCTTATATAGTGATTTTGCATGCTCAAAGAGCTACACACACAATCTTTGCAATAATCTTATGTGATCAGCCCATTATCTTGGTATTGCAAATGAGGTCTTTTGCCCAAGGCCACTTGGAGTGTTGATCAGTGAGATGGGAAGTGAACAGCGGGGGGACTCCCTTTGTGACTTGGTCTATCAGCCACCATACAGGGGCACCAAAGGTTTACGCAAGTCATCGCCTGGCTTCCCACTTAGGCGCTTGTGTTTGGGATTAGGTCCCATTGACCAGACCAGCGGTTCTCTCTGAGTAGGTGAGCACAGGAACGCGCTGCTAGAGGGAAGGGACCCACTGGCGCTCGCCTGCCAATAAAGCTGTTTACAATAGTGCCGAAAGATGACAGTCTAAAAAAAATGATGATCTGTCTAATTCTTCACTACCAGACTATGTGGGGCTGTTTGAGGACCGGTTGTTTACAAACACACACACAACACACACACTCTTCAGGATACTTTTCGTCATCTCCCAGTAATGAAAAGTCTGTGCTTACGGGAATGCATTGACCATCTGTTCATTTCCAGAACATCCTTGAGAACAGCTAATAAATCACCTATTGTATTTTTCTTCTTCAAATTCTCTTCTGAGCCACTCAGGATAACCAGATGTTGTCATGAGCACCTGCGGACTAATACATCTACATCATATTTTCTCCCCCTTAAAAAAAAGTCTGTCTTTAGAGAAAAGTGAGGGGCACTAACAGACCTGCCTGCCTTGCGATGCTATTGAGTTGGGTCTTTTCCTGCAATGATCCCCACTGAGAAGAATAGCGCTGCCTCTATTAGCCATCACGATTTCTTCTTAAGGAAGGGGGGGGGGGCAGACTTGATGTGCTTTTTGCATTAGCATTTCAGGCCTTCTTCAGAGGTCCCCACCTGGAAATGGCTGATGCTGTCACACTAGACTCTCTTTGCCGCTGAGCGCAGGTGTGTCTTGAATGACTAGGATAAGCCCCAGATTACACACCTGTCCCTGAAGCGCAATCCCACCTGGTCAGGTAGAGTAGAACCACCCCCCCACCCCCCCCCCCACCGAGCCTTCACTTGGTTCGCCTTCATCCTGCACACCACCACCACAGCCAGGCCCCGGTTCAGGGAACGCATGAGCACCCCTTTGCCTCTGATGTAGCAGAATACAGCTGGCTGCCATCCACACACAGATCCCGCTCCAGAGAGCAAAGTGATGCAACCCGAGGGCTTCATACAGATCCTCAAAACTGTTGCTAGTGGGATTGTGTCTCCCGGCCCTGCACAGCACGATTGTGCAGGGGCTGAGACACAGTGCCCACTGCCCCTTTCCGGAACACACCCCACACATAGGAATGGAGCTGCTCTAACAGAGTGCTCCCAATTCCAACCTCACAGAGCTGGTCCAAGAAGATACTATGACTGATGGCATCAGAAGCTTGGTCATGGTTGTCCGTAGGAGCGACGAAAGTCCATTACATTCCCAAACCAGGCCTGAATCCAGACGGAAATGGGTCCAGGTCTCTGCAGGATTGCTTTGCCCAAAAGGAGACTCTTCAGAACTGAACAGTCACTTCTGGGTTCCATTCCATTCTTGGTTTTTCAGGAGTGGTGGCATAATCACTTCTGTAAAGGTGGCCAGCAAAAATACATCAGCCACTCCTCCGACTCACCCAGCCAATCCTCCCTCACTGTCCCGAATAAGCTGAGATGGACAAAGATCAAGGGACACCTGGTCATATGTATCGCTGCAACTGTCCATCATCAGGACTCACTGACCAAAACTTATCCTTGAAACCTGGGTAGGTTGAGGCACTGGGACACCGCCAGCTGGACTTGTCTCAACAGGTCGGATATTCAGGTGACTCGGAACGCTCGCCAGACGAGAGCTGTTGTCTCCAATGGTAGTGGCTTATGATTTTGTTGGGCAGATGACATGACCTGGTTGCATTCAGAAGAGCTCTGCAGCGGGAGACTCATGCTACAACCACAATCGCAACTGGACCACTCACACCCCGTTCACTTTGCCCTGCCTCTCTGGGAGCTTCATGCACACAGTGTCCGAGACTGTGGGATCACACTCTGGATGAGTGTTACTGCTGTGGACCTGTGTGCAGAAGGCTTCATGCAAAATGGCTCTGAACCCTTTGTCACAACTTTGGTACAACACTACTTGGATTTTAACAGAAACAGTTTCAAGCAACTAAAAGTCACACTTAAAAAAAGTTCAGGGTGGTGACTAGATTATTTTCAGGTTCTTTTCTCAGATTCACATTTTTGCAATCTGAGAAAAAGCCAGCATTGAACATTACTTTCTTAGCCAAAAGCCTGTCAATAAAACTTACCTGAAAGGGGGAACAATAGATACATAGATAAGAAAGATTCCTTTTTATTAAAACTGTCATGCAATGAAGTTTATTTACATGTATCAGGATTTCGCCTGTTTGTTTTCAATCTACAGTGTACAAAACAGATGCAAACAAAAACCAGCACGACTCTTTGTCACGCGTATCCTTGGATAGCCCAGGGTAGTGGCTCAAACTGCCTCCCTTGGTGGCTTGGAGAACCAGTTGCGGCCAATCTTGTGGTGCAGGGAATCGGCCAATCACACATCATGAAGGGAATTACAACAGAAATGGGCTCTCAGTAGCAAAGAAGGTCCCTTTTCCTTTCTTTTCCAGCAGAACCGAAAACACTTTCCGAAGGAATGCCAGCACTTTGGTTAAAAGGTCAGTGCCTCCAAACCAGTCCAGCCTAAAAGCAGCCAAGGCCATCTTGATGCTACACGGCTGTTGGGGAGTGAACAGATGCTCAGGGTTCCCAAGTCGTCTTTCTATAGGGAAGGAGTCCCCATTTCTTCGTGGAAATACTGGCACAATAATGCAAGGTCTGTGATCCCACAGTCAAAAGCCACCTCTCGGGCCAAGCAGGACACGGCCCGGCCAAGAGGCAGCGCTGACGGCCGCCCGGGGCCTCAGCACATCAGGAGTCCGTCCTTTGCCACCAGCCGCTGCCGATGGATTTTGTCTTGCTGCAGTTCCTCATGGTTTGGGTGCCAGAGTTTCAGGATGATTCTTTCAATGTTGAGTGCGTAGACTGTGTGCGCAGGGACCACTTCTCGGTGGATCTACAAGTTACACATGAAGGAATCCTATTAGCAACCACTTCTGAACTGAGCGTGGTCACGCTCTCCAACTGGAGCTAATCTCCATGCACAGGCTTCTCCTCTGTGCTTCCTTGGCTTATATTAGATCGCACTTTTGGTGAAACGGTGCAACGGACAACAGAAGGAGAGGAGGAGAGAGGCATCGAGTACGACAATGACGCAGGAGAGCTGTGCAGTGGAACAATTAGTAATATGGGAATGCATCAGATATGGGAACTGGGTGGGGACCCCCCATTTTGTTCGCTTTGGGTGGTTTCTCCTGGCTCGCCTCTCCCACTGCCAGTCAGGCAGCTTTGCCTACTCCTTTCTCCAGGGTGAGGAATCCGTCGATGGGCACCCAGAGAGGCGGGGGGGGGGGGAGAGAGGGGGGGAGAGGGGGGGGGAGGGAGAGAGGGAGGGAGAGAGAGAGAGGGAGGGAGGGGGAGAGAGGGGAGAGAGAGAGAGAGACGAGAGCAGCGGGGACAGAGATGGCTGGATGGTGGGCACTGCAAGCGTGAGCAAGCGGGGGAGATCAATGCCTGAGGCCGCAGGCCTCAAGCGATCGGGCTCTGCAGGTCAGCTCCTTTTTCTTGCCTACTCGGTTTTTTTTTGGCATTTCCCAAAACTTTAATACCCAAGGCTCCAATCATTTTCAGCATTAAAGTAGGAAACACATGCCAGTTGTGCCTATTTATTTTTTGCATTCAGCTCGTAAGAACTGCAGAGTTGGAAGCCAACGGGGCGCCAGGTCCAACTTGCTGCTCAATGCAAACTCCAAGCCAAGCCACCCCTCTCAGGTGGCTGCCCAGCTGCCTCCTGGATGCCTCCAGCAAGGGAGGGCCACCACCTCCCTGGGTCACTGGTTCCATTGCTGCACTGCTCTCACGGTCAGGACATTTTCCCTGGTGTCCAGCTGGAACCTGTCATCCTGTAACTTGAGTCTGTTACTCTGTGTCCTGCCATCCGGATTGACTGAGAAGACATTTCAGCCCTCCTGGGTGTGACAACCTTTCAAGTACTTGTACAGTGCTGTCATGTCCCCCCTCAGTCTTCTCTTCTCAAGGATAAACATGCCCACTGCTTTCAATTTCTCCTTATAAGGCCTTGTTTTCATTACCACGATCATCTTTCTTGACCTCCTCTGATCCCTTTCCAATCTGTTTGCATCTTTTTTGAACTGTGGCACCCAGAAATGGATACGATACTCAAGACAAGGCCTAATCAGTGCTGGGCAGAGATACAGGGGACTTCAATTCCCCTTATATCTGTTAGGGGACAAATTCTGCCAAACACGGCCCAAGAAATTCTGTACTTGAGTTGCTGAAAACTTCCTCCTACAGAAAATGGAGGAAGGAACTAGAAGATTGCCTTTCTTGGCTAGATTCTAACTAACAAGGATGACCTTTTAAGGTTAATTGTACATTTGTTTATTTGCTTTGTAAGCCACCCCGAGGCTTTTTGCAAAGGGGGCGGCATAAAAATGCTCTAAATAAATAAATAAAAATAACAGACAAAGTGGCAGTTACGGGACCACTGAGGGGAAGTGACCACATCCTAACTGAATTCTTGTTTCTAAAGGAAACAAAAGTAGAGTGTAGCCAAACATGTACCCTGGATTTTAGGGAAACTAACTTTCAGAAACGCAGTACAATGATAAGCACGGTCCCATGGAAAGCACCTCTGATATAAAACCCAAGTGCAAGCCATTCCAACTAGAAAGACAGGCAGTGGGCAACAGGAGCAGCCAATGTGGCGTTATAGAAAGCTTAGAGATTACTTTAAAACAGAAAAGGCCACATGGTGAAAGTGGAAGGCAGGCCAAGCTACTAAGGAAGGGGACGGGCAGCTGGCATGGAACTGCAGGGCTGGCCTCAGGAATGCTAAACCTGCCAATGAGCTGAGGCTGCTGAGGGAAGCTAAAAGCAACCAAAAAAAAGCAGCCTTCTTCAGATCATGGTATCCTAGAGTGGCAGAGCTGGAGGGGGCCTAGAAAGGCCACCGAGTTCCACCCTCTGCTCAGTGTGGGGCCCCAAGGTAAAGCTTGCACGTGCTGGTTCTAAGTTAGCCTCTCTCCCATCCCCATCCTGTCCCACAAGGCAAGCTAAGGGATGTTACCTGCAATGCCTCAAAGAGGTCGTACATGTTCACTGGAGGAAGCGTTGCTGGTGAACTGTCCCCAGAGCAAGCCAGGAGGAGGGCTGCCTGCTGCTCGGCATCGTCAGGAGGTGGATGGGAAGCCAGGTTCTGACCAGGAGGGGGTGCTAAGCAGGTAGGAGGGCTGGAAAAGCAAAAAGAAGATGGGCTACAGCCTCACGTTTAGCACTGTCAGGCGTTGTTCAGAATACGAGTGTACATTTTTAGTTAAAAGCCTATTTTAAAACTCACTTTGTTCAACTTGTTTTTCAACCTTATGCAGCGGTTTGTTTGTGGTGAGCCAGTGCGATGCAGTGATTAGACTACTGGACGGGGGCAGGGAAAAACTCAGGCTCTCAGTCATGGCGCAAGCGGGGTGGCCTGCAGCTCGGTCACTATTCCTCAGTCTAACCAACCACGGAGAGTTGCTGTGAGGATCACAGCTGGGAGCAATGCACACCACCCTGAGCTCCTTGGAAAAAGGTGGAATGCACATTTCATAAGCAAGCCTGCTTCTTGCCTGTCCATTTGCAAAGAAGAAATGCAGAATATAACGGTAACAAAACAATAATAACAGCAGCAACAGTTTCATCTCGCTATTCAGTGGCAAATTACATGACCAGGTTTCCTGTGAGATAATGTAAACCACAGTTCAAAAGCTTGGTTGTAGTAGATGATGATTACAGACCGACCTTTATGTGCAGATGATCAAACGATCAGTTGCTAAATGAGAAATAATCCAGGATGCAAGACTCCTATCATTTGACAACTATTGTTGTTGGTTTGTTGTTGTTGTTTTTTTACAAAGAAACATCTCTCCCTCCTTCCCAGTTGCATGTTTGATGATCTCAGACACATAACATTAAGCTCCTGAAAAGTATTATCTCACCCAGCACAACCAGTAGTGAGCAAAGGAAGTGTTTGCACATCACTTAATCCTTGGAGAAACCACTGAGAGCTTCAGCGCATGGCTGGAGGGAGAGCAGGGCTTGAGGAAATGTCAACACCATCTGTGGCACAGAAAGGAGCTCCGCGTTTTCCCTCAGATGACATTCTTCAAACATTACAACGGGGATCATATGCATACTTCCCGTAATTTATATTTCATGAAAGTATGAAGATCATTTCAAAATATGACTAAAGCATCTCTGCGGGAAAATCACCAGACTCCCACTGGGTCCTCTGGCTGCACCTGGGCGCCACACGGAATTCACATCATCCCATATCGTTTCCAGTCGAAATGTGAGTGCTGCATTTCTCCCCCTCTTGCGGCCCCTAATCTCTGCAGTAAGCGGCTTGCTCATATTCACTCCCAGCCCCATCTTGTTTCGAAAAGGTACCTTAAGTCCTGCTTTGTCTAACTAGCCCATTCTTAATTGAATTTTCATTGGATAATATTATCTCCTCCTGTCGTTTTTCTTTCTGGTTCTTTATATGTGCAAGCCGTTGGACAAGGGGTTTTACTTTCATCTTTTGTATGGTATTGGGTTTGTTTCAAGTGCTCCCCCTCCTCCTCATTGTTTTTATCAATTGTTATTTTTGTTTAAGGGTGCTTTCTCCAGATCCTCAGCCAAAGAGGCTCCTGGAGGGGCTCATATGTAACCACGTAAAGCAACAGTCCCTGCCTGCAGACCTACAAGCTAAAACGACACGGCACCAAGGAAAAGTGGGGAGGGAAAGTGTCAAGCAGTCTTTCAGCAGGGTGGGTGGGGTGGCGCGCTTCCTCCCTCATCAGCTTCTGCCGGCTGCGGCCATGTTTCTTCACACCTGGTGCCCCTCATCACTCATTGCTCAGCCATGTCCTGGATAACAATAGCAGGCCAAACAGAACCATGCAAAAGGTCTCCAAGGGCTGACTAAACCTTATGGGGAACTGCACCGTCGCTTGTGTTAGAGACCAGGGACGGTTCCTGGAAGCCTTGCTTGTCCGAGTCCGGCGAAGATCCCTCACAAGGCCACATGGAGTCCCTTTGCACGTGCTCTGGAAGCTGTGTCCCCTCTGCCCACATGGCCCCACGGGGAGGACTGCAGGCATGAGGGCCGCTACCAGCCACACAGACTGGAGGGTAGCTTGCAAGGAGTATACCACAAGGCGCTGCTTAAATATTAGCTTGTTCTGCTAAGCAGCTTATTTTTTATGTCATTATTTACATTCTGCTTTTCAAGATCCAGGTCTTCACAAACGGGCTCACAAACCAAAATGTCAACACCAGTGCAACGCCAATTAAAAATGAAGATAATAAGCCAGCACATTATCACACTAAAAATGCAAAAAAGAAATAAATAAAATCCAGAGAATCAGAAGACGTAATAGCTTAAACGGAAACAGAAGCTACCAGTGAATGTAAGAGTGAACGAGCTCTTTGAGCTGTGAATTCCATAAACATGGTCCTGCCACGGAAAGTTCCTTGACGTACCACCAGCAACATTGCCTTGGAAAGCAGATTTTTCTGGGATTATCTGGTCCCTCAAGCATGGCCCTGATCCATAAAGGGAAGAGGCTTTCGAGGATATCGCCGCTGAGAGCATCAAAAACTGCTGTGACACCTGGCAGAACCAACAGGGGCACCTTCCTCTGACCCAGTCCCACTAGGGTGACAAATGCTGTTTCCATTCCAGAATCAGGCCTGAAAATCAACTGCGAGGAACCAAGGTAACCTGCTCCATCCAAAAATTCCTGGAGTTCAGTTACTCCTCCCACACCAACCAAACTTGGTCAGACCAGTTCAGGGATGCAGTGTCCTCTTATTCCCAGGACTCAGAGGCTGCCTTGAGCTGCACCCTGTTGCCTAATACAAGGATTGTACAGTTCACTGCAGCCCTTGGGAGGATTTATGCACTTCTGTTGGAGCTGTCATTGTCTAGGATTTTGATGACAATTTGAGAGGGCACCCACAAACTTGGAAAGGCAATAACAGGCACTAGGAGAAGATAATCAAATGTAAGGATGTTTCACGGGAGACCACTGAGACTATTGCATTTCTGATCACTATGAATGGGTATGAAAACTGACAGGAAAAAATGATGCATTCAAACCACGATGCTGGAGAAGAGCTTGCTGAATATCCTTAACTGACAGAAAGATGAATGACTCCCTAGAGCCAGAAGGAAAATGACAAAACTGAAGCTGTCATACATCAGGCAGATCATGAAAAAGCAAGAGTTGCTGCAGAAAACAACAATCCTAGGGAAACTGAAAGTGGGAGCAGAAGAGAAAGGCCGGCTATAAGGGATCAGTTCTGTAAAGGAAGCTACAGCTTAGCTGGGCATTCATTCATTCATAAGGTCACCATGACTTGCAGGTGGCTTGACGGCATATGATAGCAACATTCACCACAGGCACTTTTCAACAAAAAGAGAAAGTAAAAATGAAATCTTTTTCTTTTAACTCAATTCTAATCAAAATACAGGGCTAGCAAAATTGTGACATTTAATAAATAGCAGTAATAAAAACTGGTGCTGTGAAAAAGATGAAAAAAAAAAACCATGCCTAAAAGCTAACAACCTAAAAGTAGAAATATGAAAAGAAAAAGGAAGAAAAAAATCCTGGAGAATTATCAACCATTTTATTTTCATGTAATTCTGCAAACCTCTGTATTTTGACATGAAAACTGAAATTCTTGAAAATTTGGCTAAGCTCATCTTTAAACCAGGCTTCGGCGAATGGGGCGGCATAAAAATGTTTTAATAAATAAATAAAAATAAACCATCAATGAATGTTACTAAATACAAAGCAGATGTTTCTACTGAAATATCTAAGTCTCATATCCTGTCATTTTGTCCCATGGTGCATTCCAGATAGGTATTTCCTTACCATTCAGTTAAGTTATTGTAAGCAGTTGCACTGTTCTTCAGATAAGGCTGTGGATTGACATTGCTTCCAAAGGCATATTTGAAGTGGCCGTCTCTCAGGCGGTAGGCCTTCCTCCTTGATATTATAGCAGTAAGAATATCCTTAAGGTGTTTCTGCAGAGACAAAACATATTTAGCACTAGCAATGGCACCCTAGGAAATGTGAGATGTTACTAAGCTTGATTTCCAGCTCCTGCCCTGTCACTACCGCATTGTAATTCTTGTGTAACCTATGAGTAGCAGGGGTTCAAAGCAGAAATCTCAGTGGCTGTGCGTCAGTGCGTTAACTTCTGCCCCTTGAAGCCTGCCAGAGACACGAGAGGTCAACCGGTTGTCCAGCGCTCCCCGCTGCAGCACTAGCTCCCCACCAGCTGACCCAATACCTGGCCACATGACCGAGGGCACCACATGAAGGCAACCAAGCCTGCTCCAGTTCGGCGTAGTCATCTGCTAGTGAGACAGCCATGCCAGCCTGAGCAGTGCTGGACTCGCGTTCCGGTGAGGAGGGGTTGGCAGGATCCATGGGACTGGCAGCATTAGAAGCTGACCGTTCCCAGAGTGTATCCCCCACTCATGCTCGCACCGTACCCCAACCCTGCACTGCCAACGCACTCCCTCTGGGTCACCTCCACCTCGCTTCCTTTCCCAGCTCTCCCTGACCAGCCCCAAAAGTGCCTGGAAGCAAAACCTCAACAGAAAAGGCAGTTCTGGGCACATAATCTCTGTGTGGTGGGGTCCTCAGCTCATGAGAAATACCTGCACGTTTTCAAATATATCTCACAGTATGTTTTACTCTCTTAAAGGTCAAGGTTTCCCCTTGACGTGAAGTCCAGCCATGCCTGACTCTCGGGGGCGGTGCTCATCTCCGTTTCCTGGCCGAGGGAGCCAGCGCTTGTCCGCAGACAGTCTCCGTGGCCATGGGGCCGGCATGACTGAACACCGAGGTGCAGGAATGCTGTTACCTTCCCAGCGAAGTGGTACCTGTTTATCTCCTTGCATTTGCATGCTTTCGAACTGCAAGGCTGGCAGGAGCTGGGGCGGAGCAACGGGAGCTCACTCCGTTGTGTGGATTCGAACTGGTGACCTTTCGATCACCCAGCCCAGCAGCTCAGTGGTTTAACCCAATGCGCCACCTGCATCCTTTACTCTCTTACATATTTTTAAGTGTTGCTTTGGGAACCACCCAGGCAAACTGAACAGCATGGAAAATAAATAAATAAATATTTACAACCCAGAGAACTAGAACGTTCTTTAAAAGCAAAATAGGAGCCCAAGGCCAGTAAATCAGTCTTTGCATCATAGACGTAGCAGCATCTATGCATCTAAGGTGACAGTAAGGACTACAGAAATATTAAATACCAATTTGTGTAAAGGCAGATTTACAGGCAGAGACAATGGACTGCCTTGGCCATACACTGGAAAAATAAACACCAAAATTAATATAATTGGGGGGGGGAAGGGGGGGAGGGAGGGAGAGGGAGAGAGATTGTGTGTGCGCGCGTTCTGTGACATCTGTTTCCTTCTTATCTTTATAGTGCTAGAAAGCCAGCCAGAACTTTATCCCACTCCTAAATTGTAAAAAAGCCTGAGTTTTCTGCCTGCCACAGAACCAGGGCCGCTGTTTTTATTCTGTGTTTTATTTCACCTCCACAGCATAGACAACAACCGTCACGGCCTCCTCAGTGACATTGTCCAGGCCATGCTCGTAAGCAGTGACAATCATCCGTCCTTCCAGCTGGCCCCAGGTGAGAAGCATCATGGTATGTGAACAAAGCTTCAGGTCTTCGTCTTCTTGGGGGTCCTTAGGCACAAACTGCTGGGCTCCAGAGAGGGGATTCTGTGCCTGGAACCGGTGCTGTTAAAATGCGACAGTACATTTCAGTCACTGATCTGACAACACGGAACGAGATTAAACAACATTATTGTTTGGACATGACTCTGCTGTGCAGCTAAGGCTCCAAGCAGATAAAAACATCTTTAAGCCACTTATAGGAGCCCCCTCCTCATAGAGGACATATTAATAAAAGCTTCATGTATCCTGCAATTCTATGGAAGGAAAAAAAGGTGTAGTGGGCAGTTTGGCTGCTGATAAAAGGAAGTTTCTAGCCCTTATGGCTGCTAAGATACACAAGGACAAGGCCAGCAAATCAAAGCAGAGAGATGCTGTGAGTCTTTCCAGTGACTGGGGTGTTGAACGCAAGTCCTTCACTCTTTCCATAACTAGGAAAAGCAGAATAGTGAATAGGTGGGAAAACTGCTAACTGATGTCTTACTCCAGTGACGCGTAAAAGAATAACTAAAAGTAAATATGCTGGGCAGGCTGAGGAGCTTTAAGGCACGTACTTCCACCGTTAGTGAACAAGCCCATTTGCTTAATGCTTCTGGGGAGGCTGAAAATGAGATTTACAAAATCAATTAATCTCAACCCAGGCTGCATGCTACTTAATTTAACTAATGAATTTAATATTAACTATTTGCAAAAAGATTTGACTTTTTGAGCTGACGGACAAGTTTTTGCCCAAACTGAGGAGGTGCTAGAATCCTAATTTGAGTGATCTGTATGAGAAAGTGTGCAATTTGACTTTATTGGAGAGACTGGCCCAGCGAATTAGGTAACAAAAGGCCATCAACATATAGGTACAATAGAAATGTACGTGGTTATCATTTATCAACTTTGCTGATCAGGGAGATGGATTCCAGTCTACTCGAGTGCCACATGGCAGCTTAGCTTACTTCGCTCCATGAGATTTGGACAGTAAGATTCGCTATGCGCTTTTCACCTCGAGATCATTCCTTTTTGGAAAAGGAGTGCTTCTGTGCTTTTGGTGCAGTTGGTAGGAATGGCACGTGCCTGTGCATGTATCTGTTTTCTTTTATTAATTTAATGTGTTGCATATTATTGTGTTATTTTAGTATATTTAAAGAATCATTTTAAAGAGGTAGCAAAGAAAAACTGCAAATTTGCAGAATTTATATAGGTAAGCATATCGTGGCCTTTCTTAGTATTTGCTCCAAGCTCCAGGCATGCTAATTTCATCTTTTTAAAAGCCAGAACGTACAATGAATGTAAAGAGACACTGGGTTTAGTGATACAATCTTAACTGAAAACCACAGGTCACTACACGAGGGCTGAAGAACTGAAAAAGCCCTTTTTCCCACCCCTTCTCACCCTTGCTCCATATACCGAGGGCCTCCTTCGGCAGCCACTGCTTATTCAGGCCAGAAGATGGTGCTAAGATGGGTACCTGTTTGGTGACAATGCTCTCCCTCTGCAGCTGCCTTTTCAGGTAAAGCTGCTAAGCAAGTTTTCTTCTTGCTTTCAGATTGGCTTGCTAAAACATGTATTTCAGTCTTGGAAAGTATTTGAAAGTCCTAGATGAATTGCTGTTACCTTCCACTGCAATTTTAGTATGTTTGCCAGAGTTATATGTTTCGTATGGTTCCCCCACGCATACGTGCTAGTTGTGTCTGAGTCTGGGGCCGGTGGGCATCTCCGTTTGTAAGCCAAAGAGCCAGCTTGTCTGAAGATGCTTCTGTGGTCATGTGACCGGCATGCCTAAATGCTGAGGTGCACGGAATGCTGTTACCTTCCCACCAAAGCGGCACCTGTTTATCTACTTGCATTGGCATGCTTTCGAACTGCTAGGTAGGCAGGAGCTGGGAAGGAGCAACGGGAGCTCACCCACCTTCTGATCAACAGCCCAGCTGCTCAATGGCTCAACCCCTGAGCCAACTGCACCCCCTTGTTTCACGTGAGTTTATGGTAATTGTATCGTTTAGGAAATGTATAACCTATCTGGAGGATTCATTTGAGTTAACCACCCCCCACAAAAGAAAAATATGTTCCTACTTGGCTGCTCTCCTTCAGTTATTTTAACTGAACATTATTCATTTTACGTCTTACTATACCGAGAGCTTTGCATATTCATTACATCAAAATTGCAGCCAACAAGAAGACAATATTATTTCTCTTTCATGTCACGTTCATTCTTAAAAGTCACATTCCCAACTCTGCTTTTTATCAAGGAAGGCTCAAAACGATGCAGACAATATCAGCAGATGCCTCAAAAACTCGCAAGGGCAAAGCAGGAATGGCATTGCTGAGAAGCAGCTCTTCCATACATACTGCGCACGTCGCTTTACCAGGTTTACTGCTTCTTGCCATACTGGCCCCTACCGGCTACCCAAATCACAGTTTCCGTGCCATTTCCCTTCTGGTTTCCTCTCCCAGCCAAGCCTTTGCAAATGCCTTTCTGAGTCTTTGAAAGACACACTTTAAGCAATTCTATTATGCAATTAAGGCCAATTTCCTAACTTGTATAACTTATTGCAGAGAGACTGTTTGAATCCCCTCAAGTGACATCACGTATTAGAAGTGTGCCAGATAGGAGTCCCATTCGAAGTTTCCCCTTCTGCTCCTTCCCATTATTTCAAGAAGATTTTCTACACCCCTGCTCTCCGCTAGTGCGGGCACAGAATTCATCGCGTGGTGATGCAGGGAGACATGTACTAAATTGGACAGGATGTTGTGAAGGGGGAGAAGCGAGTCTGACACAGGGCTGCTGCTTATGTGGGCAGCACTGTATTTCTCCTGATGTTGAACTGCAGACTCTAGGCTAAGTTTACTAATTCCCTGTTTCTAGTGCATGCAGGAAAGGATACACTTACATCAAATTTCTGCCGAACGGAAGAAAACTTTTTCTTCCCTTTGGGCTTGCCAGGCTTTGTCGCAGAACCTCCTGTCCATGGCAGGGAGCCAGCACCCTCTGGAAGCAGGAAAGAAGAACAGAGCACGCCTTAGATTCGACCAGGATATCCATTGTGTCTCTGCCTTTCAAACGCAAGGGTACCATTTCCCCCTCACCAGACCGGCTGTCCCGGACATCATCTAGCCAGTGCCTATTGCAAAAGCCAGTGGTTACCCAAGTTCCGACGGATATTTCATTTTTCAGGCCATCGCCATTTCCTCAGCTTGCAAAATCTTTTTCGAATGTTCCTGTATTTAAAATGCAGTTGGTTGTCATACAAGGATACTGCTCAAGCAAAATTAAAACATGTAGCAACATGTGCAGATCTCTGAATCACAGCTTATTGAGAAAAGTTGCAGTAGTTAATTAGCCGTGACTAATTAAATCTCATTCATTTCCATGGTTCTAGTCTAAGTAGGACTTATCTGAGATGCTACCCCATATCTTTAGGCTATGTTCTTTGGAGAAGAGAATCACTTTTTACCATGTGCTTATACATTGCTTGCATCAGTAGGACCCAAACTTGCCATAAAATACTGAAAAATGGTGCATTTTAAAAATAACTCTTTTCTTGGCTTGATATATTGGTTTGTCTGGACAGCTAATACAGTGGTACCTTGGCTCACAAACTTAACCCATTCCAGGACTCTGGTCACGACCCAAATTGGTCATGAGCCAAGGCAAATTTCCCCATAAGGGTCAATGTAAATAAGGTTAGTCCGTTCTGTAATCTTTTTTTTTTTTTTTAATCAAAAAAATGTGAAGCAAAGTGAAAAAAAAAAAAAAGGATCACGCCCACCCCCCCCCCCCCCCCCCAACCATGGGGGGGGGGAGCGGGCATGATCGCGGCCATCTCCCCCCCACCCCCGCATGCCCCCGTGCAGGGAAGGCGGGCATGCTCACGATCGTCACCCAATGCAGAGTTCGCGACCTACGGCCAAATTTGTATGAAATTTCTGTTTGCGACCCGATTTGGTCGTGAACTGAGGCATTCGTGAGTCGAGGTACCACTGTACTGGGGATATAAGAACAGTATTTTCATCTAGGTCTTTCAGGATAAAAGAGAAATAAAACAAAAGCCACTGAAACCACCTAGTTTAAAAATATGAACTGCTCCTAGCAAGCATCACTAGCGTGGACAAAAGTCCCTTTTTCCCTTGCCTCCCCTGGACAGTTCCCAGCACAGTTCTTCAGGCCGCCCCACAATTCACAGTATTAAGTAGCTTCGTGCTGTGGCCCATGTGACCCACGAAGAGCACAGGCAGCATCCTCCCACGGCAGCACCAATAAATATGGCAAAGGCACCAGGGACAGGAAAAGCAGTAAGAAGAAAATGAATGTGAGTCTCTCACATTAGATAGAGACACGATAGATAGATAGATAGATAGATAGATAGATAGATAGATAGATCGCAGAAAAGGGAATGTGAAATCCCTCTTGATCTGCAGGGCACACCACAACAGCTCATACAGCCATTTCTGTATTTCCTTCTATCAAAGGTAGACTGAAAGAAAAGCTGGATTCATTTTGGCACTTGAGTCAAAGAAACAATATGAAATAGACATTTTATCTTACAAGAAAACTAGTTGTGAAGGCAACCGACAACCATCTTTGGTGATGATGATGCACAAAGCTCTGGAGAAACAATTTTTCTGTTCTGGTAAGAACCCACATTGCACAAAGAAGTAAACTAAATAAAGGAGTTTCAGCTCATGTGGTGTCTTGTCCTTCCCTCATGTGCTTTGCCATTTTTGTTTATAAGCGGCTTTTTTATTGGCGAGAACTGCTTTGGGGGGGAAATAGCCTGAAAAGCTGGATAAAAGCAGTAACACAAACCAGTGCTGGCAGAGAAGCCCACTCAATCTACAATCACATACTCTGTGATACATTGATGGGGAGACATACCCAAGGAGCCATGCAGCCACTCACGCAACACCCCAGACACAGACTTGTGGACGCACTTTTGCGCTGCGCTTGGGCTGTGCCGTAGTTCACTGCCTGCTTCCTTCTAACCTTTTGCAGATTTATGCAAGCCAAACTCACCTGGCAGTTTGCCACTCAGGCACACCTTGTTTGCTTATCGCAGATCTGCAAAGTATATAGACCCTTCTCGAGTCTGGATTTATTCTTGCCCGTTTCCTTGGGGCACGACCTGAAAGCCTCTGTCCTTGATGCACAAAGCCTCCATGTGCAAGGCACAGCGCAGGGCGTGGTGGCGGCGGCGATCCCCACTGCCCCCTACCCCACACCCCACACTTCATCTGGAGAGCCACTGCTGACCGTCTAGAGCATGGGTCCTCACACTACAGCCCGTGGGCCGGATCTGGCCTGCCGTGCCCATTCAGCCAGGTTCTGGACTCACTGCACGTGCAGCAAAGAGGCGGCTTGCTTGCGCAGAGATCTTTTTGGACTCGCTCGGAGAAAACGATCTCCGCGCGAGCAAGCCACTGCCTTGCCGCGTGTGCCCCCCGCCAGCACCGCCCTGGCGGCCCACACTCACCGCCAGCACCTTTTAAGTGGCCCCCTGTTGAAAAAGTCTGAGGACCCCTGAGAGGGGAGGAAGGAAGCCTGGGGCGGTGCTTGGGCGTGCAGCAGGCTGCCATCCCCAGCCGCCTCCCCTCCCTGTTCTCTGGCTGCCCCTTTACCTCTCCAAAGCCAATCTGGCGGGGCAGCCAGCATCGCTTCCCTGCACTGGCTGGGAGGGAGCAGAAGAGGGGCTCAGCCTTTGGACTCCTAGCTCCGAGGCCCGTTTTATGGCTCCCTCAGACAATGCGGGGAGGACATTAGCTGTTCAGATTGTTACACAAACATTATGTAGCCCTCTCACCTCTTCTTTTTCGTGCCACGACACATTATGGCAGCACAACAGACTGTGAGATTAAGTCAACATCAGAGAGTAAAAGGTTACTGGGGTGCAGGGAACAACACAAGGAAGAGTCACGGTTCTCTTTCCTGGGCTGAAGAAACAGGGAGCAGTACAGAAGAGTTTTCAGCCGCCAAAGTGCTCCATGTCAGCTATTTGAGGGAGCCAGTCAGTCCATATGAAGCAGGGCAGCTTTGTTTATCATGAGATTTGTGGGACTTGGAAAAGGCACTAATCTGCACATGGGCACACGATCAGAAAGGACAGCCAAAAGAACCTTGCAGGCTCCAGGAATATTCACGTTCTGTTTTGCTAAATACGTTTCTCGCCTCCATGGTTGCAGAGATTAACTTGAAAACTTGATGACCCTGTCACATACATGTCATGTCCTCAAATCTTATCCTGCAAAATGTGGCCATTACTATTAGTGTACTACTATTGTGGCAGTATCTACCCTGCGCATTGTGCTTCACAAAGTAGTGCAAGCAAAACACAGATCACTGTCCCAAGTTGTGTACAGCCCACATTTTCAGACTCAAATGCAAGGGTGAGAAAATGCAGACTGAGGCAAGGGTGACACACATCAGTGAACGGGCCGGGCTGACAACTCCAGAATGCAAAGGCATTGCAGACAAGGGTGAGGGGGCAGAGTCAAAGCCCGAAGAACAGGCTTGTACTGATCAGAAGTCTGAAAGGGACGACAAGGTGACGGCACGCGGATGCTCAGGGTACGCACGCGGGAGGGGCAGGTGGTCCCAGCGGGGTGTGGTGCAGACGGCCGTGGCTGCTGTTCACATGATAACGCTGGGAGTTATGTGAATGCAACGAGCCCTCCCTTCTGCTGCTTCCCCCTAGACACTTCCCTTCCACCCACGGCAGAAGGTGCCTGGGGCAGCGAAGCACTGGCGGGGTCTTCCACTCCCTTCACCAGCACTCCGCTTTGGGAAAGCCTGACCTCTGTTTAGATGACAGGTTACGTCAAAACAACAGACGGCGCGATTCACTCATGGACGAGCAGAGCAGATACACAGGCAAAGGAAGACTGCTGTTTGCATCCCAGTTTGCTGGCCCAAGGTGCACTTCAGTGAGTCACTATTCTGAGCGCTTGGACCTCGCTCGACCAGGCCCATGTAGAGCAACACTGTTCGGCCACTCGCTTCAAAAAATTTCCAAAAAACAAGAGACAACCCCCGAGCATTTCAACATCTCTATTGCAAATGAGGAGGCTTTCCTCTGAAACCTCGCTGGAAGGAGAATGCCTGACATTAAGGCTGCAGTTGTGTTTTGATTAAACTGGGAATAAGTCCCACTGAACTTAGTCACCCTGTGACAGTGATTCCTCCACAGGCAGACCCACCACTGGTCTCTCCGGCCCAGCACTGCCTGCTCTGCCCAAGGCAGAGGCCTTCAGCAATTCTCCTGCCTGCGATCCTTTTAACTGGAGATACCAGGCACGGCGCCTAGGAACTTCTCTGTGCAGTGACTTTGCTCTAGTGCTGTGCTATGAGCACCCCCTGCAGCTAATTAGAAATATGGATATTAGAGTGAGGCCCAGTAGAGAAGGAGGTTTCTCCCAGAGGAGCACAACTGGGTTAAACTGTTAAAACCCAGCCATCTTTCCCATGCAGTACCATACCCCTCCACACACAAGAACTCTAACTTTGGTGAACTGCCCAGAGAGCCTCAACTATTGGGTTTGAGAGAGCCTCACTTCACCCACACCTGGTGCAGGCTATTAAGGGAATTAGCTAGAACATGAGAGGGACAGCAAGCTGCCATACCCTGCCTTATTAACCATTCCTGTGCAATATGACTGGTTATAGAACTGAGCTGTCTCTCCCGATTTCTAATTTTTAATGTTGCCAGGGAATCCAAGAAACTCTTTTTTTAGCTCCATGAGAAGAATGCACATACTGTTATGCTCTTTGGGACCACCCTGCATACTCTTTGTGCTCATTCTTTGGGGCCACCGAGTCAAAGTGCCAGTCTTTGTGCCACTTCAACTGGCAACGATTACAGAAGCCACCCTCTAAGCTTCTAAGAAGTAAGGCGAGAAGCTATTTACCAGTTCAGCCCAGCCCCCTTGTTACTCTGGATACTGACGATTACCCACAGCTTCCCAGAGTTCTCAGGAACTCCAAATATTTTAGCCATTGGTCCCATTCTGTCACCCAGATAGGTCTTGTTGCAGGCAAACAGGTTACATCTAGAAGACCATATCCCAGGACTGAACCTGGGAACTTTTCTGTTCTACCTCTGTGTTGCTTCCCAGCACCAGGTGGGAACTTTTGCGTAAGGGACTGCATTGCTGGTTGCCCTGGAGCACTTCGGCGGATCAGGAAGACAGAACAGGAATCAATAGGTCAGGGGACAGAAGGTGTTACTTATTATCATTGTCAACCTTAAGACTCTTAGGATGGCTTCCTTTTGGGAAGGAAATGTCTCTGTCCCTGGGAAAATAAAACAAGCAGAACTCAGCCTATACCTAACCCTGCTGAAACGATAGCAATGCAAATCTTAATGTGTGACTCAAAACTTATGCAGCAGGAATAAGACAGTAGAAGCATCCCTCAGGTAAGCCTACTTCTCCTTTCCCATATGGTCTAGATCCATGAGAATTTTAGGTTTGACTTACCAGGTGCAGAAACCAAGATCTGGCATCGTGTGAGAATAGCCAAGAGGAAGTCATTGTGAAAGTGGACTGCCGAAAGAAAAGAGACAGCTGACACAAGGCCCGCTCCAAGGAACATGCATTTACATCAGCATCGTAAAGTGGTACGGGAGATACTCCTTGAGAAGGCTGTGTGCATTTGCAAGAGCAAAAGCAGTGTGTGGCTCTTGTGAAAAAAGCCCCACACTGGCCAAATTAGGAAAGGAACTGAAAACTACCTAGATCATATCGCCCATATATAACTGTGGTGCGACCGCACTTACAGTACTGTGTACAGGATATTGCAGAGTGGGAAAATGTTTGCCTGCCACACCACATTATTCCAGGTGTTTAAAACAAAAAAGGTCCTATTTCAAAAAGAATCTCTCCAAACTGAGGAAATGGCTTCCAAATGCCAAATGCGGTGCAACATAAGGAAGGATAAAATAATACATGTTGGGAAAAACAGTCTGAAGTTTAAATATAATTCAGCCTCCTATGATTGTTAGTCTTTGTTCTCTAAAAATCCATTGTAGCTTCTGGAAATATATACCTGTTGGAGCTAGGCCTGATGAAATCTCCAAAGGTGTGGCAAAATAGGGTCACAGTTTGTCACACTGCAGTTTCAGTGAATGACAGCTCCATACCCAAAGCTTGCTGATAGCAGAACCATTTTTTTAGTAACTAAACACAACTGACATGTCCCCTCCTTTCCAGTAGTGCGGCTAATGCCAAGTTCACTTACTTTTAGGAATGAGAAAAATGGAAAGAGGCACAGTAATATACTTTCCTCACCATTCTCCTGTGTAAGGAGCCTCCGTGCTTCCAGGTCAAACTCTTCTTTGCTGATCTTCTGCTTAAACCATAGCTTCAGATTAGCCCAGTATCTGTGTAAAATATTAACAGCATATGCTCAACACGTGGCTTTGCCTTCAAAAGCTACCCTTTCCTCTTAAACCCGTATACAACCTGGAACCCACCCCTTCTCAAAACCTCCAGGTGCAACTGACTCTCTTAGGGATACAGTCATCAGAGAAACGTTCCGTGCAGGCTTTATCTACCATGAATGAGAGTTTAAAAACAGAGCATATTTGACATACAAAACGACAGCCCAAGAGTAGCATTTGCACCCTTTCTGTGCAATTGGTGCATTTGGGGGGCCCTGCGAGGTCTCCCTTACTGCAGCCGGTCCGAATCACCCTGCCCCGCCCCGCCCCGCAGCCCGTATTCTGGGCTCACAGACCCTGCTTGCTTCCCCGCTGGTGCGTCTCCCCCAAAGATTTTTCCTCCAAAAGCCACTTAGCCTGTCGAGGCCATACAGGGAGATCATGTGCCCCTTATTTTAACCGAGATTAGTCTTTCATTCAATGGCCTGTCTGTTGCAATGCATGCTTAGGACCCGCTGACTCGGTTTCCTCCCTTTCCTATACCGCAGAGGGCTGGGGAAGGGGGATCCTGCGCATCCCGCTCCGCCCGGCAGGGCGGGGGAACAGCCAAAATCGAGGCCGAGGCTGGCAAGCCGCGCTAGGCCTCCCTCGGAAATGCGGTCCGGCGGCGGGGCGGGTGCCGCAAGGCAGGCGGGGAAGGCGACCGCTGGTCACTCACTGCTTCACATTCTCGCCCAAGGCCTCGCTGAGGTTTTTCTTGGCCACCTCCAACTCGCTCACATAAGTCGCCATGGCGAGCGCAGCTCCCCCCCTCGGCAAACAGCCGCCCGCCCGCGCCACATTTGCCACGCCTGGCAGCCGCGCCAACCGCAATAGCAATCCTTGCGGCACCATTTTGTTACTTTGTTTGGCAACTGCCGGCCAAACGGCAATGCTCCCAGCTCTGCTCCCTTCTTAGAGTCTCCCTCTAACAAGCGGGGTCTACAAGTCTTCGGCCCCCATGTCGGACCTAAACGAGGGCATGCTTTCTTTCACGAAGGAAACGCTGCGTTCCAGGAGCCATTGGATGTGCTCCCCCCGCCCAAAAAAAAAAAAAAAAGGATAGGCGACATGCAGCAATATAATATAATATATTTTATTGTATATATTTTAAAATGTTATTTTAATCTTTTTGTTGTAAGCCGCCCCGAGGCTTCGGCGAATGGGGCGGCATAAAAATGTTTTAATAAATAAATAAATAAATAAATAACTTGTGCTACACAGCAGTTTTAAGGCTTTAATGCTGGGCACAGCTCAGAGGGTTGGTTATACATGACAAAGCCCCATATGGCTTGGGGCCGGGCTACCTGAGAGATGTACTCCCCCTTCTGAGCCTGCCTCTACCTCAAGATCTGCAGCGGAAGCCCTCCTCTCAGTCCCAGTCCCAGTCCCATAGGCATGCTTCAGAACTGGGACAGGGCCTTCTTGGTGGTGGTCCCAAGGCTCTGGAACTCCCTGCCCAGGGAGGAGAAGCCTGATGCCCCCCATCTTAGGCAAGCACTTCTGTTCCAGCAGAAGGATGAGCATTCTTTGAGAATAGGCTGTGCCATTCTGTCGCCTATGCCGTTTTCACTATTTTAATTTTATATACTTTAACATTCCAGCTAATTTAGTACATGTTAGCAGGTGCATATTTTCACTGCCTAAGGCTTTGATGTTGCAAACCACCTAGAATCTCACTAGTGCGACTAGGCAGAATAAAATGAACTTATTTAATTTCTATGCCACTCAACAACTGACGTGTTCAATGTACAGTACTAAAAAGCCATCTCTGTATGAAGGACCATGGAAGCGAGCGGCAGGAACAACGCCGCCACGGATTCCTGGCTTTCTGCCGGAAAACCCCCGCCAGGTGCGGGTACCCCCAGGCGCAGCTGAGCCGCGCCGCCATCCACGCGGGACGCCTGCACCCGGAGCCGCGCACGGCGTCGCGGCCGGACGGAACGCCCTCCAGCCGCCCCGGGGGCAGGCGACCCCGGGACTGAGCGAAGGGGGCGGCGCCCCTAACCGATGCCCGCCAGCGCAGTGCGAGTCCAGGTGCCCCTTCTGGGGGGGCCGCTCGCCCCCCCGCAGCCTTCCCGAGCGGCGAGCCACCGCAGGATTCCGCGGCCAGAGGCGCCTTCGGCTGCAGGCCGAAGCCCCCCCCGCCCCGGCTCGAAATCCGCCGGGCCGACCTCGCAGGGGCGTTGTTGGGGCGAGAAAAGGTGGCGCTTACGGCCGCCTTGGGTGCCTCGCGAAGGGGAGCGAGGCGGCAGATCAGCGCAGCGGCAGCGACAGTGACGAAGGAAGGAGGCCTGCAGCGCCGAGCGCCCCGCAGCACGTCCGGGCAGGCGCCGGACTCGCCCGCACGGGCGCGCCCGAAGGGACGTGCCGCGGCCGCGCCCCCCGGCGGGACCGCGCCCGCGCCCGGCGCCCCAATCGCAGGCGGCCGCTCCTGCCCGCCCCCGCCGAGCGCGCGCCTGCCCGCCAGCGCCCGCCGCCCTCCGCCGCCGTCGTCGTCGTCGTCGGGTCTTACGCCGCTGTGCTGCCACCATGCCGGGCCTGCTGCTGGGGGACGAGGCGCCCAACTTCCAGGCGGACACCACGCACGGCCCCATCCGCTTCCACGAGTTCCTGGGCGACTCGTGAGTGCCGCGGGGCGGCGGGGGGATCGGGGCGAGGCCGCGCCCGGGTTCTCACGTGCGTGGGCGGGACAGAGCCCGGGCACGGGCACGGGCCGCCCGGCGCAGCGGGGTCCCCGCGGCTCGGCGCTGGCGAGCCCTGCAGCGGGGCGGGTGGGCGAGAGCATTTCGAGCAGGGCCTGAGCTGCTGGCTGCCCGTGACTCGCACCCCAGTAATCTGGCAGCAGACGCGGCTCCGTTGCTGCTCTTATTCCGTTGCGTTTATATCCCGCGCTGCTTCTCCGACAAAGAACCAGGGGGGCCTGCGTGGTCCTCCTCTCCCTGTTATCCTCACAACCACCCCCTTGCAGGGACTGCCCCGAAGGCACCCAGTGAACTTCACCGCTAAGGGGGGACTTGAACCCCCATCTCCCATTGGAGTTAGAGTCCAATGCTCCAATCACTAGGCAAGCCTGTCTCACATTGGAATGAACTTTAAAGCCCTCCAGCCTTGCATCTTGTGCTCCCCAGTGGTTGCTGACTTGCTTTTCTTACTGTATTCTGCCTCTGTAGGGAACTCCAGGCAGCAGCTTCCCTGCCCTCTGAGTCAGGCAGGGAGCTTCCTGGTCGAGGAGGGCCTGGGACCGGAATCCCCGGGCCACCCGTGCCGTGTCCTCGCTGCCACATCTCCCTTGCTGGAGGTGGACGGGACAGGAGAGGACTTGAGGGTGGTGCAGTGCTGAGTGTTGGCCTGGGAACCTGGGAGGTGCAGGATGGCGTCCCCACCCGGCCATGAAGCTGCACGACTTTGAGCCAGTCACTCACTCTCGGTCTTACCTACCTCACAGGGTTGTTGTGAGGATGAGAGCGCGCTCTGCAAACTGCCTCAGGTTCCTCACAAGAAGAAAAGGGGCTGGATCTAGATCTAAATCTAAATAATAATAGGTGTCCTGAAGGAAAGATTCCAGGAGAGGGAGGAAAGCTGCTTCCGCAGCGGTCTCCTGCCAACTCGCTCAGTGGGAAGGGGCAGGGGCCCGCTGGAGAAGATGGCCTGAGCTGCTTGACTTCTGAGCCTGCCACAGGACCACTGGCACCAGCTGCTCTGGGAGAAATGTTTGCCATTGCTTTGCTATGCCTTTATGGATGTATACGGCTTTTATTTATAAGCCGCCTTGGAAGGACTGCTATCCTAAAGGGCGTGATATAGATAATTGTAACAAATTCCAAATAAAGTCTCAAACTATGGACGATGCACAGGTGATTTCCCCCTGCCTCCTCCCTAATGCTGGACTTGAAGTCGCTCCTTGAGAGAAGGTGCTACTTATTCAGGCGATGTGTACATCACTTGCCAAAAATGTGGTGGTAGCAGCTCCTGGTGTATGGCTTTACGGGGGAGACACATTAATTGGCGAGAGCCGGAGAGAGCCATCAAATGCCACTAGTTGCAGTAGTCAAACAGAACTACAGTGTTTGAGAGCAGAGTATTTCAGAATATCAGGTGCTGAGTGGGAAATAGCTATTTCCGCCTTGCCCTGCTTTTGGGTTTCTCAGAATCCTTTGCCTCCTGACCACAGCAATAGAATGTTTTTCTGATCCAGAAATGTTTTTTCTTATGCTGTCTTGTGATGAGCGCTCATGGAATATCTGTCCTTTTCTTCAGAACTGTGGAAGGACTTTGGAAACAATTGGTTGCTGATAGAAGAAAATAATTTGGTGTGAACTGGATGGAACATGCACAGAAAATAGTTTGCAACTTGGCTTAGTGAGATGGGCAGAAAGTAACTCTTCAGCTGCTTTGAACCAAGGCCCAGCATTCTTGACTATTAGCAATGCTAATGATTCAGAGCATTTGGAAATCTGCCCTTTGCTCCCTGCTGATTATGTGTATGTTGCAGTTAGGACAACTGGTTTTTCATGCTCTGCATCCTCTCATGAAAGTATTGCATTTGTTACACTGGTTTCATACCGGGATTTGCTAGCTTGTAGCAGTTACCAAATTTCCAGGCTCAAAGGGTGAGGTCCCATGTGCCTTGAATGATCACAGGCCCCTGAACTTGGAGGCATGGGATCTGCACCTTCTTGCCCCCCTGCCCTGCATTGAGTTCCCAACCTCAGGCAGCCGCTGGCTTTTTCTGCATTGGCTGGAAGCGGGAGGGGGTCGATTCCTCATGGCTCCTTCTGAGGTTGCAGCGCTGTCTCCCCCAAAGTCCTAAAAGGGGCTTGGAACACGAACTGGAACCCTTTGGTGCGCCCCACTGAACACAATAGGAGTTCCTTCTGAACATGTACCATTGTACCATTCCAGTAATGTATGTGCTATTGCAGCACCTTTCAAAAGGGATTGTTTTCTTGTTCTTTATTTAAAAATCATGAGAATTATTGAACCTTCCACAAAAGCTGATTCAGTATTTCAGAGGAAAATTGCACAAAAGCATGTTGTAGGCCTGCAGGAGGTCTGTAACCTGTATAGGCCTATTAAGGTGGAAGATACTAGCACATTCCTCCCTGGACACTACAGAGATGGTCCGTGCAATCTGTACTGTGGTCTGCTAGAAGCAGTGCACCAGGCCAGGGGTGCCTGCAGAGCCCATGGCTCACTCTAAGAATACTTCTGGGGAAGGAGTAAGGGTGTTGTTACGTTATTGTTAGGTGGATTTGTGCCTCTCTTTGCAGCATGCTTCAATCAAACGATAGCTTCCTCTTTTGTCCAAAGTAGAAAACTATGCTTGTCCATGCATAGCGTGCATTGGCGAGAAACTTAGGCTTATCTCTTACGGGCTGCTTGCAAATGCGGAATTAAAAAAACCCTAGGGCTTGCGCCCAGCCGTTGTGTTCAGCTAGATCACATCTTTTGTACTGGTCTTGCTGCAACGACTTTGTAAAAATAACTCCGTTTGTGCAGGTGGCACAAATGCGACGTTCATTTGCTGGTGTTCCATTTATCGGGTGGGCAGCAATGCTGTACCTTTTCTTCTAGATTAGGACATTCTGATTTGAGGCAATGATGCAGTTCTGTTCTTTCCCTAATTAAGAACTGCTGAGTCACTGGCACTGGCAGAGGTTAAATGACGCCTTTCACGGTTAAAGATGAGGAAATGTCGATGATGATTGGCTTTGTAATTACAGTGTATTACAATTCAAACTTATAGGACAAAGTGAAAAACCTTTAGACTGCTTACATTACACAAATCAGCCACAGCCCTTTGAAATAGCATGGGTATTTTGGAAGGATGTGGCAATACAAATATTTCCAAATTCATTGTTCAACTTCTTTTTCATCTCAAATTGCAGCAATCTTTCACTCAGTAAATATTTGCTTTCTTTACCATTGCAATCCCATGGTTAAGTATTCAAATGCTTCCAAGGAGGTGTGGCGGGCAGGAGAGCAAAGGTGGGGCCGCTGTCCTTTGGAACTTCTGCGAAGGCTAAGCATGAATAGAGCTTTACAATACTACAAAATAGACCTTTACAATAGGTAGTCTTAAGCCAAGGCTACCAAACAGAAAATGTTATTTAAAACATCTTCTGAAACATGTTTTTGCTAAGTTGGGCTGTGGGAGACATGAATTTATATCATGTCAGAATTTTGCAGCCCATTGTCGAAAGAATCCCATACTTTCTGTAGGATTAGGCATGCATTTCATGGAAATCAGTGACTTTGTGTATTCTTGATTTCTAAAGAATGACAAAGTGGCATATGTAGAATAGGGTTTGTACCAATAACAGGGACCTGTTGCCTAAAATGCCTGCCAGTCCTTGACAGCATTGAAATCACCTTTACTGAGCAATCTGGGATGAAGCGTGGCTGATGCACATATGTTGCCAGACAGGACTGGTCCCTTGGTCAGGGGACTTTGGGAGGATGGGTGGCTGTTGGGAACAGCTTTGCTGTATTGTGTGCGCGATTCCCCTCCCTGCCCCACCCCAAAACACCTTAGCATGCAGGGAAGCCAATTTTAAGGTGCAGGGGTGGTATTAGCAATCGCTGGAGCCACAAAGGGAGAGCAGTTGGGAGATTAGTCCCTTGAACATTGTGTGATTCTTCTGTTCATTGTGTGATGCGATTAATGGCTGGGGATTGGAAGCTTGAGATGAGAATGGTACGGATTAAGGTGATGGAGGCCAGGACCAAGGTGAAAGGAACCTGCTGGACTTGACTGGCAGCGATGGGCCGCCAGAGGGATTCCGGTCGCACTCACATGTCATGTCAGTTCCAGGTGGCCGTGGGTTGCCCACCCGAGAGCTGCTTACTGTAAATGGTTCGGTTTGTTTAAGCAAGAAAGCATGCTGTGTACTGGTGTGACTTGCTTAGAAAGACGTTGTCATGTGGGTCTTCTTTCAGATGGGGAATCCTGTTCTCTCATCCACGGGACTTTACCCCGGTGTGCACAACGGAGCTCGGCCGGGCAGCCAAACTCGCCCCTGAGTTTGCAAAGCGTAACATTAAAATGATAGCTCTTTCCATTGATGATGTGAACGACCATCTTGCTTGGAGCAAGGTATGATGAAATAAAACTGGGCATCCGTAAACTGAAGGGGTATATGATTTAAATGCCTGACTTGCACAACTATAACCCTGGTTTAATTAAACCTCACAGAAATGAACCTCAGTCTTGCATCATTCCTTCTCCTGCTCGGGTTCAGCTGCAGTGAGATCAGATGCTTCAGCTTTTGTTCTAGCTTAACCACAGTTTACCATTCATGCCAAATCCTAAACTGTAGCTCATCTTAACCCAGTTCATGGCTGGGTTGTCTAGTGTGGGTGTCCATCAAACTTTAAAAAACTTTTTTTGTGTATGTACATGGATTTGTATATAGTTATAGCAATAAAATGCATAAGAAATGTATACCGTTTCCAACAATTGTTCATACAAAAGGCTTTAACAAAAGTCACCCAAATATCCAGACCGGTATCCGATTGAAGGTGTTATCTGTATGCCACTTGCACAGATATTGACAAAGTTGTAGGGCATTTTAAGGTTCTGCTTTTTGTTTTCACAATTTAATATTGTGAAATGCATACAAAGAAAATACAAAATAAGATTTAAAAATGCAAGCATCTTTTGTTGGTGTCTGGAATTGCTCCATACTTTCTTAGACCCTAGACGTTAATAACACTAGTTGTATCCTTATTAATTGCAGTTATCTTCTTTTGTTCTTTAAAAATAGAAATAAGGTCTTTGTCAAAGGTAAAATCCAGTCTCCCATTTACAAAAATAATATATATTCATGTTGGTCCATTTGAAAAAATCCAAACAGATGCAGTACCATAATTTATTAAGTACAGTTAAAAAGTCAAAATAGTAAACAAAGACTTGAAAAGTTTGCTCATGTGTGAATTTAATCGGTTGAGTAAAGTTGTTAGATTGTAATTTCTCTTTGCTGATCCTAAAAATTGTTCAAAAATTGTTGCCAGAGCATAAAACAAAAAAGACAGCACAAACATGTTTGGGCATCTTTCTGCTAGCTGAAGAACACAATATAAACAGACAAATAAACCGAAACGTGATATCTGAAAAAGGGGAGCAAATCATGACCGCATTATCTTCAGAAGAGACAGGAGGTCAGATGAATAAAAACATACATTTCGACTCCTCAGTGGAAACACTGACGTGCTGTCCATGCTGGATGAAACCACTTCAGTGTTCTCCTGAAGGGGAGGGATGTGTTTCAGAATAAATTCTTCAGAATAAATAAATATATTCCATGTATATATTTCCGTATGGAATTAATTTCAAAGAAGGGCTGATCCTTCAAAATGAAGCTATCAGTTGGGGTGCATTAAGTACTGACCGGCGAAACAGATGGTGGTCTGTAGCCGCACCTCAGGTGAACGTGCCTCTGGATGGCTGCTGCGCGTTGGAGAACGTGCAGTACTTCTCATGAGAATTATTTAAATAGTCTTTAAATGTACCTAGCACCCTCAAGATAGAAAGCAGTTTACCCACTTGTTCTGCTAAAAAGATTGCCATAATGGCTTGCAGCTTAGGGGTAGAAGAATAACTAGAATAATAGACATGGCTATCTGAAAGTTTCACTTACCAGAAGGAACTGTGGCTTTTTTGTTGACAACGGAGTCTTGTAAACCTGCATTAATTGTGAAGTATTTTAGACTTCTCCCCTGACAGCTTGTTTCCTTTGAACAATCCTGGCTTAAGAAACAATTCAACTGACTTATGAATAAACCCAAACAGGTATAGGATGCATGTGCCACGAAGTTCTATGAAATGGTGACACGGAAGGCCTGTTTCTCTCTGAAGCTGTAAGCCTGTATTAGGCTTCACACTGCAGGCGAGTGTTCACATGAATGTGACTGCAGTCTTGCGCACAAATACTGGGAGTCATTCCTGTTAAGCTCAGCAGGACTGCTTTCTGAGTAGACATGCCTAGAATTGCGCTCTTGAATGTTTCTCTATACAGAAAGGCTTCATATGCAAAACGCCTGGAGACTGGCCTTAGGCTTCACTTTCCGATAACTACAGCTCACAATAAATTACTGTTTTAAAAAGAAAATGCATTCAGGAAAAAATAGAGCTGGGAACAGACCTGCATCCAGAATCCATACAGTTGCCATAGCCTAGGGCTGCTAATACCGCTTCAGCTCAATTTCCTCCTTTCAAGTAACACCCACATTGATGTGTCTGTTGCAAAACTCGGAAACTACAGGGAATTCTGGGCTTGTTTTAAAGCCTCTGCAAGTTCATGCACAGTGCTGAGCAGGCACACGGGGCTCTCCTGTCACTCTGTTAATTAAGAGGCCCTAGCACAGGGCTGGGCGGAAACAAACTTCTACATGTTTTCCGTTCCCCTCTATCCTGAGCATTGGCCATGCTGGCAGGGCTCCTGAGAGCTGAAGTGCAGACCAGCTGGAGACCTGCTGGCTGCCTTCCCTTGCGCCAGGGCACTTTCCGTTAACACAAAAGGGCTGAGCAGCCCTAACCCAAAATGTCCTTCTAGTTGCACATTGCAGAGACAGATGCGTGGTGGTGGAAGGACTGGCGCCTTCCATAACCTGGAAGAGGCTGGGAAATTCAGCTCCCCAGAACAGTCAGAAGCCGCCGCCTTAGAACAAGAGACACAGAAATGGACAAATGTCAATTTGGTCAGCAGTTTGTGCCGTGACACTGTGTAGCTAGTAAGTTGCTCACAAAACACTAATCGTTTTCTCACTGCGTAGGACATCAATGCCTACAATGGTGAGGCGGCCACAGAGAAGCTTCCATTCCCCATCATCGCTGATGCAAAGCGGGAGCTTTCAGTCCAGCTGGGGATGCTGGACCCAGACGAGAAAGACAGCGCCGGCATGCCTCTGACCGCTCGTGTCGTAAGTGTTCAGTGCCCTCCAGAAGGCAGGCTGCAGCTGCCTTACTGGATCACTGGCTCGTCTTCCATCTGTTCCATATGGTCTGTTACCACTTAGAGCCAGTGTGGGGCGGGTTGGACCCTGCAGCCCAGTTTCCCGTTTGTCAGATGGGCGTCAGCTTTGCTTCCCCACTCTCCGCTGCTGCTCAGTTGATGTGCTCAGTGGGAAGTGACTGAGAAGCACGGGGACCTGTGGTAGGGGAGGGCATTAGTTGAGCACTGGGGAGAGAAGGGGAGCAACTGAGAACAGGATGATGGTGGGGTCCGTGGAAAAACAAAAGAGGATGATACGGCCATGTGAGGGTAGGTGGATATATGATGGTCTACGAATATATTGTATAAGTGGCCTTGCTATGCAGACCATGGAAGAAAATTTGACCCTTGGGCTAGAAAGGGGTTTCCACCTCATTTGTTGACAAATTTGGCATTGCTGTGGAAATGACAGATGGCAGAGGATCCAAACATTCCACAAGACTATTGGGGAGAAGTCGGTATGGACGATTGCACAGGGATAGCTTGTGTAGTATGAATTTCAGATTTTCACTCTCTGCTTTTTCTTCATAGGTGTTTGTTTTTGGCCCAGACAAGAAACTCAAACTCTCTATCCTCTACCCAGCAACAACAGGAAGAAACTTCGATGAAATACTAAGAGTAGTGGATTCACTGCAGCTAACAGCCACTAAGAAGGTTGCTACCCCTGTTGACTGGAAGGTAGCTATCTATAGTTCATTAAGCTTACTACATTTTGAGGTTTGCTCATATGAAATAGGAAGCTATTAAAGAGTAATGAACCTGCAGACCAGCTTTGATGGAAGCATACTCAGGAAGGCAGCACTTCCGGGGGGTGGGGTAATTTCTCCCATTGGTAGCAATTCCCCCTAAACATACCTGGGTCAACCCCACTGATTTTGCATATTCCTGGAGTGGTTTCAGGGCCAAATGGGTGGAACACTGGACAGACACTGATACCTGACCCCAAATCCCAGGGTGGATTTGGCTTTTCACTAGCAACAATCTCCTTGGGATGCTGAAGCGTGTTGACAACTCAGTTTGAAAGCTGTCAAATGCGTCAACAGAATGAGGGAAACACCTACCACTGGCACCGTCAGGGATCCTTAGACAGGGGAGGGTGTCTGCTGGGCTTTGCCAGCAGGCACCCCCCTGCTCACTACTTGCACCCGTCTGTGCAACAAACACAATTTGTGCAAATATCTACACAAATTAATTTGTCTTACAAAATTTTCAAAAATACTTAGCTTCTCCAGGACGCCTCTCTGAGTTACTGCTGGTGAGGGACTCCCTGGGATGGGTCTGTTGGGATTGTGAAAGCTGACCCAAGGAGCACCTGTTGTGGGCTTGAAAAAAAATTTTAATCTTATGTTGCGAACTGTAGTGAGATGAAAACAGCTCACACTGGGGAGGGAGGGAAATCTCAGCTCTCCAGGGGGTGCCCTGGAATATCCACAGGAGTTCTGAGGGAGGAGAAGGTGAGCAAGGACCTCCACTGCGCTTGCCATATGCTGGCAGCATCACTGTGGCTTTTGCTGCATTGTGGGTTGTCTTATCAGGTGGTTCCTCCCAGTCCAATATGCATTAATGGACTAAAGGTTCTAGTCTTTGCTGACAGAGAAAAAACAGAGAAGAAACGTCTTGGTGGCTATTCTTTATGCATGTCTTACTAAAGGTTCTCCTTTCTTCATCAGCCTGGGGATCAGGTCATGGTAATTCCAAACCTACCAGATGAAGAAGCGAAGAAACTGTTTCCGAAAGGGGTTTCCGCCAAAAAACTCCCATCAGGCAAGAACTATCTGCGTTACACCCCACACCCTCAGTAGCCGCTTTGAAGAGAGGTTCGGCAAGCCAGGATCACAGGGACCTTTCTAGAACCAACTTTTCTAACACTCTTGTGTGGATGCCTGTTTGGAGAAATTATTGCCAAGGAAAGAGTAGCCAAGCTCTTCTCTTTAGATCCTCTCAGCTGAACACGGTGGCTGAATATCGCTGGTATGATTTATAATCTCAGCTAATCAGTGTAGGCTTGTTCTATATGTGATCAGTTGTCTTGGATCTCTCCTTAGAATTGAGTCTACAGCACTGTACCATTATAGAAGTATTGATTTATTTTAAATTTTCTGTTCTCCAGCCACATGTGTACACTTTTAAAATAACAGATCTCTTCTGCACTGGAAAAAATTAAAGTGGTGGATAAACAATATAGAAAATCATGAGCCTCTGTTTAACACAAACAAACATTATGCTGTAAAGGCTGCAAGGATCACAGGAAGTAAAACTTCTTGAGCATAGCACATAAGAAATAATGTGAGTGTGGATCGTTTCCACAGCTGAAACTTGTGCCTTTATTTCAACTTAATCGACTATATTCACTCAAAGCCTAATTTGGAAATCTCATGTTAACTTGGTTTATGCTGTATTGGGGGCATTGACAGGTGGCTTTAGCAAGAATTTGTGACATGATGCTTATCTCCTTATTCAGAAAATAAAACGAATTACTAAAATATGCAGTCCACTCTTTCTTAACTATCTACGATCATGCCTTTTAAAATAAAAAATTCCTGCAAAATGCTCTGGTGGAGATGCTCTGATCAAAAACAGCTTCCTCCCACCACTTAAAAATGAATCTTCACCCTCAAGGGGCAGAAGATCTGATCACAGACATAGTGCCTATTTTCTGCCCGCTTTATTGCTGGACAAAACTTTACTGCAAAGCCAGCCTCTCCTGGGCCACCATGCCTAGAAGGAGCAAGAGTCTGTGGGCTTGCAGCAAGCCAAATGGTTATTGCTGGGGGTACATAAAGAAGTCATTCCTGTGTGCCAGCATCTTCTGTGGGCATTCAAGAGTGGAGGAACATGCACGATCACCTGCTGAGGTCCAGTCCATGAGTACAGCAGGGATGGCTTGGAATGAGGAGGGCAGATCCTGGGAGGAACTCTGTGCTTCCCAAAGGTGTCTCCTTAAGGCCTACCTTGCACTTTGAATGTGAGAAAACGGAACAATGATCGGAAGCTTATCAGAGGTGCACCATCCTGGCGGATGAGGATCTCTGAGACCCAGCCTTTCCTCCATTACTGATCTCGCTCTGCAATGTGCGAACACGGGCAGTCTGGGGATGCATATTTTACTCGTGTAAGGCCCAACATGCTTCAGCATCCTGAGCTTTCATAGCAGACACCCCTGAGTATCTTGACATGGTGCTAGAGAAAATGCTCTGTGGGAATAAAACAGTGGAGGACATTTTAGGAAATGCCTTCTACCTAGCAGGAAGCCTCTGGTACTCACGGGGTGCAGACAACTTTGTGAAGATGGGAAGCATGATGTCCTCCAGCTGCTGCTTCTGATCCATAAAATCAAGCCTGGTAGGCTCTTTGGTGTTTTCAAGCCAATCTAACTTGGCCTGGCAGGCTTTGAGAGAAACGTTCTGCAGAGAAGCAAAAGGGGGAGATGAGGAATACAAGCACTACATTTATCCTTGGAAGCGTAATCTGTCGAAACGGTTGGGAAAACAAGTTTGCTGGCTCCTGTGATGTCCTCCTCTGGGATGCATACCTTGAGAGGGTAAGGAGGTCTGAGCATGACGGAAGAGCTGAGCCCAATGCTGCCAGGAGGCCAGACTGTCTCACGGGACTAGACTAGCAAGGTCGGCCAATGCAGAAACACCAGGCTAAGACGCAACCACCCTCTTGAGAAGGAACGGTCTTGTCAGCAGAAAAGAAAGGAAGGTGGTGATGGTGATGGAGACAGAAACTCTAGGAGGGCAGCCGCTGGGCAGCAGTGGTAGTTCAAGGTGACACTGGTTAGCACTGTGCAAAAGGTGGAAATGGTAGGCCTCTTCTGACTCTTCCTACCTTGAAAACCTTACGAAACAATCAAAAATGAAACCAGTGATAGTGCCAGAGACCCCCTGCCCCCCAGATTGGAAGGCATTCGCTCAGCAACTGGGGAAGAGCAAACGATGCGTAAAACAGTACCATTGCTAATGGCACAACTAGATCAAAGCTGAAAGCAAAACCAGTGGCTTACATTCACAGAAATGAAAGTCTGATGCTGTACAACCCATACATGTGAGAAGTGTGAACCAAGGGCGCCTAGACAAGGGTATGCAGCCCAGGATGGCTATGTGTCCCAACACAAAACTGTAAACTTACTTAAAACATGAGATTTTTTTGCAATGATTTTCTTCTTTTTTTGGTAACTCAATTGTGCAGTTCTCGAGTATGAACTTTTTGGATGACAACGTCATGTCACAGTGTCAAAAAATAAGCATACTTATGCTTTCACTATTTGTATGTATGCGTGATTTCAGTTTTACAGTGTGTGCAGCTTCCAGTGTGTTATCTTCCAAGCACAGACAGTCAAATTGACACTATCAGACATTACATGTGCTCGTGGTGAAGTGAAACGCTGCTATTATCAATAATATTTCAACCTACAGTTGCAAGCAATTTTATACATTTTGACACATTGGCTAAACAATGTGAACAGCAAAAAATATGCAGTCTTGCTTTTCGATTTGATACAAGAATTTGAAAACAGATTTCAAGATTTCGGGAAAATAATCACTATTTTGGAATATTTGCAACTCCCTTTTCAGTTGACATAAATATGTTACTTGCCAATTTTCAAATGGAAGGTATAGAGTTGCAATCTGACATTCAGCTTAAAGAATAAATTGGTCATGGACTTTTATAGGTCCTGTCTTCCCAGAGACAAATATCCCTCGTTTCACAATCGTGCCTTATTCATGCCTGCTTTTTGGCAGCACCTACATTTGTGAGCAACTATTTTCAAGAATGACGCACACTAAGAGTAAAATTAGAACCAAAACATCTTGAGAACTCACTGAGAATTGCACCTACTTCCATTGAGCTGGATATTGACGCATTAGTTTCTCAAATAAAATGTCAAATATCCCACTAGCTTTATGTTGCCCTCTTTTCTTTTACTTTTATAGTAACAGATACTTGGGATACATCATGAGAAGGCAGAACAATCATGCTAGGGAAAGTCACAGGCAGAAGAAGGAAAGCAGGACCAAACAGGTGACGGGTTGAATCCATCGAGGCAGAACAATCATGCTAGGGAAAGTCACAGGCAGAAGAAGGAAAGCAGGACCAAACAGGTGACGGATTGACTCCATCGAGGAAGCCACAGCCTGAGTTTACGAGAACTGAGCAGGAGCGGCACGGCCAGGACACTTCAAACTTGCGGTTGCCATTAAGTCAGTGGCGACTTAACAGCACGACAAGAGAGCAGCAGCACCGTGACACTGGAGCGGCACTTCATCTCCAACACAGCGTTGACCTATCTTGCAGGGTAGCGAGTAGTGAGCATGCGTCTGACGCGCATCCAATGTACAAGTGGAAATTCAGCATCGGTATGACATGCTCTCTCCTCCACCCCCAAATCCAGGAAGTGCTGCCCCTAGAACTGTCCACTGCTTGAGGAAGTGGGAAATGCACAGTGAGTACAGAGAAGGGCAAGGAAAATGATGAAGGTGCCAGAGCAACTATCCTATGGGGAGCTGGTGACAACAACTGGGACTGTTTAACTTAGAGATAAAAGGCAAGTCAGGGGAGACTTCGTAAGAGGTGTTTAAAATAATGCATGACGTGAAGAAAGTAGAGGGAGATTTTCTCTCACTCCCCCATATCACTTGAACCCGCAATCTTCCCATGAAGTTGACTGGGGGGAGATTTAAGACAGAGAAAAGGAAGTACTCCTTCACACAATATATAGTTAAATTGTGGAATTTGCTGCCATGACAAGCGAGGGCCACTAATTTGGAAGGCTTGAAAAGGGAATTGGACCGATTTATGCCTGCACACACCAGCGGCTGAGGAGCTGGGGAAGGAGGAGGTCTTGTGCCCACCCTGCCTGAAGCCTGCGGGCAGCTGCTTTGCCCCTGTGTGTACAGAGTGCTGGACTGGATGGACCACTGATCTGACTCAGCATGGCTTTTCTTATGTACTTGCAATCCATTGTTGTTGCTGTTGTTAGTTGCGAAGTCGTGTCCGACCCATCGCGACCCCATGAACAACGCTCCTCCAGGCCTTCCTGTCCTCCACCGTCCCCCAGAGTCCACCCAAGCTCACACCAACTGCTTCAGTGACTCCATCCAGCCACCTCATCCTCTGCCGTCCCCTTCTTCTCTTGCCATCTATTGTGCCCAGCATTAGGCTCTTCTCCAGGGAGTCCTTCCTTCTCATTAGGTGGCCAAAGTATTTGAGATTCATCTTCAGGATCTGGCCTTCTAAAGAGCAGTCAGCATTGATCTCCTCTAGGACTGACCGCTTTGATCACCTTGCGGTCCAAGGGACTCGCAGGAGTCTCCTCCAGCACCACAGTTCAAAGGCCTCAATCCTTTGGCGCTCAGCCTTCCTTATGGTCCAGCTTTCACAGCCATACATTGCAACTGGGAAACCATAGCCTTGACTATATGCACTTTTGTTGGCAGGGTGATGTGTCTGCTTTTTAGTATGCTGTCTAGATTTGCCATAGCTTTCCTCCCTAGGAGCGTCTTTTAATTTCTTGGCTGCAGTCCCCGTCTGCAGTGATCTTAGAGCCCAGGAAAATAAAATCTGTCACTACCTCCATTTCTTCCCCATCTATTTGCCAGGAAGTGAGAGGACCGGATGCCATGATCTTAGTTTTCTTAATGTTGAGTTTCAAGCCAACTTTTGCGCTCTCCTCCTTCACCCGCATCAAGAGGCTCTTTAGTTCCTCTTCACTTTCTGCCATGAGAGTGGTATCATCTGTATATCCGAGGTTGTTGATATTTCTCCCAGCAATCTTAATTCCAACTGGTGATTCATCTAGGCCCACCTTTCTCATGATGTGCTCTATAAGTTAAATAGGCAGGGCGACAATATACAGCCTTGCCGAACTCCTTTCTCAATTTTGAACCTATCAGTGGTTCCGTGTCCAGTTCTCACTGCTGCTTCTTGATCCACATATAGGTTTCTCAAGAGACAAATAAGATGGTCAGGTACTCCCATCTCTTTAAGAACTTGCCACAATTTGTTGTGATCCACACAATCAAAGGCTTTAGCATAGTCAATGAAGCAGATGTTTTTCTGGAACTCCCTAGCTTTCTCCATGATGCAGCGTATGTTGGCAATTTGATCTCTAGTCCCTCTCCCTCTTCAAAATCCTGCCTGTACTTCTGGTAGTTCTCGGTCCACATACTGCTGGAGCCTAGCTTGTAAGATTTTGAGCATCACTTTGCTAGCATGTGAAATGAGTGCAATGGTGCGGTAGTTTGAACATTCTTTGGCATTGCCCTTCTTTGGGATGGGAATGTAAACTGACCTTTTCCAATCCTGTGGCCACTGTTGAGTTTTCCAAATTTGTTGGCATATTGAATGTAGCACTTTTACTGCATCGTCTTTTAAGATTTTGAATAGCTCAGCTGGATTCATGGCTCTTACATACCAGGTTCCTATGGAGTATAGATCTGTACAGCATCGGACTCTCCTTTCACCACCAGATACATCTGCAACTGAGTGTCCTTTCGGCTTTGACCCAGTCGCTTCATTCTTCCTGGCGCTACTAGTACTAGCCCTCCGCTCTTCCCCAATAGCATACTGGACACCTTCCAACCTGAGGGAATCATCTTCCAGCGTCATATCTTTCTGCCTTTTGGTACTGTCTGTGTGGTTTTCATGGCAGGGATACTGGAGTGGGTTGCCATTTCCTTCTCCAGTGGATCACGTTTTGTCTGAGCTCTCTGCTATGACCTGTCCGTCTTGGGTGGCCCTGCACAGCGTAGCTCAGAGCTTCACTGAGCTACACAAGCCCCTTCGCCACGACAAGGCAGTGACAATCCATAATAGTAGACAAATTTTGGTCTATATCCTTTGCTAGATCAAGGAAGGGCATTAGTAATAGAAAGTGTTAGATGGAGGTATCTCTTTTTCTCCTTATAATAATTTTCCCAAATCCATCCCTGGCTAATAGCTGAAGAGGAACTAGGCTGACATTTGAACTGTGACTTTTACTGGTAACTGCAAACATTCTGATGACCAAGGAAGTATTCTTTGGTATTATATATCTCTATTTAAAAGTAATGAGTCGTGCACATTTTACTGCCATATCTGGAATGAAGAAAGTATTTAAAAATATACCTTATCTTCTTTATTAAGCCTTCCCTGGACTTTCTCAGGATCTGTGACTGTAGCTTGAATTTGGGAGATAAGGTTTTGTAAGTTCTGCTTGGCTTCTAGAAAAGAAAAGGAGAGAGAGAGAAAGTGAGAACAGTTAAAAGATCTAGGTAATGTCCTAATTTTTTATTCTATAAAGGCTATCAGAATCAAAGTCTAATCTTGCTATTGTGTCTAATATGGCTATCCTGAATGAAGCACATAAGAATACAGAGCTGATTCTTACATTCGATATCAAGATTATAAACTAATTACTAGTATCTCGGCTACGTCGAATGAATTAGAGGATATCGGTCATTAAATCCCTTTCAATTATTCGAAGCCTCGTGACATCACAACCCCCATCTGAATGATGCCTCTTTCTATAGCAACATATACATTATGATCTGTGACTACTTGTTTGGTTTGGTCTTTCATTATTTCAATTGTGAGATGCCTTGCCCAGAATTAATGGAAGCTTTACTACATCATTTCCACATATAAAATAGGGGATTATTTGAAATAACATCAAATAGAACTTCATTTTCTCACATTCTATGTAGCAGAAATAACTATTTTAAAATCCCATTATTTTATATTCACAATGGAGTTGTATGATTCACTAGCATTTATAAGTCAACTGTACTAAAGAAGTATGTAATTATAAGGTGCTACTTATATACATAGCATTAGGCAAAGAACAAGTACAACAGGTCCTTACACAAGGGGCTTCCAATATAAAAAAGGCATAATAACACAACAAATGGATTGGGAAATGGAGGCAATGGAGAGGGAGAGAATATATGATTCGTACATGTACTTTGGCTTAGTTACAATAAGACATCCCACATCCTTTGACCTGCAACTACTACCTCATATTTTGGTTGATGAGAAAAGCCTCTCTTGAGATCTTAATGACATCACAGAAGCTTTCTTATAATGATCTGGAGCTCCTTTACGACATCACAGAATCTTTCAAAAGCTGATGGACGGATGGTATTGCCTGCATTCGAGTCTCTCCAGTGTTCAAGCAATTAGCTTGGTCACGATGGAAGGATTTATTTGATTAGCATTCTTTTGTGACTATCAATATGAGCGTCAAAGGCCATTCACTGCAATTCCATCACAAGGAACATCAATTAAGGGGAGGAATTTCTGGCTGAAAATTTCACAAAATGTTTCTTCAAGGTCCTCACAAGTTTCTTCTCTTGGGCATTGTCTTTGGGTTCCAAGATGTGCTTGGGCTTTGTGAACGACCAGCTTGGACAAGAGTTGCTTGGGACATGACTCCACAAGATCTGGAGCAACTAATGGGAGAACAGCAGTCTAGTGGCTTTCAAACCTCCACGTTCCAAATTTGTCACCTTTTTGCCGGCTTGAGTCTATCCAAAGAGTGCCTAGAAATTTTCTATTCGAGTTGTAAGGCTGCATTATTTATAGTTGCAGGTTTATCTACGCACTACCTGTTTCGCAAACTGATAGTGGCAAAAACCCCAAAGGTAAGACTCATTTGTGTAATGGATATTGTCCACCCTCTGTGACTGAGACCGTTGCCTATGCTTGGCTTTTACTTCATATACCTGTGGTGGGGAGAGCCCAAGCTGGTTTCCCCTGGTTGATGTACTTTCTGAGTAAAAGATCACAGCTGGGACAGTGTGGTTGTATCTACATTAGCAACTTACTGGCGTTATTCCACTTGGTTGCCTCTGTAGATTCCTGGGAATTGTACTTTGTGGTGGAAGTGAGATGTTAGGGATCTTTAATTAGTGCTCATAGAACTATAATTCCCATGGTTCTTTAGGAAGATAAGAACAGGTATAGTCAGGCTGTACAAATGGCCTATGTTTTTCCACCCACCGAAGTAAATTATGATCAACTGAATACAAACCTTGTACTTTTAAGATGCAAAAGTGGCTAAATTTGTGCCCAACTTGAATTTTGCATAGAATGCATACAAAAAAGCTGGGTATGAGGTAATAGGATCAAATCCCAATTGATGATGTTTACATGCCAAATTCAGAACTGTAATCTAAAAGTAGGGGAACAGTCAGAGATTATCTGTAGATAGTGGTCAAGAATCAAAGTAGCCTTCGCAACCAGGAGAAAGTTGAAAGGAAAGTGGAATGTTAAAATCCACTGTATAACCATTGGTCACTAAAATGTTATGTTGTAGAGGGTTATAGTACTTCTTTATCACAAATAAATATGAATAATTCATATGGGCAATATATAGATACATAAATATTTTCCACGTCAAGGCTAAGAAGTAAGAATAGCGTATGATAATCCAAGGCAGCCTTCTGATTAGACTTGTGAATAACTCTTCAAATAGGAACCAAGGTTCAATAGTTAAGGCTGTCACTACTTTTACTGGTCTTGCTCCCATGCTTTTAATAACATCCAACACTAAGAAATGGAGCAAGAGAAACATTTTCCAGCATTTCCATCCGAGAACCTGAAAAAACTGATCCAACAGCATTTATACATCAAACCCCTATTAAAAAGACATAGAAGGGTGATCAGTAAATAAAAGGGCTACTCTGATTAACCCCTATTTGAACTTTATTACCAATCATTAACCTTGTTCTGCCCTTTTCTCAGTCCTGCCAGGCCACTGCTGTTTCCGTCACTACAGAACAGCATTACGAATACACCAACCAAAACATGGACAAAATGCTCTGCAGGTTGGTCGCCAACACCTCCAGGATGATGAAGTACCTGAAGTGTTTTGCCTACTATCAGAGGAAAGAATTCAAATGCCATAAATTAAGCAAAAAAAAAAAAGGTGATGACACTGATGGGGACGAGCAGCTCTTCCCTATTTGTCCCTACAACCACAGCTCCGATGAAGACGCCATAATGCATGAGATCTAAAGGGGGGAAATCAGCAGGATTCCTCTCTCCCGTGGTCAGCCCGTCATAATCTTTGCAGATGCTGCTGAGCCAACAGGGTACAAACCTAAATGACAGACACTAACATGGTAGCTTGATATGTTTGAAATGGATTCAATGAAGAATCTTATGGATAATTAAGGCAAAAAGTACAAAAGATGGGTTAAATGTATCTTAAAAACTTAACTAAGCTGATTTGCATTTATAATACCAAAAATTAAAGACTGTCTTTGGTAGATAATGCTGTGATTCTTCCATGTGATCCTGCTGTGTTGCGCTACTTCAGCTGTACAAAACCAGACTAAAAACTGAAGACATCTTTCTAAAGGAAAAAGCCCATTTAACAAGGAACAAAGTGCTGCTATAGCGGCTGTACACTGGTCTCTTCCACCAGATTTCAGATCTAACCTCACCACTAGTGGAGTCCCACTGTGGCAACAGAGGGTAGAAAGGCATGTCCCTGCTTTCCCAGTACAGTCCTAGTGTGGTTATGTCCTTGGGAACAGGAGGGATATAGGAAGGGCAGAGGGCCTGATGGGGAGAAAACAGGGGTCAGGTGACAGGTGTGGATTCTCAAGATGGGTACAGGGTGGGCAAGGCAGTCAGTGGTGAAGATCAGGTTTATCCAAAGTGCCAATTACCAGTAAGAATTCAGGGAAGGAGAAGGTTCCCTTAGTGACCAAGCACAATTTGAGCCAGACACATCTGCTTTCCTCTTAGGCCTCCCTCCCTTTCCTCGGAACAGCTGTGCCTGCTGCCAACTGCTTCAGAGCTGCTGCGTGGCAGGGGACGACACTTCCGGCTGCCCTTGTTGTGGACCTCATGGCAGGGAATGAGGAGACCCTCTTCTCTTTAGAGCAGATGCAGCCTCGCAACCTTCCCGCTAAGTAATAAAGTGATACTCATCAAGAGTGGCAGTGTTTGTGCATTAGGACGAAAGGCTTGCTACTTGGTCTCCCTAGCCACAGGAACACAAGTGGTACAGCTCTTCCCCATAAGTCAGCACAGCAATAAACTTAGGCCTCATGAGGTCCAAAACGTCGTCACATTCCTGGCTCAAGAGCAGCAAAATAAGACGTTATCATGGGATCCCTGTTGTTTGTACCTAGTAAGGTGGAGGCCTTGCAGAGCTCCCGTGCTGATATGTGTGTGCATGGGGAAGCTAAACAGGTGTGACAGCCAGCACCCCTTGCACTTACGTCCGAGGGCAGAGAACGACTGGCTAGATAGTCTCATTCCTCCATCTTGGCATGGTGCAGTCATTAAGAGTGCAGGACTGGGATGCAGGAGATCAAGGTTCTAGTCCCCCTCAGCCATGGAGCTCACTGGGTGGGCCAGTCATAGGCTCTCGACCCAACCTATCTCACAGGGTTGTTGTTGTGAGGACAAGATTAAGAGGAGGAGGAAAATTAAGAAAGCCACCTTGAGTTCCTTGGAAGGAAAAAAGGCGGGACAGAAATATAATAAATACAAAAATATAATAAATCATCATGAAACAAGTCTTGGTCTGTCTATCATATTGCCCACCTGCCTTTATCGTACAATCCAGCTACACAGGAGAAGAAAATCCTTGAAGTGTCAAAATATTCAGTCACCCCTCAGTTGATACCAAAGTAAAATGTTATTAAAGATACAGGTTGAATCTAGGTTGAACAGGCAGACGACCTGCAAATCAAAGTTTAAAGCTCTAACTTAACCCATTACAAAATAATTTGAATCAGTATATAGTACTGAAGTTCAATATCCACTCATATTTATGACGTAAAGAACAGTTTCAGGGATTCAAGAAAATGGACAGTTGACATTTTGGGGGAAAGTCCTAAATATGGACAAGCCACTGGGTGAGAATGATACAGGAGGCAAAGCCAGCTTCCCCTGACTTGAGTCAAGCACAGGACTCCCTGCACTGTGCTGCATTGAATGGTTCTTCAGCTGTTTCAACTCAATACTGCACCGAAACTCATTTATACCTGTTCATACCCTAGCTGAGCATGAGGCGTGATCAGGTCCACATCTCAAAGAAGCAGAGGAATTAACCAACCTTACCTGCCCAATCCAAGAAATTAACACACACTGCCTGTTCGTATCGGCAGGCAATATCTCTGGCCTTTTCACCACGGAAGGTGGTTGCATAAATGTCAGCTTCCAGTTCAACAAGGGTTTTCAAAGTCTCTAGCTGACCCCAGGCTGCGGCACAGTGCAGAAGGGTATAACCTGAAAGAGTGAGCCAATACATACACAGAGTTATGAATGGAATACTGCTAATTATGTTCTGTCCAATGAAGGTACAAACAACAAGTGTCAGTTTGGGTTTTTTTTAATTTAATTGTTGTGCAACAATCAAATGCAGTGTAACAATAACAACAACAACAATAATGTACCTCTGGATGTTTTTTCCTTCAGATCAACCCCGTATCTGGCCAGTGCCTGGATAATGTTGCTCTGCCCAGCCATGCAAGTGGCAAACAGCAAGCCTCTCCCTATGATATCCTTTTCCATTAGCAGCTGAGTGGCTTTTTCATGATCAGGATCCTCTGGGTCCTCAAAAATCTGCTGAATCTGTTCTACGTTACCAGTTAGAGCAGGCTTCAGAAGAGGATTGACATATGTTGGGTCCTCCTGAAGCTCCAAATTCTCAGGCTCAGATTTTTTCCCTGAGTCCGCTGTTTCTTCCACAGGTTCCATTTCTTCAGAATTAGCCTGAGAAGTTAGAAGGAACACAATAGAATTAAGACGATGGGAAGATTATGGTTTGCACATGCATACAGCACCATAATTTTCCTCTACAGGAAATTATTCCTCCTGCTCCTCCTCCTGGTCAAGGATCACTCCAGGGTTCTTTGGGGCTCACTTACAATGCAGTCCCATAAATTTTTTTGTCAGATTTAGGTTGCATTTAGCTCAATGGGTATAGGACTACTGTCCTTTCCTTTTTATTAAGGGTTGTTGGAGGAAAGGTACAAAAAATATTATACCCTATATGTTTTTCCTCCTAGATCGCATCTGTAGTTGTTGCTCATTCTATCCATACAGTTATCAACCAAATGTGTGAATGAAAATGTATATTATCCAATCTGTTCCTATTCTTTATGTCTACCACTACATTATTTAGGTCACCAGGAAGCAAGCAGAAGGTTAGGCATACTCTTTAGAAAAATTCTGTCTTACCAGAATTACTAATATCATGACCCTATGGAAATGTACACAGAAATAAGTGCTACTGAGTTTAGGGGGGCTTATTCCAAAATTACAGTGAACACGTTTGCATTATTCTAATATTGCTGAATTCTGCAACACCCGTGAAAAGTTCCAAAAGACAATCTTTTTTGCCATGGCAATTTATTTCCCTTCCAACTTGGCTCAAGAACTATTTTGCTGTCTTAATCTGGCACCAAAAAGGTGGCAAATTTGGCGCCAGGTGTGATGCAGCAGGGAAGTTGTTCCAATGATGGGGGGCCATCACCGAAAAGACCCTCCCCCAGCTGCCATCCTCTGAGTCTCTTGAGGGGCTGGCGCCTGGAGGAAGGCCCCAAGAGTTGAATGTAGTGTCCACATAGATCAAGGTTGGGAGAGGTGCTCCGACAGGTATTGGGGTCCTAGGTCAAGCAGGGCTTTATAGGTTAAAACCAGCACCTTGGATTGGGACCAGAAGCATACAGGCAGCCAATGAAGGTGGCCCAGAACTGGTCTTGTATTTTCAGACCTCCAGGTCCAAGTTATTCATCGAGCTGCTACATGCTCCACCTGCTGCAACTTCTGAACCTTCTTTAAGGGCAGCCCCAAGTGGAGTTTGTCGCAGTAATCTAATTTAGAGATTACCAGAACATTGTTTACTTGAAGCCGGGCCATCCCTAGCCAGGTAGGGGCATAGCTGGGCCACCAGTCAAAGCTGGCAGAGGGCACTCCGAGCCACCAATGCCACCTGAGCCTCAAGGGACAAAGATGGATCAAGGGCACCCCCAGGCTACACACCAGCTCCTTCAGGGGAGCGAGACCCGTCTAGAACAGGTTGAATGCCCCCCGCACCCCCATCCGGGCAAAGCAATCACCCCCACCAGCATCCGAGTCTTGTCTGGATTGAGCTTGTTTGTTCATCCTCATCCAGTCCAATATCGTAGCCAGACATCCACAGCCTCACCTGCTGGCTCCGAAAAGCAGAAATAAAACTGTGTGTCTTCAGCATACTGATGACGGCACACTCCGAAACTCCAGTTGCCCGCATTTGCTAAACAGCATGGGGGGCGGAACAGACCCTCCCCTGCTCGCTTGCTTAGGAGGGACTGCCTGTCTTGCCCTTTTTCCTGGACTAAGAGAACACACAGAAGGGCTCCCAGCTGCAGACGCCATTGCCAAGGATCCCTGCGCGATTCCACTGAGGTGCATCTCGCGGGACTCCGGACCCCTCGACTCCCCTGCCCATGGCAAAGGGGGAAGAATAGGGGAGAGAAGGAAGGGCCATAATCGTTAATGCTCCATTCCAGTCCCATCCAAAGTCGCCCAGAGAACCGCAGGGCGAAGCCAGCGCGGCCGCCCGGCCACCGCCCCCATCCCCTCAATGCCGGGAACGGGGCCGAAAGCCGCCTCCGGGAGGAGGGATCGGCCCACCAGTGCTTTGCAAAACGGTACCATTTCGAGGGGTGCTCGACAAATGAGCTCAGCGCGGGTTTGCTCCAGAAGAAAGACACAGGTGCGAGGCTTTCAAGGCGCCCCGGCCCGCCGCGCCCAGGCCGCCGGTCGCCATGGCAACGGCCGGCGCGCCCCAGGACGGAACGGCCGCCGGGAGACGCAGTTCCCCGCGGAAGGCGAACGAGCGCCGCCACTTCCGGCGGGTGCGAGGGGGCGGGCCAGGAAGAGTTTCCGGGGACGGTCGGAGCCGCGAGCCGGACCTCTCGTGCCTCCCGCCCCGTGGGAAGGTTCGCGCCCGCGCCCGCCCCTCGTCCCCGCCGCGGAGGCGCCCGTGGAGCCGTGCTCGCCAGGAGGTCCGTTTCCAGCGGCCGCGGCCGCGGCGCGGGCGGAGGACTCGGCGGGGGTGGGCTGCCGGAGGATCCGAGCTGCCGAGTGTGGGGCCGGGCCGCGGGATCCTGGGGGAGCCCCGCGAAGGATCGCGCCCAGGCCCTGCGTCCGTGGGGGCCAGCCTCAGGCTTCTCGGAAGCCTGCAAGAAGGCGGCAGCCCCAGCACACGCTTTGGGGTCACCTGCTTCCTAGTGGGCAGGGTCCATTGAGCCGGCATGGGTCGTGGCCGGTGAGGGATCTGGGCTGCATCCCTGCTTTGTATGACTCTGACTCCCCCCAACCATATCAAAGCAAAGGCTGTCAGTTCATTGTATGGCAATACCATCAACTGGATTCTAGGTAGGCAGGAAAAAGGCAATAGAGAGGTGTGAGGGAAATCGTTGGGAGGCGCCTGAGTGGGGTGGGGGCTATTGGTGTGAATAATGTTGGGCAGAGGAAAGGCTTGACACGAGGACCATAGATTGATAAGCAGAATCCAGGCTTTCCCAATTTTGGATTGGTAAAAGGTCTTCGGCCTTCCCTGGCAGTTGCCCAGCTCTTCAGTGATTTGCAAAGCCCATGTCAACCCCAAAATAAGTCTCATTTAATCCAGTGGGATTTACTTCCAGGAAACTGGAAGCAGCCTGGGATGACCTGTAAACATGCTGTGCCTCCCACAATATTGAAATTCATACTGGGGTGAAGTAACATCTTTGCTTTAGGAGTATGTGAGTAATTTTGAACCGTGAATAAAATACCATTTCAGTGCTAATAAAAAGGAACAAGTGTATTTTGAGGTTGCTAGAATGTGGAAGATGCTTCAAATAGTTAGCTATTTTAATTTAATTTATAGGCAACTGGGTAATCAGGATTTTTTCCAGCCCTGATGTTCTCAGTGGATAAAATGAGTTGAAGGCAAGGATTCTTGAGTACGCAAGACTTTGAACTGACCTCTACTTCATCACAGGGTGAGTGACTGAACATATTTTGTTCTTAAATTTACCCATCTATTATTTTTTTGTCTGTTTATTTGGCCTTGTGGTGTAGTTTGGAGTGTTGGACTAGGATTCAAAGGATTCCTCAGTGAAGCCCCCTGGGTGACTTTCAGTGACTCAGCCTAACCTACCAAAGAGGGCTGTTGTAAGAATTAAAAAGAAGAGGAGGAGAATTTTGTAAGCTACTTTGGGTGCTTGCAGGGAAAAGACTGGATATAAATATAAATAATAATAGCTATGTATTTTAGCATAATGAATATTTTTGTTTTGAATAATATTGATGAATAATATTTAAGGAAAATGCTGTGCTAAGGATTCAGCAGCTAGATAACTGGAGAATTTAAACCTAAAAAAATATGTTTATCTACTATTTAATTGTGTTTTTATTTTGAAAATAATACCCTGAATACAAATTGTTTCCAAATATACTTATTTGTATACTTAAAGCACATGTATACTGTTCATTATTTTATAAACCTCAGAAGGTATGTTCCTAAGGCGTACTTTAAAGTCACATAACACAAAACACTAAAATATATTCTGCATCTTAATTGCACATTCCTTGTTCCTGGACTGGAAATGCCTAAGCAGTGGCATGTGTTCTCAATAGCTCGCTACTGTTGTTTGCTGCTGAAATATTTGGAACAAGGAGGATAGGGCATTTCTTGATTGCCACACCACATGGAAGGGGCATTTCTGGATTACCACCAGATGACATTTCATTGGTTATAATGTAGCTGTCAAGGCCCCTCTGGAGATCTTAGAGATCTGATGGATCTATCCAGTGTAAGGTGGACCTGAACTATTCAGGTATTTGTATCTTAGTAAAATGAACCTGCACGTGGCTCTGTAGCTAATAGGTGGCTCATGCAAGTCTTTCAGCATAGGTGTAATCTACGTGTGACGGAGTTCTCCACTCCGTACCTGGGTTGCAGCATTCTGACACAAGTCAGAGCTTATAAACCTGTCTCAAGGGCAGTCCCACATGCAGCACAGTAATCCAGTTGCAATGGCATGAATGGCACTGGCCGAGTTACCCAGGAAGGGCCAGACCAGTCGGATCTACCAAAGCTGAGAATAGCTGCTCTTCACCACCAAGCTTACCTGAGCTGCTTGTGGAAAAGATAGATCCAGGCGGACCCAGGAGCTGCATACCTGCTCCTTGAGAAAGAGCGCAACTGAAGCCAAAGACGGTAAAACATCCCCCCACCAATTCCAGAGCCAGGGAACACTGTGCCATCAAATCTCTGTCTTATCAGGCTGTTTCTTAGCTCTTCTCCAACTCTCACTGCAGGGATGAGGAGCTCAAGCAAAATCTTGCCCTCTGGGTTTTCCCAGGACACTGGACCCCCATTTCCCCAGTTGCCAATCATTTGTTAGTTTTCCAGCTTTTACATGGTTTTTTTCCATTGTGGAAGGTCGCCATGCCTTACTGTTCCATTCAGTGAATTTTAGTCAGAAATAAATTCCATCATTTCCTACAGGGCTTATTCCTAATTTAAAAGGGATGCAGCATCTGGAGCAGATTGAAGGCAAATCCCTTCGGCGACAGAAACCAGTACTTGAGAAATTACTGACATGCCATCTATGTGTTTATTTTGTTGCTGCTTCATTTATTTGAATCCTACTGTTATATAATTATATGAGCAGTAGAATGGATTGCTACACCCTTTTTTTCCTTTTAGGAGTGACATAGAAGTATAGGCTGAAGACGTCTCTTTGCAGTGCATGGACGGAAAGCCAATGCGCAGGTAAGATACAGAAAGATAAATTATTTGACTTCTTTCTAACTTCATGTCCATAAGTTTGCACCCCTACTGTCTTTCTGCATGCAAATGTACAATGTTTTTCTACCTCAATCTCTTTTTCCAGCTGACCATGCTTCAGATCAACAGGCCTCCCACATAGCAGTATGTGTTGGAAGATACTGCTAACCCTAAACTACCCGATATGTTGGTCTGCAATTTAATGTTCTTATCCGTTCTTATTCTCCAAGAAAGTCATGCGCTATATTGTGTTGCAAACTGCTTGAAAAGTGCGTATTCTGGATTGGGTGGCTGTGAATTGCTGCCAAAAGCTACTGATTAATTGAAGGAAGCAAATCTGGTTTTCTCATAAGGTGAAGCCATCTGATGGGAAACTGTATAATACTAAGTGCATAGTATCAGATCTCAGATATCCGACTGAGCCTTTCTAACTCCAGAAACTGTTTAGGTGAACAAGACGCTGTGGGTTAAGAAGCCCCTGGAGGACTGTAGTGGCGACTGGTCCTGAAAGCTGCAGAGAATTCCCTTCCAGTACTAGCTCAGCACTGCTGCTTGCCAGGTTTTTTCTCTGATGGTTTGGCTGTTCAGGGCAGTCACCCCAAAGCCTTGCACCGGGTGAAGTTCATGGGGTGTACAGTGACCTGGGGCTGTAGCACCCTGACTTTCCCTAGTACATAACAGAGGCATGTTGTGTATCTATGTGCTTGTCTGTGACCTGTGAAGGGAACCTTAGGAAAGGGAGAAGGTCCTCACTGGCTATACTGTAAAACTTTAGGAACTTGGGAATGGAACACAAGAGAAACAAGAACACCTGAAAAATGAAGCATGGTGGATGGGGCAAGATGAGTATTTTGCTGCCAATAATCATCTCAAGGGGTGAATTAATGGTAGCATTCATTTTTATTATTATGCTTCTGTGCAGCCCAGTAGCTCTATAACTCTGTGGATATTTTCATAAATAAAAATAAAAATGCAACAGGGATAATATATAGCATGAAACCTTTAAACAGAGTAAAACCAAGATGAAAAACAACATCAGGGTAAAGATCTGAAAATAGCACATTAAAAAAGATGAAAGAATAACAAGCCCAGGAAAAGTCTTTTTAAAAAGTCTTCAGCTGGCCCCAGAAGGACCATAGCAGAGGTGCCAGGCAACCCGCTGTGAGGAGGGCATTCCTTTACTGCCCCCCCCCCCGAAATGGCCTTCCACTGAGTAGCTGCTGTTTTCACATCATCTGCCATAAGCACCCTAGGAGGGTCTCCCGGGGTCACTTTAAGTCTGGACAGGTAAATATAGAAGGAAATGTTCCTTCAGATGATCTGGTCCAAGTCATTCAACACCTTTAAAGTTAATAGTTCAGGATTATTTAATGCAAAAGAGAATGGGTGTCCAGCAGCAGTAGCAACTGCATAGAAGAATGGGATTTTAACAGGAGCAGCCTTTCCCACTACAACTATGTGATAAGCTTGCCAAAATTCCCTTTACTATTCAGTTATGAAAGGTATGATCTTCCTTTGCGTGCAGGGAAGTATGAATTGGCCCTTCGTGTTCAGGTGAAACACCAGCTGTCTCGAAAGTGCAGATGAGCCGTCTGTGGGCCCTCAAGTGTGATCAAAGACTTCTGCCTTTTCCCTGACATACAGCAGCAAGTGGGGCCTCTTCTTCCCCAGAAGCAACATTGAATCCGATGTTATATTTGGGCAGAGTCAGATATAATCTAATCGTGACCTGAAAGGAAGGGAGCATATTATAATATTGTTTCATATAGCTCAGTATTCCCTTTGTGAAAAGATTCCCTGGATGCCAACTCATCCCTGATGCCTTCTTTACTCCTAAGATATTTATTGAACTTTGCTGATCTGATCTTCCAGGGCTATAATAGATTAATAGATTGGGAAATGTTGGCCTGTCAGAGATTTGCAAAAGGGGAAAATAATTACCTGCAGCCTGGGGTCCATATTGTATGGGATGGGTAACTGGCCAACAGCCTCTCCCCCACACACCATTCTATCTTAGGGACCCCAGTACAAATTTTGATGTGAGGGGTTAAAATGAGTGTGATTGTGTGCACATTATCACACCAATGTGTGTTTTTAAAGGGGGTGACCTTGGGCAGCCCTCCAAGATACTGTGGGGGCTCCTGGAGGGGTAACTGTTTGGATGCTGCCGTGCAAAGCATGCAGGTCAACTTGGAAGCCCGCTGCCAGAATTCCCGCTCACAAAAATGTAACAGTCAAGCTGCAGCAGGCTTAACAACACTTGGGCGGGTGGCAGAAGGGGGAAATAAATCTTGGCGTTCCTGCACGTCTCCTGGCATAGTGACAGGAGAACCAGGCGAGGAGGAGGTCGCAAGAACCCCCGACGCTCCCGATGGTCTGTCATGCACATTGCGGGCCCCTGGGTGAGTAACCCACACTGTGTGGCTGGTGCGGAGTGTGGGTTCATTTCTTCTGAACCTGCTCTCTGAGTGTAATGGGACTCGCTTCCCAGTGGGAGTAGCTAGGCTGGTGCATTTCAATCCGTGTCACCTTTGCATGTGCTCACAAAAAACCCGATCCCTTCCTTCTTCGACATTAACCAGAGAATTTTAACAGTCTTCATGGAGATGTAAGCATATTTTAAATGCATTTCCTTGCAAAGTATGCATATCTGGACATTTTTATTTCAAAATATGCCGTTGAAAAATGCAGGCCCAGAAATGCATCCCAGCACGCAGAGAAGTGCAAACTCCAGGGGACAACTGAGGTCTGATGCCTGCACTAGTCTAGGAGGTGGGGGCCAGGCCAGTTCATACCAGCACTGAAAAAGACTGAATTCATTCATTCATTCCCAGGAAATGCACAGAGAATTACAGCCTCATCAGGGCTAAAAAGACTTCAGTGTTCTGCACTCAAACAATAGAAATTCTTTGATGATGAATACTGCTTTCTGCAGCCTGAATAAATTTTAAAAATATGCGGGTATGCATGAATTTACGTAGCTTATTTTAGATATGCTAGTCATAGGGAATTTTGCACAGTGCTGAATTTCCAGTGGTTATTATTGGTGGCTTGGTTTTACCTGGCCATAAGGCTGCTTCCCATGGCTCTACTCCTGAGCCTTGAGTAATATTGCTTTATTATGTGCTGATGAATTTTAATCTTACTATTTCTCCAGTCAGACTGTGGGGATAGGGCAGTCCTCCCCCCAGCTTCTGAGGTCAGAATGTGGGAAAACAAAGTGAAGATCTTTCTGGACAAGCTGGGGTTGTTGCTTGTTGGTCCAGATTCAGGGCACTACCTGTTGTAGATGGAGTTGCACACCTGCTTAAGAGTCAGATTTGCATCTCAGGGGTGCTCTTGGATCTATCACTGCCCCTGGCTGTGGCGGGAATACTTTTTGTAGCAGGGATGCTTTCAGCCAGCGTAGAATAACATGCGAGTGGCGTCCTTCCCTGGAAAGGGCAGACTAGAAGAGATCACCTCTGGTTTAGTAGCATCCAGCTTCATCAATGGCAACACCTTTTTTGAGGGTGTGCCTTTGAAGGTGCTCTGAAGCTTCCATGAGCATAAAATGCAGGTGCTGGAGCAGTTAGGGGGACGGCCTCCCACTTTCATTCCAGGCCCTTTTCTGAGTGTTGCAGCCTGAGGATGATGGTGCTACATTGGCATTCCACCTTTCTTCTTATTTTGATTGTGAGCACCCTACAACCTGGGGCTGGGATATTGGAATGGCTGCTTTCCCCCATGTACTCAGATTGTCCTGTAAGGCCCTTCTCTTTGTGTCCACTGTTGGAAGTGAGGCAGAACACCAGCTCCACAAGGCAGTACTTCCTTGACGGTTGTACCATCTTCTAGAACTCTCTTCTACCGGTGAGGTCTCACAGGCTGCCGCCTAATCCCGATAGGTCAGAAGGCTTCCGCAGAATCTAATAACCCTTTCATTTCATTCATGTTCCCTTTGTCGTGCTGTTCTAGTTCTGCTCTGTTTTTGTTGTTCTCATTAATTTATGCTTCCTATTATTTTGTGTTCAAAAGCATGCAAATGCAAGTAGATAAAAAGGTACCACTTCAGTGGACAGGTAACAGCGTTCCGTGCACTTCGGTGTTCAGTCATGCCGGCCACAGGACCACGGAGACCGTCTGCGGGCAAGCGCTGGCTCCCTCGGCCAGGAAACGGAGATGAGCACCGCCCCCGAGAGTCAGGCATGGCTGGATTTAATGTCAAGGGGAAACCTTTACCTTTACCTGTATGCAACATAACTATTTTTAGTTAACATCTCTAGGAACAGAATGGTATGATAGAAGTATTTTTTTTAAATTAATGATTAAATGACAATAATGGTAAACAAGTTTGCCTGAATGGCAGCTTGTCATCCCGCGGCTGACCTTCCTCTGCCTTGAGTGCAGGAGCGTGATGCGGGTATTCTGACTTGCACCCCCCGTTCAAGCAGAAGGCCAGGAGGCTGCGGTGTCCTTGAGCTCTCTAGCTCATGCCCCAGAACCCTCTGAAAAGGCCCTGAAATGCTGGGACTCAGCTCCCTGATGGTAGAGCCTTTTGAACTGTGGAAGGGGGAGGCCTGTGCTCAGTAACATTTTGAATGGGAAAACTGCCAAAAACTTTGTTGTCCCAGTCCATTGAACAAACTTCTCAGAGATCTTAAAATAATAGGGCATAAATTCATGAGGAATTATCTGAATTGGAAAGTAAGTGCTATAATACAGGAAAATTATTTCAAATAGCTTTCATGACAAATTGTTGTGTTTAATTGCATTTTTATAATCTTGCATTATATAGCATTTTATTACACTTATTTTAGTGTACTTCATTGTCCTCAGTGATATTGGAATACTAATAGGTATTCTAGAATTTATTTAAATACAGTGTGGAGTTGGAGTGGCACTGGCTAAATTATAGATACAGCCAGGTGTTTCAGTGCTGAGTTGATAGCATAATTAGTATCAGTGCCTTTTGAAACATATGCACAGAATAATATATTCTCCTTATAACATGACATTTTCTTTGCAGACTTAGCTACTCTGTAATTTTCATCATTAAAAAAAGAACAAACTTCACAGGTAATGAATAATGTTGACAATAGGAAGCAAAAGCACACAGCCTTGTTTGCAGCTTGTTTCAGAATTAAAATGGTAATTAGATTCTTGTATTCTTAATTAGATTAGAAACAGGACTTACTTAGAAAAAGTGACGGGTAAGTCAGACTCTCTGTTTCTTTCTGGTAGCCATAATTATTTTCTAGAACTTAAACAATGGAAAGCAGAAATTCATTGAAAGCTTTAAAATACCCAGTATTCAGTAATAAAGGAAAAATAGATTTGGTGTTCAGCAAAGCTGGTGCTCTTCTTCTGCATTTCCCCCTTCTGACTTTTGGATATCGGGTGCTTTTTCTTCTGGGTTTTGGAGGCCGGTCCTATACCTTTGGTGGCCTTCATTTGGATGTCAGTCCTATACCTTTGGTGGTCTTCACCAGTATCTTGCTTTGCTAGGTGTAGCAGTAATCGAGCAGGCGAAACCGGAATGGATGTAACAAGCCGCTGCACTCTTGGAGACCCCAACAAACTGCCCGAGGGAGTGCCACAACCTGCTCGCATGCCTTACATCTCAGACAAGCACCCTCGGCAGACACTGGAGGTCATCAACCTGCTGCGGAAGCACCGGGAGCTGTGTGATGTGGTGCTGGTTGTGGGGGCCAAGAAGATCTATGCCCACCGGGTGATCCTGTCGGCTTGCAGCCCCTATTTCCGAGCAATGTTCACTGGGGAGCTTGCAGAGAGCCGGCAGACTGAGGTGGTGATAAGAGACATTGACGAAAGGGCCATGGAGCTGCTGATTGACTTTGCATACACTTCCCAAATCACAGTAGAAGAGGGCAATGTCCAGACTTTACTGCCCGCTGCCTGCCTGCTCCAGCTCGCCGAGATCCAGGAAGCCTGCTGTGAATTCCTGAAAAGACAGCTCGATCCTTCTAACTGTCTCGGCATCCGAGCATTTGCTGACACCCACTCCTGTCGGGAACTTCTGAGGATTGCTGACAAATTCACCCAACATAATTTTCAAGAAGTAAGTGACCCTGCACCTTTGAGATCAGGTCCTCCCATTCAGTGGAGTGAGATGGTAAAGTGGGCTTCGTGTTGAAGCTGGAGGACTTCTGAATACTCCGCAGCATTTAAAAAAAAAAACCCTGCCTTGCCTTATGGTGGCTGTTGTACAAACTCTAATAGACCTCAGTGTTGAGGTTTTGGGATGCTTACAAAGCTTTGAGTAGCCCAGCTTTTGAAGCTGCTCTTTTCCCTGCTTAATTTTTTTCAGTACAAAAGTGATAAACAACCAGCACTTGCCTTTTGAAAGGAAGTTGTAATTTTCATGGGTGCAGAAACTAAAAATCTTCAAGGATGCAGTTCTGTCACCTGTGTGGCTGAGGACTGGAAGCTCCTCTGTTTGGAGGCTTCCGGTCATCCAGTGCAAGGCAGGGGCAGCAGCAGAGGTCTTTGCTTCCCCATACTCCTGTCCTGCATAATGTCCCCCTTCCCTTCTGCTGAAAGGCCCCATTTTCCTCCTCTCTGAAGATGTTTTCTGATTGTGAAGGGCACACTGTGCTTCCTGCAGTGGCTGCGAGGAGGTAGGGAAGGGGGCTGGATCCCCTTGCTGAGCTTGGGGCACTGCACCTGCCCTCAAGGGTGGAATCCCTAGGATCACAGAGCCCCTTGGGCAGTTTCATGAGCATGGTATGTTACTCTGCTAGATACAGGCATGTACGTATGTGAATCGCCCAGGATATTGCTAGAAGGGTATCATTTAATATAGGCTCAGAATGGAATGGAAAAAATAGAGCGTTGATTTTGTACTAGAATATTCCAGAGATGACTTCTGAGCTCTGCTTGGACTCCAGCTTTTATCTCTCCTTTCCTTCACACACTTGCTGCGTCGCCCAGCAGACCTCTCGCCTGTGATCAGGCGGCATCCAAGGGTTGTAGGGGAATCTCAAATGAACATTCCCTGAAGACTGGCTTATCACTTCTGATGAAGTAGTGAGCTGGTTCCGTCCTTGCCTCCCTCTGCAAGCGTTGAATCACTGGTGGATGTTTATTCCATTGGACGCACAGCTGTCCTATTCTTCAGTATTGTGAGGATTGTATCTGTGAGAAATTGGGATTATTATACACCTTGGTTCTCTCCATAGCATGCTTTGGTTGTCTTGATGAACCGAATATAACTGTGTGCGGGGAATACTCCAATAACAGGCATGACTTCTGCCTAGGTATGCTATGTAGCTAATTTAACCCTTCATACAGAATCTCTTCCACCTTTGTTTCTAGCCCATTCTCCAAGAAATGGGCTTGCATGTTCCCATCAAGAAGTAAATTGCTCCCTTTGTTCCCATGTAAGTTGTGGCCTGCCAAGGTGAGCACAGGTGCCCAGCTTCGCACACGGCCTGTTGAGCCCTCGGTGGGCAGACTGCCTTCAGACCAGTGAGCTGCAAGTTCTGCATGCCGTGTTCAGTCCACCCTGTGCCCTCCGTAGAACTTCAGGCTGCTGTGGAACGTAACTGTAGCTTCCTAGGATGCAGTGGGACAGCAAAGTCCGGGTTCTTTCCTCTGTTCCAGATGAGAAAAGAGAAGGAATCACTCCAAGTCCTCTCATGACTTCTGAGAAAATTGCTTCCTACCCAGGCCCTAGAAAGAAATCTGTTAACATATTTGCGGCTTGCCAGAGGCTTGTATTTCACATCTTGGCATATTTTAGGAGTCTCTGGTTCCCTTGCAACTTCATTCGCACTCAAGGTCCGTGTGTATATATTTAGAGAAAGCAAATGGAAGCAGAGGAGGATCAGATGAGCCGTTTTTTAGACTTGAGACACTTCTGTGGGAAGACATGGCCGGAAAGATCTTTTCGATGTATCTGGGTAATTCTTTGTGAGTCTGTGTTCTGGCTTTTGTTTGTATCACAAGTACAATTGCTTTCTTAGCTAGTGTTGCTGACCCTTCAAATGTATTACTTTTTACCCAGTACTAAATATTCTCTGTTAATTCAGAATATGGGTAATGGAAGATTTTAAATCAAGCAGTGCTTCAGTTACTTTGCCCTCAATATTATTTTGTGGCTGATTGCCATTATTCCAGATTATAGATGGGAAGGCCAAGGCTGTGACACTGATCTGTTGAGACCACCCTGACACTCAAAGCTGGCAAGGATCTGAAAGGAAGCTCTCCAAATTCAGAGCAAACTTTGGCTAGCTTTGAACGGTGTAATTATTTAAATGTTGTCCAGTATGTTGTTTTATGAGGCTTGGAAGCTGCCTGGGTTAACATCTGTAAAACTAGGAGCAGTCTGAACGATGTGCTGAACAGGGCTCCACTTTTGCATTTTCCAGTGCTGCTGGTTGCACTGAGTGCTTCCCGTGCCTTTATATTATTGTACAGGTGATGGAAAGCGAGGAGTTCATGTTGCTTCCTGCCAATCAGCTCATTGACATCATATCCAGTGACGAACTGAACGTTCGAAGCGAAGAGCAGGTGTTCAATGCCGTGATGGCTTGGGTGAAATACAGCATTCAGGAGAGGCGGCCTCAGCTCCCGCAGGTAACCCTCCCCCCATTCATTTTTTTAAACACCATTTATCTGTTGTCAAAATGACTTGGCCAAGGTAGGCATTTCTTTACTTATAAGAAAGAAAGGAGGAGCTCAAAATGTAACTTAGGGTAGTGAATAAAGCATGGGAAATGGAGTGGGGGGGATCTCCAGGCAGGGCTGCAGCTGTGAGGTGAGGGATGGTCCCGTTCCTGAACGTACAACTTTGAAAGGAATGTCCGCTTCTGCTCATGCTCCGTTATTTACAGAACTATAAAGAAAGAGCACAGATAGCATTTTGCTTGCCGGGAGCCTCTTCCCATCTTCCGGTATTCTGGCCCATGTGTGCAAATGCTCTGGGATCACTCACAAGCACTTGTTTAAAAAGTTTCCAAGTTTCATTAAAATTGAATGCAACTTTTATTGGGACTATTACTAATAAACGAGTCAATAAGTTTTATTCTCCCCTTGGTAGAAGGACAGCTAGAACTGTATTCAGTTATACATAACTGGATTAACCACAGACTCACACAAAGAGGGACCCAAATAGCCACGCGCACATTCATTGGGCAGCGGCACCCGTAAGCCATCCCCTCGGGCACTGAAAACATTGCTAGGCCCTCAGTCCATTGTATTGTGCAAGAGACAGTTCACCCAGAAGAGACAGGAGAGCCGACTGGCATGTCATTTCTTAGATCACCCCTGAATTCTCCTTTTAAAATACCTATCACGTTGGCCTAATTTCTGTGAGGCAACTGCACATTAGGGCTGCATTAGGCTCGTACGGCAGCAGCTCCACATGCCTGGTCGAAAAGCTTCTCTGCCACCCTTTTAGTGTGAAGCACCAGCAGGCTGGTTCCGTTCTGGTGAAATGGGGCCCGTTTCTTTTGCAGAGGCTCAGTTTGTCCGCAGGAGGGGGAAGCCAGTGACAGAGCGAGGTGTTCTGCCACTCTGGCCAAGCAGCTGTGTAGTCTTTTCGCTTGACTGTGGCTTGGCCATTTGTCTGGGCTTGGATGACATGCTAAGCCATGGAGGGTTACGTGAATTCTAGAACATGCCATGGCATCTTGCTGTGGCTTTGAAGCCACAGTGGCTTAAACACCTCATGCAAACCAAGGCTTTGGTGAGAAGGAAGCAAGAGCTACGGAGTCCCAGGATGGGGTAACGTGGGAGAAGGAAGGGAGAAGAGATGAAACTGCAAAGCAAAAAAAGCAGAAATTAGGGGCTGCAGGGTTTTGCCCCACGGTCTGTGCATAGGATGCCTCTTGGGTTCACTGGAGAGGGTTAAAATGCGCACTGTGCTGCCCCTCCCAACTTTCTTTGCCTGCAAAGAGAAGGTTAAATTAAGAACACCGTTTCAGCATGGCCCAAGGGCTGTAGAGGCATAAATCATGTCTTGGGATGATGTCTGAACGGAGCGTGCTTCTTTTTGGCACTTGGGAACCAGACCTGTAGCTGCATTCACTGCGTCGGAGAACCCGGCAGCCCCTTTGCAGTGCTCCGTTTCTGACACTCTGCTCCTGACTCGCAGGTATTGCAACATGTCCGCTTGCCACTGCTCAGTCCAAAGTTCCTGGTAGGCACAGTTGGTTCCGATCCACTCATTAAAAGTGACGAGGAGTGTAGGTAAGTCACCACTGATGGCAAGAAACATTTTACATGTTGGAAACTGAAGCTTCTTTATGATGAAATCCATTTAGAAGTGTGACTGTTTTTGTGGTCTGCCCTACTCCAAAAACAAAAGAAAAAAACCTGGTGTTTTTTTTTTTTTTTTTAAGAACTCATCAGGAACGGAAACATTTTGAAAAAATAAATCTAGGTAGAATCAAATCATTTTAAGCACTGAATCACTGTATACATTTCTCTTTCCATTTCATCCTAGCATGAACTTGATTGAGATTTCTGTGGGCATCAGATTATTGGGTCACACTATAGCTGCCTCGGATGCATGGTGTTTTCTTTGCCAAATAAAATGTTAACAAAGTTTAGAACTTTCTTTCTTGAAGAAAACTGGTTTATTAGAAACAGGGATACAAGATTCTTGCAAACATGTATGTCTGTGGAGATAATATAAATAGATTACTCTTCATCTGTACTGTTGGCAAGTTTAATTTATACAGGATGATCCGTGGCATCTTTACTTTGAACTAAGTCCCACTGAGTCTAATTAAAATGTTCATTACTAGTTACATCCAGGATTGTAGCTGAAATCTACCTACCTTCAGCATGGTCACTCGAAAATGCAAACATTTTAGCTTGATGGATTGACTAATATTTTTTTTTTAGATCCAGTAAACCTGCCATAGCCTTCATGTTCTGCCCCGGCCCCTGAAACTAAACTACCAGAATGTAAATCCTGAAAAATACCACTCATGATGAAGTGGCTTGCCACTTGAAATTTGGCTCCCCCCGCAAGAACTGTTATCAATGTTAATGCTGCCAATTTAGTCATGGTTTTCAGAATAGGCAGGATTGGTAGCCCAAAACTTAGTTCCAGCAGGCTCAGTCTATCCTGGTTTAGCTCTTAATCGAAATCTTGAACTAACTACCTTGGTTTGGAGTGATGGCATGAGAAATTTGCTCAAGGACTTGGTCAGAATAACAGAACGCTATTCTCTTTTCCTCTGAAGGGACCTAGTGGATGAAGCAAAGAACTATCTGCTGTTGCCCCAGGAGAGACCACTGATGCAGGGACCAAGAACTCGACCACGGAAACCCATCCGTTGTGGGGAAGTGCTTTTTGCAGGTATGCTACAATGCCCGTGGACTTTGTCAGCGAGGCAAAGGACTTCAGTAGGTTTATACTTCCTGTCAGTAATGCTGCAGAGCAGCTAGCAGCGTTGTTCTGGGCTGCTGCTTGAATGGGAAGACTTCTGAGCAAGCCTCCTGCTGCTAAATCTTGCTGGTAAGGTCCAAGCTGCGCAACCAGGAATATGTTCTGCTAGATCAGGGGAAGGGGGAGAACCTGGCCGTTAAGCCTGCGGTTTCTTGGGAGAGCCATTTCCAAGAAAAATGAAGCATCTCATAAAAACAAGTTGTCATTTGGCTGTTTTCCAGTTAAGTGGCTGTTTTAATTGGCCAGGAAGGCTGCGGATGTAAGAAATGCTTTACTGTTCAGATCAAAATTAACCTGGTTAGTATTTTGCCTCTAACACTGACCTTCCAGAACTCTGGAGGCTCACAACTAGGACAGGGTATTTCTCAGTTTTGGCAAATTGAAGCACATGATGAGCGGGTGTGAAAAGCTGGTATGGCATCTAGTGAATGGGGTATCCAACTTGAATCAGGGAGAGTTGTGTCCGAATCTCTGTTCAGAAAGGCAATTCCCTGGGTGCCATTGGTCCAGGCACCACAGGGGGGTTGTGAGGATAAAAGGGGACTGTTGCCTTGAGATCCTTGAATGAAACCTGGAATTAAATTCTAAAAAAATAGAAACAAAACTGGGTCTGTGTCAGAGAAGGGCTTATATATTCACATCTACAGTCTCCCAATTTGGAAAACTAAATTATCTTTCTCCCTCATTCTTTTGTCCTCGTGCTCTCTCTCACATGCAGAGGCCGAATTAATCCATGAGCAAAATCTAGGCTGTGGCGGTAGTGTAAGTTCATCCCTCCATCACATGGATGGCCTATTGAAAGTGGGTTCTGTTGACACTGGATTAATGCTATTTCTAGAGACTCAGGAGTGATTCCCATGGATTGGGTCTTCATGTAGAGTCAAGGTGGGCAGCTTGTGCCTCTCCAGGTGCTTTGACTGACAGCTGCAGGTATTGATGGGAATTGTAGGCCAAAACATCTAGCAGGTCACAGGTTGCCCACTCCTGATATTCCCTGGTATAACCCCTGTACCAGACGTGACACAATCTGGGTAGAGACAAGGACAACTCTTCTTGCTCTTCCACCATGCTTTGCCTTGCAGAGTATGTGAACTTAGGAAACAAGGCAGACCAGCTCAAAGTATTGGTTCTTTCCCTGCTTTCCCTTATTAGATGCATTTAACTAGACATCTGGGATTGGCCTGCATGCAAAACATGTGTTCTGTCTTTACTGTAGTCCTGATCCTGTGACCCAGGCCCTAGTTCTGTTTCTGCAGCTGTTTATGCATTACCACCATCCCAGAGAAAGAGGTTGGAACAAGGCTTGGTGGGGGTGTAGCTGTGCTCCTTAATTTCTTTTGAGGGAGCAACAGGGAGCTGAAAATAATCTTGCTGTGTTGTGAATGCTCTGGTAAGGTTATACCTACCTTCTGTTTATTGACATAATCAAAATAGAAGGTTGGTGTGTGGGAAGGAAGCAGTTTTTGCTATGACACTTAAGCCAGATGCAGTTTCTGTTAAGATACCATTATCCAGTCTTGAACTTCAGAGATACATGCTGGCTGGCTTGAGATAAGTAATCAGTGGTGGAAAAGAATTGTTGCAGTGCACACCATGGTTCGTTTAACATCTCACTGCTAAATTACCTGTTCCATAGATGAGCATGCAGATTCTTGCCTGCATTGTGGCACTGAGCCAGCACTGGTGTTAGAAGAGGGCCAGAACAAGGCATCTTTTAGCTCCTTCTAGAACAGGGGCAGGGAGCTTGTGGCCCTTCAGGTGATGGACTGCTGGGTGTTAGGAGTCCAACAACATCCGGAGTGGCACCGGTTTCCTCTCCCTGATCTAGAAGAATACACAGGCAGGCATGCTCACAACAAAAGAATAGCTGGTTCCCAGATCGGATTGGAAGGGTAGATCCAACGTTGACAAGCAAGGCGCTCGGTGAACATCCACTGCGGCGAGCTTCGGGTGCTGCAGGAAGGATGGCAGTTTTGCTTCACACATGCCTGGTAGGATTTATGGAGTAATGAGCTAGCGGTGCTTCAGGTGGGAGGCAGATGAGGCAAAAACAGCTGGAAGCACGCCTTTGAGTGCTGGTCCTGGGCTTCCCGTGGGTGTTCTCTTTTCCCCAAGGGGAGGGGCCTGGGACTGGGGTTCCGGGAGGGCCTGAGGCTCTGCTGCCGAACATTAGGCCCTGCCATCTGTTGCCTCCCACTCGCTTTCCACAGTGGGCGGCTGGTGCAGCGGGGATGCCATTTCCAGTGTTGAGCGCTATGACCCTCAAACGAACGAGTGGCGAATGGTGGCCTCCATGAGCAAACGGCGGTGTGGTGTTGGAGTCAGTGTCTTGGACGATCTCCTTTATGCAGTGGGAGGACATGATGGCTCTTCCTATCTTAACAGCGTGGAAAGGTAAGCCCTTGTCTGGCACACGTTTAGGCTCCCGAGTGCTTCGCAGTTGGCTGAGTTCGTTGCAGTGGATCTCTGATATGTTCCATTTAAGTTGCTATCGTTGGCTTATTTACTGAAAAATCTTCAAGGCAGTTTGCATTCTACACGGTCGCAATCAAAATACGAACTAGGAACTGCATTGGCCAGGCCCCATCCACTAGCAGCAGTGCGAGAACCCTTCCTGCTCACGGGTCATAAACACCACGGCACTTAACAAAACCTCTAAAGATTGATTAATTCCCTGAGCAAGGCCTTTTAAAGTGTTGGTTCATGTGGCACATAATATGCATGCCTAATGTTTGCAGGGCTCAGATATCTGATCCAGCATTTGGATCTCTGAGAAGAGCACTTCCTATGCCATTTCTTTTTTTAAAAACGTCTACAAGGCATCAGTGTGGCGATGTGCTAGAAGGCATACATACTGCAGGGGACGCCCCTCTCTTGCCCCAACCCACTTCATTGCCCGTTTGGAGGGATGGAGCACCATACGGTACCTGGCCTTCCCTCTTGACCTCCCCAGACTCCGCTTCCACGCACACAGTGGGCCTCGGGGGAAAAAAACCCCGCTTGTCCAAAAACCTGCAGCCTTACGATATGGCTTCCCAGCCAACACCTGCTTTCTCCTAGGTTCCCTTGCTTGCAGCATCTTGTACAACTGGAGATCCCTGTCATCTGACAGCAGTGCCAGGCCTTCCCTGGCAATGATCAGGCAATGTCACCTCTCCTCAATTAATTGTTCTCCTTCTCTGGATCTGCAGAAAACCTTCAGAGTACCCTGCTAAAAACTAAATAAATATCAGACTTGGAATAAAGCATGCACATTCAGCAAGTTTACTCAAAGTGAATTTATGTTGCCCCAAAACAGGAGTTTTGAGATCATGGATCATAAGCTTGCTTTAGGATCAGTACAGTATCAGTTTTACGGGGAAGGAAACAGCTGCAACAAAGAGTTCAGTTAGTGAGCAGCAAGGTTCATTTCAGGATTAGAAGACCTGCTTTTTAATGCGTTACAGATTAATTTGCAGCAATGACACTCACTGAATATCTCACTGAACCCACTGAAGCCCAAACCTACTGAATATCTTAAGAGCCTGCCTGGACAGGGTGATTTCACAGTTACCAGCTAGAGATACGTGGAACCTGCATCATAATGCAGCGGTGTTGCATTGTGCACTGTGTTCTGGCCAATTAGCCATGCTTTCTTCCAGGTTACACCGTTCCGTTCTCCCCTTTCCCATGTCCACTGATGGAGCCTCGTTATGGTTGGGGTGGGGAGGGTTGTGTCCCTTTAGCGTGTTTTTCACCTAAAATGTTTGGTTATCTCCCCGATCCTGATACCTCTTCTTGTGAGTGCATGGTGCAGTTTTTAATCTATAGGAATTGGTACTGGTATTGATGATGATGATGATGATGATGATGATGATGATGATCTGGCATGTCTTATTGCATGTATTTATTTACAGGAGTTTTTAGGCCTCCTTGTAAGGGCATAGCTCAAAACATAATACAAGCAAATGATTCTAAGACCAGTTGCAACACAATATAAGACAATTTCCGAACAGCCAGTTGAACTCTTAAGAACCTAAGAAGAGCCAGACCAGAGATCCATTCCCGCCAAATTGGAATGGGTATTCTCCAAGACCACATGAAATTTGAAGCCAAGGGCCCGCCTCTGGAAATAGTTTTCCTTCCTGATTCAGTGATTGGTCCCTGTCCAGGGCAGATTGTCAAGCTCTCAATAGTATGCATCAGAGAGAGAGGTTTTAGCGAGCAGCAGGCAGTGAGAAAATTCAAAACCTGTAAGAAACGATTCAGACCCCTTGAAGAGCTTTCCACGAAGAAATCACGTTTGCTCTTTTCTAGATATGACCCGAAGACCAATCAGTGGAGCAGCGACGTGGCTCCCACCAGCACTTGCAGGACCAGCGTTGGAGTGGCCGTTCTCGGAGGCTACCTCTACGCTGTGGGTGGCCAGGATGGTGTCTCCTGCCTCAACATTGTTGAAAGGTGTTGGAAAAAGAGGGAGGAAATGTCAAGATAGACTCTGAATGATCTGAGGAGTGGGTGGAATTGGTCATACATGAAGTGCGACGCTCCCGGTTTTTGTTTCAGGTATGACCCGAAAGAGAACAAATGGACCCGAGTGGCTTCCATGAGCACTCGGCGCCTTGGGGTGGCGGTGGCAGTGCTGGGAGGCTTCCTTTATGCTGTCGGAGGCTCTGACGGGACGTCACCCTTGAACACAGGTATTTTCCCCAGAAGGGCTCTTGCCTTTGAAGCGCCCAGTCGGCCCCTCCAGTGTGGCTGTACTTTCCTGAAGATGCCACTGAGGAAGGTGCTGTGCCTGGCAGACGGAAGCAGAGACGACGCCTGCTTTTTACCAAACTGTCAGTTCATTAATTTTATATGAAATAGGCATCAGGACACCTGATAGGCAACTTCTCAGAATCAGTCAGTTTGGGAGCTTGGATTGAACAATGTATTGACAACATGGATCTTTCGTTGTTCTTCTATGTATTAAGCATAGGATAGGCATATTACTGGCTAAGCCCGACCTGCTGGTTCACAGGCAATCAAACATTCACTTGCTTTGCCCATTCATCTCTGGGCAGGGGGTTAGTTTTGTTAACTCGCCATGATTTCTTTACGGTTTGACTGCACGACTTCTCCGCAGTGGAGCGCTACAACCCTCAGGAGAACCGCTGGCACACAATTGCACCTATGGGCACCCGGCGAAAGCACCTAGGTTGCGCAGTGTATCAAGACATGATCTATGCTGTGGGAGGCAGAGACGACACTACAGAACTTAGCAGTGCTGAGCGATACAACCCCAGAACCAACCAGTGGTCTCCTGTGGTAGCCATGACATCACGGCGTAGTGGGGTAAGCTTTGTTAGTCGCTTGGATTAAGCTTGATAGGGAGACCTCTGCAACTTTAGGATGCAAGCAAAGCCCGCTAAAATCTTAGAACTAGGGAAAGACGGTCGTTACCTGGCAAGGTCTGGAGTTTTCTTTTGGGATTTGTGGATCCCATGCCCCAGGGGCCCTGCTCTATGTCAGTATGTGTTGCACTGATAAGTAGTGCCAATTGATGCACTGCAAGGTGCTGAAATAGGGGTTTAAATGGTTTCAAAATATTCTATTTTAAAAGAAAGCTAATCCACTCATTTCTGTTTAAGTGAGATCTATGCACATAGGAGTGATGTGCGTGGTCTTTACCATCCAGAATGGGCGAGTATGCAGAGACATTGTGGGTGAGGCTTATGTGCTGGACACTGTATGCTTAGGCTCCTTTTCGGCACCATTAGCTGGTCTGCATCATCAAGAGGCCCACCATGGTTTATTTAAGCCACAGTGGGTTGTGCTGCATGCCGGCAGCCATTTTGAACATTCCAAAGCCTGACGCAGCTTGTTGGGTCACGCAGACTTGGGTGGCATTGAGTGAGGCCTGCTGTTTCCTTTCCCTGGATTTGTATGACACAAGCCATGGTCAAACAGTGAATATTCAAATTCACGCCAGCACTTAAATAAGCCATGTGAACGGAGTCAAATTTTGGGCAAGTCAGTACACTCTTGTCAACTCTCGATTGTAGACAGCAGGAGGGGTGTGGCCTGACCAACAAATCATTTAAGTAAAACTACCATTATCTATATTACTTCGTCTCAGTTGCTCTTCTGCCAAGAAAAGAGTGGATATGTACCTGACCTCATTGAATGTCCTTTTCAAAAGCTCTTGCCCTTAGAACACTAGACTTCAAACACCATCCCAGCTTACTCAAGTAACGTGGATCATCATTGTCATTTAGGTTGGTCTCGCGGTGGTGAATGGACAGCTAATGGCTGTGGGAGGCTTTGACGGCACAACGTATTTGAAGACCATCGAGGTGTTTGACCCGGATGCCAACACATGGAGGTGAACAACTTAAAGCAGACTTCCCCAGCCCTGGTGCCTTCCAGTTGTTTTGCGCTTCAGATTCCATAGGTTCCACCTTGCACACCCAAAGGGCAGGAATATTGGGGGGAGGGGGGGTCCAGTCCAAAGCAACTGGAGGGCACCAAATTGGGCATCATTAAGAATTATAACGAAGGCAAGTAGCACAGCTTGGACCCAGTTACTGTGGCTTGCTTGACATAATGCAAATCAGAGTATTGCATTAATGGATCTTGGCGTGTGCGTTCCCTTCTCCCCTGGTGCACTCGGTTTCCCTTCCAGTTCTGCAACCAAACTATAGTGTGCTTGGATATAACCAGTAAACTATTGGAGTGGAAGTAGCAATAAAACTGTGTTCTGGTCTGGGTTTGTAGACCAAGTGCTTGATGTTCAATATAAGAAGAGCCCTCCTGAATCAGACCAAAGAGCTGCCCGAGGGGGTAAATCAGATGTTTGTGTCCCTCCCACTTACTTTCTCCAGTGCCTGACCTTTTGGGGTGCACTGCGGCTTCTCCTACTGAAGGCAGGAACAGCCTTATCCTTCATGAGTTTGCCTTTCAATTAACCCTTCCTTCTTATTCCTCCACTGATTTTATCTTAATACCTCCAATAGGGCATGTTTACAACTCGGTCTTTTATTCTTGCACTTCCTGTTTTGTAAGAATAGTAGTTGCATTAGCATAATAAAATGTGCCCCTTTTTTGCAGACTGTATGGAGGAATGAACTATCGTCGGCTTGGAGGCGGTGTTGGAGTTATCAAAATGACACATTGCGAGTCCCATATATGGTAAAAAGCCAATGGGAGAAATCCTATGTTCATTCCTATTGAAACTGGCTAGCTTGGTGAGTTCCGAGCCCTCAGAGGCTCTAGTAAACTGAGATCACACTTGTATTCTTCGCTGGTGCCTCTTCCTATGGGACTATAATGATGTTGCAAGCATATTTCCCCTCCTCTACTTCAGCTGCAGAAGACCACGGATAACCTCCAGAAAACTACCTGGAACATACACAGTTTTCCTTGTCTGTCACCCCATAGCAATTTTATTGTCTTTTCAAGCAAACTGGAATTCAGTGTTACTCTAAGCAATGACATCAGACCTCAAGGTGTACATTGGTTCTGTCAGAGGAGCCCACTGAGAGGTGGACAACAAGGTATTTGCTCAATTGAAAGAAACACGTTTCTCTGAATCTGGACTTCTTTAGAGAATATAATCCAGCAGGATCATTTTCTGCACTTGCCTCATTCAAACGACTGCAAGTCATGTAGAGCCCACTCATTTCCAAACAGCTTGGGCAGCAGAAGTGTTGGATTTTGCTTAAATATAACTTGACACCACTGACACTTTGGACACACTTTTCTGTATGCTGAGATTTGCTCCACTTAATTTGTACCATATATTTTTGATACCATGATAAAATGTTGTAATTTTTTCCCACTTAATATTTTGACCCGCGACCACACTACTTTCTAGATGGAAGCTGTTTGTGAGGTTTGGTCTGTAGCTAAGAGCTTTGAAAAAGTACAGAGTAGTCCAATGTGTTCTTGGAAGAAGTGCAGTATGAGCAAAGGTGTAAAATCCATAGCACTCTTCAGTCACTGCAACAAGGACTAGACATGCAAGAAACTTTGGATGCAGCCTACCAGAATGTTCTTCAGCACAAGCGTCTCTGAGCTGACAGGGAGCAATGCAAAAGCATAGCGATACTCATGCCCTGTTCCTATTCAGTTCAGCAGGACTTGCTTAGCAGAACCTGCTTGTGGATTGTGTCTTTCCTGTCGCTTTTGGGCTCACAAATGGCATATGCTTTGTACTTCTCCACTTCGTTATAGCGGGAGCATGAACTAGTTTTATTCTAGTACAGCCGCACAAATCTGAACTGTAGTCTTACAGTTGCTTGGATTAAAGGAGGAAGTCCTCTGTTAAAAGCAGTACATTGTTTTTTTCTTTAAGTAATAGGTCCTTCAGAGCACTTGCCTTAGGTGATGTTCTTGGTCTGAAAGGTGTCTAAATTTCTGGATTCCAAGGCATAATGAGGACAAGTTTAGGATTAGTTAGGTTTACAATATGAACATTGTGACTTTGTTTGGACTACCACCTCAACCCATAAAGCATCGTTCCATTTCCCTTGAGAAAGCTAAGCCGGTTATCAGGTCTGCAGCCTTACAAGCTCAATGGGTTGTAAACGCAAAAGGTTTTTCACCGAGATGCTGCTGTTGCATCTGAATTAGTGGGTTTAAAGGGAAAGAGCAACTATGCATGTCCCAACTGGTTGAATGCAGGACATCATTTATGGTTTCTGACTGTTCACAAATCTGGTCCTGTGGTCCCTCCCAAGCAGGCACCAGAAAGGGGAGCTACTGTGCTGCTTTGGGCTTGGTGGGCAACATGCTTTGAAAAAAGGAATGCACATGAAACTGTTGTGTCACCATCTCCTTTCTTAAGAAGTAGCTTTGTTTAGGAAATTCATCTTCAGTGTCATTGGGTAGATTTGGGGGAAACAGAGTCAACACAAATGGATTGTCAGGAAACACTACAAAGGTGATCAGCCCTTTTGCCCCGAAGGTTGGCATTCTTGTGTTTACATTTTGAACATTTGCACCTTTACAAAGAAAAAGTATTCTGTAAACAATTGTTTACATATCATTTATGCTTTTTCTAGCATGTTAACTTGTATAAATAGTGTTACCTTAATAAAATCTTAATGAGTGTTCTCTTCTGTCATTACTCAGCTGAAAGAACCTAGTTATATTTTGCACTCCATTTATAAAACTTGCTTTCTGTTCCTTTTAACACTCAAAATCTTTGGCAGGTTACTGCAGATCAGTATGCCAGCAATCATTTCCAGAGGGCAGCCATCCCCGCTGTGCCTCCTTTCCTTCTCTTCCCCTCCATTTCTTGAAACACACTTCCCTCAATCCTTGCTTTCCTGGGTGGCTGCTGCTTTCATCCCCTACAGTTCAGATGTTACAGCACTTGATTGGGAAGAGGTGATGTCCTGCGTGTGTGAACTTAAACACTGTAGCTAAAAAGGAATTAGTTTTGCCCATTTCCTCTACATTTACACGCTGCACTGCCTCAAGGGCAAAAAAGCTATAATTAGACTATTCCTAAAGTCTTGCAACTCACTGCCTACATGATGCATGTGCTTATTCTCCCAAAGGAAAATGGGTTTTTCTAGTTGCTAACTCAAAAGTTATGGGACAGTTAGCTGCAGATAGATTGTAAAAATTCAGGGATCAATATCCAATCTTTCCTGCCACAACTAAATTTTTGAATTAATCCACTAAAGTCTGCTTTTAGCACCACGTATTAATTATATCAGTATTTTGTATTAATCTTCTCCCTCAGTTGTTGAACAGCTTTTTTAAACCCGAAAAGGAAAAGAGCCAGCTAAGTACTTTCACATCCCCCTAAACCTTTATACCATAGGAAAGCAAGTAATTATTTGGGCCAATTATTATTCAAATCTATTCCTATTACCAGCTCCAGTTTTAACATTACAGGGCAAAGAAAGACCCTTACTATCAAGGACAGGAACACTACTGGCCAGAGTAAGCTGTATCCTCCCATCAACAGAAGCAGAATGTAACAGAATGGAGCACTGCAAAGACTCGGTTCACACGTACCTTGCAATGAAATAATGCATGCTCTATGAACTAGGAGGACCTCTTCCAACATGCCATTCTGTGCATAGCTTTTCTGTTTTGTACCCAATGAGAAAGGAGGGACTGTTGGCCCAATAAAATTCAAGCTATAGCTCTTAATATCAGAAAGCAGACGGTCTTAACACATGCCTGTCACTCTGCTGAAAGACAAAACAGGCCTGCTGCATAAGAGTTAATTGTAGATTTTAGTCATACCAAGTAAGAGACAAATCGCTTGGGAACTGTAATCACAATCCGTTCTATTTCAGCTTTTAGGCATAAGTGCTATTGTTTATGTAGCCAAAATAGCACAGACAGGGTTGGGGGAAACAAAGGTTTGTAAATGTTCAAAAAACCTAGTGAAAAAGCACTAGCAGAAGAGGAGACTGGTGAGGCGGAGCATGGTCAGTGGCCACAGAATGTGGAATGTGGAAGTAAACGCAAGACAAAATGGGTAGGCCTGGAACTGAGTAACATCCCTGCAAAAAGGCGTTTTCTTGGGACTAGTACAGACGCTACTCCATAGGACGACATTTTGATGCAGGTTCCATTTGTGTCATGACTCACGTATATTTAATCGTATAAATTCACGTATATTTAATCTGGCCCAAGATAGTTGCTGTGCCCACCCACCCTTCATCCTCTTGATAGTTTAGATAAAAAGCAAGTACAGTGGTACCTTGGCTCATGAACTTAATCTGTTCCAGGACTCTGGTCATGACCCAAATTGGTTGTGAGCCAAGTCAAATTTCCCCATAAGGTTCAATGTAAATAAGGTTAATCCATCCTGTAACCATTTTTTAAATCAGAAAAATGTGAAGCAAAGCGACAACAACAAAGGTCGCGGCCATCTCTTCCCCCCACCCCAAGCACAACCGAGATTGCTGCTGTCATCTCGGCGTGCTGAGGGGTGTGGGGGGAGAGACAGGCGCAAACGGTGCGCTTGGTTGGTGGGGGAGATGGCCGAGATTGCATCCGTATTTTCTGCAGGAGCGTGCCTCTGATCACGTACGCCTTCCCTGCATGAAGGCAACTGCGATCATGGCCATCTCCCCACTCGGGGGGCGGGGGGCGGGGGAAGAAGAGATGGCTGCGATCTTGGTCGCCACCCAAGTGGTGTTCACGACCAAGTCAAAATTTTTCAGAAATGTTTGTTCATGGCCCGATTTGTTTGTGAACCAAGGCGTTCGTGAGCTGAGGTACCACTGTAGTTTATAATTCTGTCTGATAGATGCAAGAGTAAAGAGATAGTGAATGATGGATAGTTAAATGGATTCGGTGGACACCCAACTTCCTCTGAAAGCCTTAACGTGACACCAAAGATCAAGTGATCCAATTCACAGGTAAAGTCATATTCAGTAACTCCTGACCTGAGTTCAAACAGAACTAATTGAGCAAGGTTGAATGCCTAAACAGTTTAAGATGTAGGAGTTGTATTATGCCTGAGATAGCTTTATTTGTATGGTATAGTGTTTTTTAATTATCTCCGATATGTTTAAGTAGGTGTTAAATGTTTTTAGTCAAGAGCAGACACCTGAACAGAAAGACAGAAATGCTTGGCTCCTTATATTGCATACATAGCAAATCTGAATACAATTTAGGTCAACAATAAAAGAAAATTTCATATGAAAATGTAGCTTACAGTCCGCCTCTGTGCTGATATATTGTCTCTAGCTAAGGCTGAAAAGTGTAACACCATCACAGTATCTTTGAAATTGCCAGTTCCGTCAGTAGTGCCAGAACTCTTATCAGATGTTGAGCATGAAGAATCTGTCAAAGATAATTGCAGAAAGATTAAAGCATCTTACAATTCAGTTTATTAAACTAAAATATTTAAGCTGACAGTCAATTTTAACTGTTTTCCTGTTGGTAACCTGCAGTGTCTCAATAAAACAGGTCAAACACTCCAAAATTTCAATAATGTATTTACAATGCTTTGATGTTTTACAACTTACTTTGCAGTAGAGATGAGGGTGACGGGAAAGAAAGAAGAAAAAAGTCCTCCCTACACCCTCATGGTCCGAAAAAAATTGGGAAATTAAATAGAGATTCAATGACATTTCTGACTGATTACCCAATACTTTCCAAAGCATCTTAGCGTATTGCTGCATAGCTAGTTCACAGTTCTGACCTTAGATCTAAAGTAATTTAGGGCACAATCCAATGCACCCTTAAGGCAGATGCATGTATGCCTCTAAACTCGGAGGCTTATGTGCCTCCAATGCATGGCTATCACGATAGCCACCACCATGCCCTCCCCAATGTACTTTCTCTAGACGGCTGTTTTTGTCTGTCCATGCTGAGCACCAGCCTGGAGAGAAGCTAGAAAGCTGACAGAAATTAGAGTAAGGGAATGGACCCAGCCTTCTCTCCTTCCCCCAGCATACCACCTTCTGTCTCCTCCGAGGTCCAGTTGCATCCCTGAGGGGGTACCTGTGCTGTTCTTTCTGCACTGCCTCTGAGGGGAGCAAAGCAGGGTTCATCTTTCTGATTCTGAGATTGTAGAACCTCATTGCTGGGACAAATCCTATGCCCCCCCATCAAACTACACTGTGCTGTAGGAGAAGACAGAACTGGAACTATGCTTGACTGTATTAATAATGTTTGTATCCTATTTCCCCTTCCTGAAACACAACAGCATGGAGCTTTTCTGCCTGCCCTTTCTCCACACAAAATCTGCTGTTAAAGGTCCACAAGAATGATGTGGGGATCAGCCAAATAAAGCAATTCAGTATCTAAGCCTAAATAGGCATCAGTCAAAGAAAAATGGAAAAATACTTTTAATGATGTAGAATGCAGAACTTAAGATATTTAGTCTGGACTTGGGAGTCTTATATACTTTGCTTCTGAAAATTGAGGGCAAATCCCTCATATGGCAGTCACTCAATTCTCTGGTCTCAGATTACACCTTCTGCATGAAAATATGTGAATGCCTGGAAACACACCAGTACAAATAAGCTGTTTACAGTTTATGTAAGTATTCTGTCTTCTGAAGTCTGTATATGGTTTCTGTGTCCAAATGAAACCTTAGTTTTGCTTCCTACAATGTTAATGGCTTCTTTTTTAATCCTTCCCCCCCCCCCAATAGACAAGCTATACTACCATCTGAGAACATTTCTGGTTGTTTATAAAACAAAGGCATGCCTTTTTAAATTGAAATGCAACAAAACAGTAGAATTTAATTAGAATATTAATTCATTTCATGTTTTCATATATAGTGAAATAAAATGAGGTTTGGTAAGAAAATACCACATATATTTCAAATCTGCACCCACAACAGTCATTTATCCACCTGACTTCAACTTTTCTGGAAATTATCAGCTACTAGTGGATTCTATATGTCATCCCACCCCATTCATTTCCAGATTCTTTCTGCTTAAACTAAGCCAAGGCCATTTAGATCCCTTTTCTCCTCCACAGGCCTATGGGTTGCTCCTCCCTACAGGTTTCTAGGAATCTACTTCTTTGTCTCCCATTCCTCGAGGAAACTAAGTGGCACAAAACTACAATGGAAGTCTGCTATTGAGTGGATGCAGCTGCTAGACAAGAGGCGGCTTGGGAAAGCATTTCCCGTAAATACAAGTGGCCAGCTGGTAAGAACAGTTCAACCGGAGCTCTGCAGTCTGGGGCTTGTGAATAGTTGTTTCTGAAATATTTGCTGGCAATCCCATTTTGCACTGTTTCTGAAACAATTAGATATCCTTAAAATACTCTACTATTTGAGGTATACAACAGCTTAGGTGATTTCCAGTTTGTCATTATCAGAAGGAAATCAACTGTGCATGTAATCAAACAGGCACTGGTATTATTAAGCACAATTCTTTCTGGACCATTTAAACAGCCCCCTTTAACTAGTTGTTACTGGTAAGTGAACCAGGCATCATACCTTTATTTTTCCAGTGGAATGGACTGAAGCTACAGAGGTAGAAACTTTCACCAATCTTGTGGCTGACAGATAGATTTTGAAATGTCTATGAAAGTGACTGTACAGGCACTCCATGAATAATTCCACTTCTTCTTGACGGACTTCTCCCTGAATACTCTGGATTGAATCCCAGAGGGCTTTTATATCTTCTGGATGGATGGCATAGGAAATATCCAGCGGGTAGGCAGCGCAAGGTACGGAGAAAGTCAGTTCTGTTGCAGCCTTATGGCTGCCCGTGTTGCAACCAGACCACATTGCAGCCATCCAGGCAAGATTGATGGGGCTGATAGGCAGGGGACTTAAGCAACAGTCAAAGGTCTCCTGCAGCCAGGCTTCGACAAGGTCAAAAAGGCCCTTTGCCCCATTTGCAAGGAAAAGAGGCAAGCAAGTGAAATCCTCCACGACCGCCTCAAAAATATCATCTCCAGCAGTACAACAGAACCAGCCCATCCACACTATTTTCTCTCCAGCATTTCCGGCCGCCACCCGCGTCCACTGTGTGATCTAGGGAAAAAGGTATATGCACACATGTGGACAGTGTGTACGTGTGAAGCATATAAAATTACTTGACAATATATACATTTAGAATCCAAATAATGTGTTAAAATTATAGAAGACGTGCTTAGCAGGGTTATTCACCCAATTTTTCTTCGACAAGTCTTTACAGCCTGTGCTAGATTGGTAGCCTTCTGCTCAGACAATGTGAGCAATGGAGAAACTGCTAACACTGATCCTATTTTCTCAGGACTTACTAAATACAAAAGGACTTGCTCCATAAAAATTACTTAGAATTGCAACCTTGAGCACATGTAGGGCAGATAGTTAATAGGTTTAACAGCAGCTATATGGAAGACAGGTTCAAAAGCCTGAATACCAGTTGTTGAGCTAGGGGGTAATACCAGGGACAGGCTATGGCCTTCATTCATGCCCATGAGTTCTCCACAGACAGCTGGCTGGCAGCTGTGAGAAAGACGCCGGACTTCTGGCCCTTTCCAGAAAGGCTCATATTAGCCTGTTACCAGGCATCCCTAGTGCCAAAGGAAACATAGTTCACAATCCAGTGACTGATACATCATCATGACTTACTGACTTTTACAGTGTCTGTCTGCAATCTTATCCTTCCCAGATGTTAAAGCAAGCCTAAGGTACTAGAAGGTAGGGACTGTACTACCAACCTGAATGAGGACTGCTAATTGTTCCTGTTCTGTGGCTTTCAATGCCGGGAGTAAGGAGAACTTCACTGTGAATGGAAGGTCAGGATCTTCTTCTGCAGCAAGCCGCTTTTGCCTTTCAGCAGCAATAAAGAGGCTGAGCTGTCTAGAATATTCCTTCAGCTTTCCGTAAGAGAACTTGTAAAGAGGAGTGACACTGTACAAGATCCACTGCTTACCAAGAAGCGAGGCTACCTGAGGATCAGCATTTTCCTTGAATGAGAAGAAGAGTTTTAGTTTCATACTTGCAGATAAGCAGTGCTCAGAATCTACATTTTCCAGTCATAACTCCTGCAGTAGAGGAAGTATTGCTATGAAGAACTGCTGCTCAATAGTCAATAAGTTTAGAACTGTTAGTATCCAACCATGAGAGCAGTGTGAGACTACTTAAATGATTGCTACAACACTCACTCTAGATCAGTGAGGGCGAACCTTTTAGAGACCGAGTGCCCAAACTGCAACCCAAAACCCACTTGTTTATCGCAAAGTGCCAACACTGCAATAACACCTGAAAGCTGAGGTTTTAGTTTAGAAAAAACAACTCACAGCCAGTCCAAGCAAATATCTATATCCTTGGCAGTGCACTGACCGGCCATGCGAAAGCTCGGACAAGTTGCAGCTACTGAGCCACCACTCCTTTCCAAGCATGCGCATGGCCCCTGTGTGTGCTGTTATCTAATGCTGGGCTGCTGGGGCGATGCTGAGAAATGATCAAACGCACGAGTCGAAATTGTAAAAACTACCACCACCATGCTCTCCGTATATCCTGTTCTGATCTCAAGCAACTAGGTGGTTCTAGACAAGCCACTCTGAGCCTCAGTCCTTCATAAATGATGCAACGGAGGCTGTAAGTACTGACCAAACTTATTTAGTTGTGAGAATATTTTAACCTTGAGTACATGATATAAACACTAAGTAGTACAATAAAAAATGTGATCATTGGGCAGCATTAACTTTTCTGGAGATGGCTTCAAATTCTAGCTCCTGCATTCCAGTTTTCAACTAAATAGCAAATTGATTATATGGATGTGGGGGTTTTCCCATTCCTATATTCAGGAAGATCACTTACTCTGTCATCACAGTGAGTTGACCCCTCCATAAGGGTCCACGAATGTCAGTCTGGCTTACCAGCCACGAGTTGTGAGCATTCATAATTGCCTCCCATTCATCCTCCGGCATGCACAAAGAGCATGGGGGAAAGCAGGGGCCTCTCGTTTGGGCTGGTATGGAGAAGATAAGGTACAGGAGTCTCTCTTGGTCAAACGTCTGCTGTCAGTGTGCTGTTTGCCAGAGGACGCTCATCCTAGTTAGGGCACTTGTGGGTGCTTGCCCCACAATAAGCTCTGGCAACTTCCAGAGGTCCAGGGGCCATTCCTCCCCACCCAGTCCTGCTTTAGCTCATGGAGAGTCTCTCCCAAAAGACGAAAGGCCCCAGACTCCAATTTCCTGCTGCAAGTTGAGGGCAACCACCTCCATAGTGCTAGAAGGCGCTATCATGGTTTCCTTTAGCCGATTTGCAAGCTGCATTTTACCCTTTCAGTGTTTCATAGCTGCAACACATGCCATTGGAGGCAAGATGTTTTGTTTTTAATTTGGAAGGCACAAAGAAGCAGCAAAGACCACAGTAAGGGTCACATGCTGCTCACCCCATTCTAAAGGTTAACTCATATCACTTAGATCAATGATTTTCCAAGCACTGAAGATTGTCAGGATATGTTTGGTCCCACAAAAAATGTACAACCGAAAGTAGTAGAACTTTCAATGGTGTTTTCTCCCATTGCAATAATATTTTTATTGTTGCACCTTTTTTTTACTAGTCCATGATGGCCCAGAATTTTCAGCTTCTTCTAACAGGCAAATTCTTACAATTACCCTAGTTTTCTTTCCTTCATTTGTGCTGCTGTAATACTGAAACATCAGATCAAAGGCTACTTCACTGTCAAGCACAACACCAGTTATATCAGATCCATCAAAAACTTACTTCCAGATGAGAAGTCTGCGGAATTATTCTCTTAACTGGAGTCTGGCCAAACATATTGCCCCTCCTGAGGGACAGGACGCCTCTTGAAACATACGCAGTGGTAGTGAAATTCACTCCATGGTCTGTAGTTTTTCCTCCAACAGCAGTCACTCTCCTGGAGTCAGAAGTGCTACCATCCTGCAAATACTGGTAGATTAGCCATCAAAAGGCCACAGGAAACAAATGTCAAACTCTTTTATCTACAACAGTAAGATGTGTCTGCATGAAAGCATCAAGACTATGAAACTTGATATGCATGTTAAAGGAACCCTAGCGGTATGAATCTCTCAGTTTATGAAATACATTTTAGTTTTAATTAAATTTTGTTCATGTGCTGGAAGCCTGCAGTGCCACCTTCGGTTATTAGATGGGAGTCATTAGATGGTCCTAGTCTGAACATATATAGCCAGTTTCTGTGGTGATATAGGAATTTCTTGACCGTTTAATCCATGTATATAATGTGACATTTTCTCTTTTCAGGCAGGTAAGATTAGCTTCTCCATTACTGGGCATGTTGGACTAACACCTCTCTTATTGCTCTGTGGGGAAACAGAGCGCACAGACCATCCCTTCAGCAGTCTATTGTGCTGGATTGTCAGGATCTCTTCTTGCTGATGCCAGAGTATAATAATCAATTTAAGCTGTGACAACCTAGATTGAGGCTGGACATCAGGAAAAGCTTCCTCACTGCCAGAGCAATACGGCAGTGGGACCGGCTGCCCGGATGGGTGGGGGGCTCTCCCACACTGGAGACATTCAAGGGGAAACTGGGCAGCCACCTGAGTGGGAGGATGTGACTTGGTGTCCTGCACCAGCAGGGGGTTGGACCCGATGGCCTTCCTGGCCCCTTCCGACTCTACTATTCTGAATCTTTGGTGCCCAAATAGGGAAGCCTCTACCCGAAATGGGAGCGTGTGTAGTAGCTACAGCGCTGAACTAGGGATCCAGGGGATTTGGGCTCTAGTCCCCGCTCCCACCATGAAGCTCCCCGTGTGACTCTGAGCCAGTCATGGGCTGTCAGCCCGACTGTGGTCACAGCTAGTGCGGCACAGAGGCTGCCATGAAGCTCGCTGGGTGAACCCGGGGCAGTCACGGATTCTCAGCCTAGCGCATCTCACGGACGGGTGCTGGACCTCGCGGGGCGCAGCGACCGGAGTGTGGGCCCCGGGGTCCTTCTCTCCACATGGCCGAGAGAGAAAACTCGGCAGGCTCTCAGCTTGAACCGCCTCGCAGGGTTGTTGTTGCGAGGACGGCATGGAGACTCGGGGAACCTTGTAAGCCGCCTGGGGATCTGCCGCAGAAGGAAAGGGCGGGGCATAAAGGCCGCGCGCACGACACCACCCCCGCGGTGAGGACGAGCCCCCCTCGCCAGGGAGGCCCAGGGAATCGCGCCGCGCCGCGCCTCACCTGAGCCTGCGCCATCGGGAGAGGCCCGCCGCCAGCGGCTGAGGAGCAACGGCCCCGCCGCTTTTTAAAATCGGCCTCCCAGCGGCCCACTCGGCGGCGCGAGCCCGTTCTGCGCGGGCCGATTGGTCGTTTCTAGGGGGCGGGCCCTCGCCGGCCCGGATGTGGGAGTGGTCGCGGCCGCGCTCTTCCGGCCCGAAGGAGCGACGGGGCGAAGGCGCGGCGCCCATCGCGAGCCATGCGGATGCTGTGGCTCCTGTGCTCCCGCCTGCCCTCGCCCCTCCGCGGGAGGGCCGCCCGGCCCCGGGTCAGGCCCCGGGTCAGGCCCCTCGGCGGCTCGGCGGCGCTCGGGGCGGGCGCGGCCCGCGCAGGTGCGTGGCCCTCTCGTCGGGGGAGCCGGACGCCTCCCGGCGGCGCCTCTTGCCTCCGTCCGCAGAGCGGCGGCGGCGCCTGCGGCCCGCGCTTCCGGGTTCCTACCTGGGAGCCGCCCTTTCCTGGTCGCTGCGCCTTCGGGGCCTTCCTCAGACCCGCCGCTTTGGCTCGTGGGGTGTGGGGTAGGCCGCACACCCGCGTGCTTGGAGGGCCACCTCGTGCAGCTGGCGCAGAAGCTTCTGACGCGACCTGTGCGTTGGGGGTGCTTCCCAAGGAAGCTTTTGTCGTGCTTGAAGAAAAACACCTGGCTAGAGAATAGCGGAAGCGGAAGAGCTCGGCCAGTTGTGAGATCAGGTCTTCCATCCAAGAAGCCGCAGCCTTGCGTTGACAAGAGCTGGGCAGGGCTGTCAAGAATGGGATATTTTGGAAGGCATCTTTTCCTAGGGTTGCATTGTCGGATGACTTGGCAGCGCTAATAGCATGATCTTCCACTTGTGACTCTCTTGTGTATGCTTGTTTCTCTTTTGGCCTTTTTTCTTCCCTGAAAAGTCCTTTAAGGGAGGGAAAGGTGGAATAACTGCCAGTGTCTTTGGAAAGATGGTGGTAGAAGTCATTTGGAGGTACTCCAGCTCTTTTAAGGTTTCCCAAGACTGTTTGGTTTTGTTTTGAAACTGCCCAATGCTGTGAGTTTGTCAAAGATGAGACATCCCTTCATCAGTTCTCCATAAGTCAGAAATACTTGATGGCACATAACAGCAACAAATGCTTCAAACTTGAAAAATGATAGTGCAGCCAAAATATAACTCCTGAATGCTACTCTGCCTGTATCAGACATCCCTATAGCTATTCTTTTTGATAGTTGATACACTGATCAAAGCTTGTTTTTTAGATCTTGTGCTAATAAACTTCATTGATTTTTCTCTTCCAAAGATGTCAATAGCTTTGTAGCTCGTACCAAAACCTGTGGGGAATTGCGCTCAACTCATATTGGTCAAGTGGTAACACTGTGTGGATGGATTCAATATCAGAGGTAAATAGAAAGTTAACGCACATGGGGTGCCCAGCCTGCTGGTGCTAGACAAGTTTTAAACCTCCACGGGATCAATTCAGTAGTACTGCCTCTCACCTTCCACGCTTGGAGGTCTATGGTCAGCCTATGCAGGGCAGGAGGAGGATGGCCAGGTTGCCAGCAGGGCCTCCTCATCTCTTGCCAGCGCTCATTTCCTAACCTGCCGCTTGCCCCCAGATTGCCCCTTAACTTGCCTCTTTGTGACCACAAAGAAGCAATTCTTTTCATGCTGCCTGTGAGGTGGAAAGGGCACCCCAGAGGTGAAGCCCAATTTCATACTTTAGGACTGGGACTCTAAAACACTGAGAGCTTCAGCTGTGGGGTGGTGTAGAAATGAACTCTATAGCCGCCTTCACACCATCTAGAGCCATAGGATTACTGTGTAAGAACACAAAACTTCCCTTGCTAGTTGAGAACTCAGGCTCCAATGGAGGGTAGCCAAATCTTTTGGGGAACCCCAGTGTCTTCTGACATTGTTCATCCTCAAAATCTAGTATTCAGAACTTGTCATTATTGGCATTTGTTTTGATGGAGTCAGTGAAGAAAAGTGATCCTCTAATTGGCTGTGTTCTCACATTTTTTTAAAAAAATATAATCTTTAAAATCACGTGTCAGTTTTCCTTAGCTTATTTGTAACGTTCCACATGGCAGACTGGATGGAAAACTACGTAGTTATATTATTTATAGGTTACAGTTTGCGCTATTTACTATCCAAGTTTGAAGTTAAAAGCTTCAGAGCTCAGCTTTTATTGTCAGTTGCCAAATTAATTTTCAAAGAGAAATGACAGTTTTTGTTTTTACTGTATCGAATAGTTGTGGCTTTGTCAGCAGCAGAAGCCACTGGCAGGATGAATATGCAGTGTTCCAGGAGCCATCTCTAAAGACAGCACTGGAGAAACACATGCAATCAGTGGGATTTAAAGTTGTTTAAGCTGTATCTCTTTGTTTCAATATATTACCTATGGGCTGGTTAATGTCTAAGAAATGCGAAGGGAATCTGTTTTGTAAATCATATTGGGGTGTACCGATTATACTTTGACCATGATTGCTTTGAACAAGGTAATGACTTTTTTTGAAACTGTACTATTTCAGACAGTAAATCAGGAATTGTATCTTTAAATGTACTTTGCACCTAAAGTACCCTCCTTATGGAAAACTAGCATGTCAGGAAGATGGGTCTAGCTTTCTCCCTGGTTTGCACTCCAGAGCACAGATTTTTCTTCAATAGATGCCCATAAAATGGTACAGTTCCAAAAATTCTGATTCTTTATTTTTCTGCATATGTAAATTGGATCTAATATAGGAATTTAAAGTAATATACATATTTGTATGTTTGTGTCTGCTGTGGTTAGACAGGGTCAGTTCGTGGTTTTGAGAGACTTCCAGGGACTCACCCAGATTATTATACCCCAGGATGAGGTAAGAGTTATCAAAGATTTGCAAATTAAACATAAGTTTAAATTAATATCTGTTAACTTAGGATTTAGCGGGAAAGACATTACAAAGACATGCAAAATAAAATGTTCCTAACTTTTGAAGATGGGGGAATATTCTTTCTAGAAAGTTGCAGGCTTTGTCAAATAGATTATATGATTTTTTTCCATAAATGAAATATTGGAGCAATAAATCTGAAGCATTTTTGCCTGCCTCAAGTCTAATGATAAGCTACATAATTTAGAAAAAATACTGTTTTTAAGTGCGTTGTAACTGGGGAATAAAAATGGCATGTTTGGAAGTGGTAGGATTTGATGTGATCCAATAAGGTGTATCTTCCATTCTTGACCCAGGGTCCTGACTCGGAACACATGTTGGATATGACTGAAATGTTAAGATATTTTGACTTGCTTACCCATGTAAAACATACTGGATTCTAGTTAAAATCACACCTGGACTGCAGGACTGAATTTAGTTCATAACCTAGACAGATCATCAAGCTTAAATCTCTTTTGAAGACACTCCCCGCTCATCCCTGTGTGTGTCGTCACCTGCTTTCTCCAGGCTGGTTCCCATTTGAAGAAGACCTTGTGTGACACTCCTGTCGAGTCCGTCCTGAGAGTGACTGGGACTGTGGTACCCCGGCCCCCAGGGCAGGCAAACCCCGTGAGTACTTTGGGAGAATTCCCCTCTGCTTTCCTCCGAGTGTTGTTTGAGACAACCAGAATGGCTTCCCGGAAAGTACAGGGTTGCCTTTCAGGTGATATGTCTTTGGATCTGGCCATCTATCCCTCAGCCACAATCCTATATTTGATACTTGAGAGGTCTGTAGCCAGTGCAGAAGTCGTGCTCACCGAAACTAAGCTCCCCTACCTAAATTTGCCCTGCCAGAGCTCATTGCTGCTATGTGATGGATGTGTTGACTGACCAGACTGAAAGCTCCAGAGATAGGCAGGGAATGGTCTGGCTGTTACCTGGCAGTTCTTGCCCCCTCAGGAGTAATGCGGTTGAGGTGAGGGCAGGGGGGGGGGGGTGCACCAGCACCATCACCCTCCGCTGTTCAGAAGCCTCCCGTTGCCTCGGGATATTCATCCTCCTCCCTCGCTGCCCAGTATGCTTGGAGTTGCTGTCCAGAATGCCTGTGTGACAGAGCTGCTGCTTCCTCCTCAAAACCCATTTCTGTGAAGACTTTGACCCAGTTCTCACCAGGCTCAGCCTGAAACCAAACCTGAGCAGCTGCCATTAAAATAGCTGCATTTTGCTTCCCCTGGGGCAGGTACTTGTAAAATTGTCATGTAAATAATAAGTCTTGCAGAGCCAACCCATCAAGCACTGTCCAGCTCCAAGCTAGAGGAGGGAGGCAGAGAGGCATTGAGTTCACCTGGTCCTGACTAGGATCTTGGCCAGTGCAGATCCAAAGATGCCTTTTCTTCTGTCGTCCAAGCTGGAGTGGGGAACTGAGTCCTCTTGGCTTAGGGCTGTGCTGGTACAAAACTGAATGAAGCTGCTGATCCCTTCGGCAGCTCCGAGCTGGACAAAGCAGGTGGAAGCTTGGTTCTGGACTTTGAGGCAGCGAGCAAAAATTAGAAAGAAATTGTTCCAGCAAAAAGTTGTTAGTTTAATATACTTAATTCCGAGGCACTTCCTAAGTATAGACAGCTAGTGCATCATAATCAGAGCTGTATGTAAACATGGTGACATTCTGAACTACCTCTCCCTTTTTCATTTTAGAGAATGCCAACAGGTGATATTGAAGTGAAGGCGGAGACAGCAGAGGTCCTGAACACCTGTAAGAAACTACCCTTTGAAGTGAAAGACTTTGCGAAGGTGTCTGTTCCCATCTCATTTCCACATGATGACCTATCTAATAATGTATCACTGGAATTTTTGTAAGACTTTGCTCTTCAAATTCTCCTCTTCATTCTAGGGCCATGGAAGCTTAAAGAGCAGTGTGTGTTTGTTTGCAGTTCCAATTGCCAACAAATATGTGTTAGGATCCGTAATTTACCTTAATGTACATGGTGTCAAAGCTTAGAATAATTATTAGCAATAGCTTGAGAGCAAAGGAGATACATAAGAATGGGCGTCAGACTATGTACTGGTATGTGTAAGGGTAGGAACACTTGTGCTCTACTTTAAAAATAAATGCTTACGCCGAAGCATTCTAACTGTAGCACCAAAAAATATTTTTCTGTTGCTAAATCGTGATTCCAAGATCATGATCTGTTTAATTTGTGCAAATGGAACACCTTTGCATAATTGACTTTTTCATAAGTATTTCAAAGAGCAACTGTAAGAGCCGGAAACTTGCTTTAAAAATATTACAAGCATCAATCCTTTACCTAATATACCATTCTGTGGGGTCATACCTTGGCAACTTATGCCTGGCTTAGGATCGCAGTATTCAGACAAGGAGCTGGGGGCCCTTCAGGCAATTTCAGGGGAAGGTGCCTTAATCTGTACTTGCCTGCATGCCAACTCTAGCACTCGCTGCTTTTGACTGCTGCTGCTGTTGCAGATTACTAATGTTAAACCATCTCTGCTCCTCTCGCAGTTTGGGGATTTCTCTTCTTGTTAGACTTGGAAGCCAGTTTGACCTTCGATTCTTCCCCACTCCGTGCTAAACCACATCTCTTTTCCACCCAGAAAAATGAGACCTTGAGGATGCAGTACCGCTACTTGGACTTGCGTAGCACAGTGATGCAGTACAACCTACGGTTGCGGTCCCAGATGGTGATGAGAATGCGGGAATATCTCTGCCACAGGAACGGTGAGATAAGCACAGGGAATGAGTTCACTTCTTCTTTCACTTCATTCACTGTGCAGCTAACAAATGCATGAAACCTTGTTTTAGGATTTGTGGATGTGGAAACTCCTATGTTGTTCAAGAAGACTCCAGGGGTAGGTACGCCAATTCATTCTTTCATGTATGTAACATTTTGGAAACGTTTCCGTAGTTCCACATCAATTGAGAAACTTTTTAGAGGAGACAGCCCAAAAATGTGAAGGTGAAGGCACTTCAAAGAGCGGTCTTTTGGCCCCTGTGCAGAAGCCGAGGGGCTGGAGGGTAGTTCAGATTCCCAGCTCTCTGCCACAGGAACACTTATTTCAAAGTTATGATGCGATTTCTTGGGGCATGACTGACTGGGGATGCACACCTGTAGACCATCGCATGGCAATAAGAGTGCAGTGTGGTGGACATGTTCAGGTTTGGTGGGCAAGGTGTATTCACAGGTTTCTGCTTTCTGCATAAATGCGAAGAGAGCTTGATGAAGCTTCCAAGGGGGAGCGTATAAAAACAAAACATGTGGGATCCTCAGTTGTATAGATCTATATCAGAAGTTTCTTGACTTCCTGCAAGGAACGGCTGAGGTCGGAGCAAGACCTGCTTTGTATTATGCCCTTCTTTTAATACCAGGGTGCGAAGGAATTCGTGGTCCCCTCACGCGAAGCTGGGAAGTTTTACTCGCTACCTCAGAGTCCTCAGCAGTTTAAGCAGCTACTGATGGTTGGAGGTCTAGACAGGTGAGTTTCTTGTGCACCATTTGCTTCAGGATTGTTTTCAGGGGAGCTTTTCTTCTGACAGTAAGAGATGGGAACTGTTCGTAAGACAGTGGATGTGGTCACTGCAGAGGCAAAGCTGCTCACACAAACTGATCTGCCCATAGTTAGGTTCCCCAGGGAAGGTGGGGCTGTCTAGCCATAAACGTTGGGGCCGTGCCTGTGGTCCTCGGACCAGGGCTGTTGCTCAGGGCTGCATTGGCTGTGCCACTTAATGATCTATAGTTGATTAATATATTTCAGGTGGGATACACTAAAAACTATAAGGTTGGTTTCAGTGGGGTTTTTTTTGGTGTTTTGTTTTGTTAACAAAGATTGTTTGTGGAAAACCTTTGATCAAGGAAAATGACTTTGTCATTCTTGTTAGAAAATGCATTTTAATATCGCATAATACAAAAATATTTCATATTGTAAAGGAAAGATTGCTAAAAATTCTTAGGTCTTAATAGTTTAACAGGAAACAATATCTCAAACATGTGTTACCTTTGAGGCCTAATATTCTAGAAGGAAAGCCCTCACCCAAGTTCTGTGGTTTTAATTCCTGTCTGAGGAAGGCTTTAGCATTCTTCCCTTTAATACAATTACTAGTTTTTACTACTTATATTTTCAGATCGTTCTTTGTTAGCACCTTCAATTCTGTACTTGTTTTCAGGAACATACAGCAACCATTTCCCAGCAACCTTCCTAGCAATTCCACTGAAGTTGTTCTCTTAAAATCTTTCCTTTCACCAAGCATCATTCCTGATTGTGGAAAATCCCTGTTCCTTGGCGTTGCCTTTGGGGAAGATGGGATTAATTCAATGTACTATATAAGCAGGGGATACCTTTGATGACCTTCGGTTCTAATGGCAGGTACTTCCAAGTTGCTCGCTGCTTCCGAGATGAAGGTTCAAAACCAGATCGGCAGCCTGAATTTACTCAGGTAGGTTTCTTTCTATCACCAAATAGTTTTCTTTAAGCTGTAAGGAAATATTTGACAGTGCGCTCATTTGCGTGTGATAGGCCTAGCCTGTCTAACCCCACTGAGACTTGATCTGCCTGTTGCAGAGCGGTTTTTCTACTGTTTTGGAATTATAAATGGGTAATTAAAATTAAACCGCTTTTTATTTTTCCAGTGTTTTAAGATGTGATTGTTTTAATATGGGTTTTATTGGTTGATCGGTTAAGATCTTGACTGGGATGCCATGCTTTATTCTATTTTGCCTTATTGTTAAACCGTCCCGACACCACAGGCAGGGACGGTCTAGAAGAGTTCTAAACAAACAAATAAATAATACCCAAAGCCTGCTCTAAGTTGTACCAAATACCAGTTGCAGAGATGGTATTGTTTGAGCAAAGTATCACCTGGGTTCTTGGGTCTTTGTCTCTCTCATGTCAAGCAGGGTCAGTCAGTAGGCCAACTCCAACATTTGGGGGATGCCTGCTGGATCTGAGATGTTTCTAGTTCCAGGAGCAACCTATGAACGTTGAAGTCATGGGCTGTTTTTGTGATATCTGACCCTGGGTACTTGGTCTTCTCCACGGCTTAAACAGCCCCAAGCCAGCTCAAGAACAGGCTGTGGATTAACTGAGCCCACAAATTGCGACCATCGCATCCCACGCTCTGCTTTCTAATGCCATTTTTCCTTTGATCCTTGCCAGTAATGAACAGGGCAGACCAAAGAGCTGTGAGCCAAGTGTGGGTATTGGCAGGATGACCCCAGTATTTGCAGACTTCATGTTGCCCCTTTGCACTACGGTGCTTCAGCCATTAATGCCAGGGGGCACCACTGCAGGGCCAGCGAACAGGCAGGTGAAGTACCAGGGCGAGCGAAGGACGGGGTTGATAGTATTTCAAATCCCAAATTTTTGGCCATCCTGGGGCCACCTCTCAGGGCGCAACCTTCTCCATAAGCAGCTGCTGCGCAGCTGAGCAGGGCTGAGGTTGGACTCTGCTTGCAGGTCATGGGAACCCACTGTGGCAACACGCTTCTTGAGGAGTGAGTTGCACCTTCCCCTGCAGAGGTTGCCCGCCTTGCTGCTTAAGAGTACGGCTTCGTAAGAGCACGTTTGCATCGCCGGTTTTCAAGGTTGTCCCACATGGCTAATGTGCTAACAGAGCTGCTTCTTGCCAGTCGGTGTTTCTGAATATCGCACCATTCCCATCCGAAGTGTCCTGTCTCTGAGCTTCCCAGAAGGATGTGTCCGACTGCTGTTGGAAATAAGTTGCTGGAGTGCATAGACATAGCTCTGAGCTAGTGAGGGAATACTTGCTTTTTCAACATGCAAGCACTGTTTCCAGTGCATGTGGGTCTGTCACGCATATGCTACCCTTGTCAAGTAACAATCATTTTAGTAAACAATCGATACTGGCCTGTGACAAAACAAACAACCTGTGATCTAAAAAACTATGTAGCCCAGTAAAATATTGGTGGGCGGCCGTGGGCTGCACCAACACACTCTGGCAGCATCTGTTGAGCTGAGCCTAATATCTCCAATTTTCATGGAATGCAGCAGGGAATGTTGGACCAGGTGTGGTGTAATGCCCAAAATCAAGAGTCTTGTGGCTCCTTGCAAATTTATTATGGCCTACGTTTTTGTGAGCTGCATAAAGTAGACTCAAGAACATGAAGACAGAAGCAGTAAAAATGTATAGGTCCTTAAGGTGTTGCCAGATGCCCCACTAAGATGGCACATTTTCTGGAAACAGAAGGTAAAGATAAGAGAAATTCCAACTGAATGAGAATTGAACTGAGACATCATGAAGGACTTGTGACACTTTGCTATTTTGAACATGTCTGCCGGACTGAAAGATATGGAGAGCCTTCAGTTGGAAATCGATGCAAAACTACATTCCTGAGGAAATGGCTCTTCTGTGGCATTGAAGCCCTTTCCTTAGAATGAAATTTTGTTTAATTTATAAATATTGCGATTCTTTTGTAGGAAATGCACATATGAAGATACGGCGATTCTTATAATGTCTACAAATACCCCTCCTCTGTTTTCTCCTCTTTTCCAAAGATTGATATCGAGATGTCATTTGTAGACCAAGCTGGGGTTCAGGCTTTAACGGAGGGCTTGCTCCAGTATTCCTGGCCTGAGGAAAAGGGACCTGTCACCGTCCCCTTCCCTTCCATGAGCTATGATGAGGCAGTGGCAATTTTTGGAACTGATAAGCCAGATACACGCTTTGGAATGAAGGTATGTTCTCAGTCAACCTAATTACCCAATTTTTCAGCTTCCTTCTCTATGTCTGATTTCTTTCGAAGCCAAAAAAAAAAAAAAAAGATGGTGTTTTTTTTTTATCTCCTTGTCAATGGAAGATGAGTCAGTCCACTGCCTTCTCTCTGGGTCTTAGCTGGTGTTTCAGAAAGGTGGAGGGAGCCCCTGGTTTGGGCAGTAGTAGCAGTGGGTGGGGTCTCATGGCCCCGTCCCTCCGCTGTCATTTGAGCCCCGTTTTCATGGCTTGGCTGCCACAGGCTAACGCAGATGGAACTCGAGGCGCAGAAAAGTGAATCCTCTGTTGCCTTACCTGCATGTGTGTTTAGGCAGAGCCTTTTCTTCCAAGTGAACACCTGCGGGGTGCCTAAGGGATGGTGGCCATGGGGCTTTGGGGGGGTCACAGCCAGGCCTCTCCCCACAGCCCATGGTTGCTTCTGGCTTCCCTTGCAGGCCTTGGGACTGAGGCTCCCACTGTCTGTTCCTCATTCTTTGCCTGTCACGATTCTGTCCCCATCCTTTGCTCAATACGCAGATTCAAGACGTCAGCCATGTGTTCAGGAATGTGGAAGTTGGATTCCTGCAGAAATTCCTCAGCGAGCCCCAAGGCACTGTCAGGGCCATTTGCATCCCCCAGGGCGCGGTGAGTGACGCTGGTCTGTCTTTGGGTGAGGACGAGTCAGACAGGCCCTCATAAGCCATGGCTTAGGCCACGGGTCCTCAAACTACGGCCCGCGGGACAGATGTGGCCCGCCACGGCCATCCGTCTGGCCCACGCTGCCGTTCGCAGCCCACGCGCGTGCTCGCTGCATGGGCAGGGAGGTGGTGGCTCGCTCGGTCGGAGATGGTCTCCGAGCAAGCAAGCCACCGCCGTGCGTGCTCGATGCTGCCTCACGTGCGCCTGACGGCACCTCCACCTCACCGGCCCACGTGTGTAGCCGCTGCCTTTCAACTGGCCCCCAATCGAAAAAGTTTGAGGACCCCGGCCTAGTTTTATGCAAGGACTATTCAAGCCTTGTACAATCCCTGCCTCCCTGGTTTGGGTGGCACAAGAAGCCATGACTTGAATATTCGAAAAGAGTCTGGCATTAAATAAGCTGAAGTGGGCATGAGTGATTGTGTGATCCAGCTCACTAGATCCTGGTAGACTTATTTTTTATTGATACCACCCCCAGTCAGCCATTATTTAAGCCCCTCAGCCTGGACTTAATGATCTTCCTTTGAGCATTGTAAAATACATGAAAAAATGTTTAGTAAACCAGGGAGCATTATGGAAACCCAGCAACTTTCTAAGGTTCAGTGCATAAAACAACACACACAAGGAGCATAAGAGTGTCAGTGGGCATATAACAGATTTAATGAAATCATCTGCGCTTCTCTGTTACTTTTTTCTCTAGAAATATCTTCAGAATAAAGATCTGGACTCGTTAAATGAATTGACGGAATCCCAGTTTGACCAGGTAGGGCACGGCACTTTGACCCAACAGTGACTTCTGGCGGGAGATTGTCTGAGCTACATAAAACACCCCCTTGTGCCATGTGCCCCCAGTCCTTTCAGTGAAGCTGGAACGTGAGCAGTTTCCTGAGCTTTGCGGAACAGGTCACCTTAACTTGAAAAAGAAAGCTAGAAAGCTGGCACAGGGCATGTGTGTCTGATTGGCCAGTATGGATAAGGGGATGTTAGATCAGGTAGGCTTTTAGCCTGATCCTGCAGGGCTCATCTTAGGATCTTGCCCGATCTAAAGCGACGCTATGGAGGACAGTCCACAAGAGAACAGTGGACTCATCATATGCAGAGTGTTTGAATGTTCCCTGCTTGGGGAGGGGGCAGGGCTGGCTGCCACCATCATGCCTCCCGCCCCTGGGCTCCAGAAGTGCTCATCTGGCTGTGGTTAAGGTGGAATACTTAGATGGCATTTACTCGGACCCAGCAAGGAGGTTGTTGATGTTTCCCTTTGTAGGGTGCATCAGTTTACAGAATAAAAGTGCCAGACTTCATTCAGTGATGCATCTTGGGCCACCAGCAACAGGACACGGAGAATACGCAGAGGAAGTGCACCTGGGGAGGTCTGTGCAGGAGCTTCTGTGGCTGCTTGCATGGTGGGCTGGAGGAGTCTGCGTAGAGTTCCAGGGCCCTTGCATCTTGGCCACTTCCTTGCAGCTGTGTGCTTTGAGGAAGCACCTCGATTCTTTCATCTGCGCTTTTCTCCTGAGCAGGGTCTTTCGCATTTGATTTTGAGGTCTGATGGGAGCATGAAGTCCCGACTCAGTAAATTTCTGAACGAGGAGCAAAAGCTGGGTCTCGTCAGAGCTGTTCAGGCCGACGTGGATGATGTGGTGTTGCTGGCAGCTGGCAAACCTCAGAAAGTGGTAAGGAGAACGTTGTCCCTGTGAGCTGCCCAGGCGTTCCCAGTTGCCGTAGAATTTTCTAGCCTCTTCTCTTCAAAAAAAAAAAAAACCTGTGCCTTTTTTGAAGAGAAATGAAGGATAGTGTGATTATCATGTGAAGACTAGCTTATGTTTTGTAAACGTGCTGTAGTTAAGCCAATCTATTGCATTATCATCCATCTTGTTCAGAAAATGTTAAGGAGCTGGGCTCCATCACGAACAGTCAAATGTAGCAAGGAAGTCAAATTGTCAGATACGACGGAGCCCTCTTCAGCTTTAATCTGTTTGCTGCATCCACGTCTCTCTCTCCTCTCTTTTTAGTGTTTTGCGTTGGGAAAAGCGCGCTTGGAGAGTGCTAACCTTCTGGAGGCACGAGGCCTGTCACTTCGCGATCCCTCTGCTTTCCATTTTCTGTGGGTGGTGGATTTCCCACTTTTCCTCCCAAAGGAAGGAAACCCCAAGGAATTGGAATCTGCTCACCATCCTTTCACTGCACCCAATGCCTCTGACAAGCACCTCCTCTACACAGAGCCTGCAAAGGTGACATTGTGTCTTTATTTAATGGCAGACTTTTCTGTGTATGCAGAAAAGGGCTAGAAAAAGGTTTAGCAGCTGTCTGTGGACTATTTGGCATAGCCTTGAGTAGGTTTCCGCTTCTCTTTTGGAGAGAAGATTGAGCATTGTTTAGAAGTCCTTTTTCATTGTACCTGATTTTCAAGTGCTAGACTGTTGTATTTGTTATGGGAACAATTCAGCCAAATTGGAACCCATTATTTTTTAAATTCCATTTTTTCCACCTTGTGTATGCTTCCATCAAGGAAACTCTAGTCACACCAGACAGGTTGATCCACAGGATCCCAGTACCTCCCACAAGTGTCTTTCTTTATCCTCTTCCAAACTGCTGAGGACGTTCATGGCTATGTAGGGATGTGAATACCAATACGAATATTACTTCCTTTGGCATAGTGGTAATATGTCATCCTCCAGTGAGCTTTCCTGTAATTGCATTATCAGGAGAAATAAAGCAGAACTCTGTAGGACTTCCTGTCATAACGCTAAGAAAACAAACAAATGTGAATCAGCCGGCACCACCTCCTGGCATCTTCCCGGAAGAAACAAACAGCACCACTCTTGTCAAGGAAGGTTAAGTGGAAAACTCAGATGCTTCTAGAAAAGTATAAAGATGTGAAGAAATCAAAGGTGCCCCGTCCTTACAGCTGCAGGAAGACAGAGTGATGGCATGCCTCTTCCCACGTTTGGTCTACGGATTTTAGTGGAACAATTAAGCACATCCATTTTGCCTATTCTCATTCTGTGGGATTTCCACTCTGTCTGAATAGTGCAGTATATACACTTAATCTGATTCTGACAAGTATGTGATTATCTGCTCTTTGGGTGTTGAGATTCAGAAGTCTGGAATTGTAATTGCAGTGATAGAACAGGAGTGTCTGTGTGTGGTGCCACAGAATTCCACGTCACCTTGGCCATAGTGGCTCCTAATTCCTTTCTGTTCTCTCTAATGACCTATGATACCCAACCCCCGATCCTTTTATTAGCATCCTGACAGGACAGATTGTACTCTTGCAACTTGTGCAAAAAACTTTTAATATAAGTCCTGCCCTCCTTCTCTTCCCTCCAGGTTCGTGGTCAGCACTATGATCTAGTGCTGAATGGCAATGAGATTGGAGGTGGCTCCATTCGAATTCACGATGCAGAGCAGCAACAGTTCATTCTTGAAACGGTGCTGAAGGTAAAGGCAACGCACTTCTCTATGTTATGGTCAACTTCATCGGCTGCATGAACTCCTGGCAGAACATTAACTTAAGCAAATGAAAGAATGAGGCTTAATTTTGGTAGGTGTTGTGAGGCTGTAACTCACGTCTCCAATTAACTCACACAGCAGCCGGCAGTAAAACTAAAGACTTTTATTGCTCTTTGCTGCAAGATTTACGATGCAACAGATAGGCTCTGGCAATGAGCTCCTCGCAGCTCAGTTGCCCCCTCCTTTCTGGACCCTACAGGAAAGGTCACGTGGATTTCAACCTTCTCATGTCTTTCTGTGCGTGGGTGGGATGCGCTTCTCCCTCATCGTTTCAATTGGTCTAAGCGATGCAGCCTCCTCCTGAGCTGGGCATCTCCTAAATCACCTGCCGCGTCTTCCTGTTCTCCAGCACTCCGCCCAGCAGCTTCAGAGTCAACTTGCTCAAAAACCTCGGAGTCAAGAGGAAGGGAAACGGCACCCTGCTCAAAAAACTCAGAGCCAGGATGTGGGGAAGCTGCTCGCTTGGAAGCCTCAGAGTCAGGCGGCAGGGGGGCCGTTTGGGCCCTGGACACCAAGTATAAATCCCCCTGCTCCAACGCCCGACTCTCACTGTGAGCCTCTGGCCCTCTCGCGCGTGCCAGCGCTGCTGCCGAGCCGTTGGGCACAACAGTAGGACTGAGTTATGGAAATGCCTCAGACAATGCACTGCCGTGTCTGAGGTGGCTTGTGTGCTGTGTTACTCATGCACAGCATTAAGATTTCAGTCACTGGCCCCAGTAGGAGCATTACGGATGCGTTAACTTCATTCACAGACAGGGCGGCATGGATGTGCAGTGCCTTGTCACCTGCATAGGTGTGCATCTGAAGCTTGCTTTTCTGCCACCACGTCAGCACAAAATACACCAGAAACGCTTTTCTGTGCTGTGCAAGGATCACTCCAGAATGCCTGACCGAGGAAGTGGCAGCAGCCAGTCGCTTGCTGGAAACAGTGCGCTTCATTTTTTGCAGATAAATGTTCTGGATTCTTCCCCCTTGTAGATTTCTGTGTGGACAAGATGTTGTGCCTAGCAAAGGCTGTCACCCTCAACCCTGTGCTCTCATTGGCTGTTTAAATTAGTGGTTTACTACTGTTATTTCCAGCACTCTGGGTGGGCTTTTTAGGGAAAAGCATGGCGGTCCTCTCACTTCCTGGCAAATAGATGTGGAAGAAATGGAGGTAGTGACAGATTTTATTTTCCTGGGCTCTAAGATCACTGCAGACGGGGACTGCAGCCAAGAAATTAAAAGACGCTTGCTCCTGGGGAGGAAAGCTATGGCAAATCTAGACAGCATACTAAAAAGCAGACACATCACCCTGCTGACAAAAGTGTGTATAGTCAAGGCTATGGTTTTCCCAGTTGCAATGTGTGGCTGTGAAAGTTGGACCATAAGGAAGGCTGAGAACCGAAGGATTGAAGCCTTTGTATTGTGGTGCTGGAGAAGACTCCTGTGAGTCCCTTGGACCGCAAGGCGATCAAACCAGTCAGTCCTAGAGGAGATCAACCCTGACTGCTCTTCAGAAGGCCAGTATATGAAACTCAAATACTTTGGCCACCTAATGAGAAGGAAGGACTCCCTAGAGAAGAGCCTAATGCTGGGAACAATAGATGGCAAAAGGAGAAGGGGGCGGCAGAGGATGAGGTGGCTGGATGGAGTCACTGGGGCAGTCGGCTTGAGCTTGGGTGGACTCTGGGGGACAGTGGAGGACAGGAAGGCCTGGAGGAGTGTTGTCCATGGGGTCGCAATGGGTCCGACACGACTTTGCAACTAACAACAAACAACAATGGTGGTGATACCAGTAAATGATTTCTGCTTGTCTTTTTAAAGCCACCTGGCAGTGTCTGAGCCATGATTACAACTCCGTTTACAGCACTCAGCCTTCCCGGTTATGTCACTTAATGTTGTACTTTTGTTCTAGGAAAACACAGAGCTGCTGTCTCACCTCCTTGAAGCTCTGGCCTGTGGAGCACCTCCACATGGAGGAATCGCACTAGGTCAGTGTCTGTCGTCCTTTTCAGCCCCCATGTTTTGACCCGTCGGTCAGGCCTTAATGTTCCTGCCTCCCCAAGAGACCAATCTTGCTTGACCGGGAAATGGGCCACCGTCTCCTCTGTTCACTGGCCTTGGCTAATCTTCAGCAGAGTGGCCTGCTTAAAAATCCAGGCATAAATGGCTGGTCCACTGGGACTTTGTTCCAGTCTTTATAGTAAGCAAAGGGCACCTGCTGAGTTTTTCCAAAGGAAGTACAGGCTCACACCGTCGAATATCTGAGTAGGGAGCCATCCTTGATGCCCAAGAAATGAAGGGGAATGGCACAAAACTATCAGTATCACATTCTATGGGCCACGGGTAAGGAACGAGATCTGCAGTTTTGTCCATAGAGTCGGTTTGTTCTTTGGCCCGTAACAGTCCTATATTTTTTCCAATAGGCAATTGGAATTAACATTGGATTTTAACTCTGTCCTCTAGGACTTGACCGACTGATGTCCCTCCTAGTTGGTGCACCAAGTATTCGAGATGTCATTGCCTTCCCTAAATCCCTCCGAGGAAGAGATCTGATGAGTAACTCTCCAAATTATGTGGCCTCAGAAGAACTGGAGCCATACCATATCCAGGTCGCATGGCCTTTGACTCAAGCCAGGGAGAGCACGGATTTCAGCTAACAGGTTCTGGGGCCACCTGTACGCCGGCCTTTGTTCTCCACCAGTATCACAGCCGCTCTAGCAATTATGCATCAGGCAGAGGACTTAAATCGATTTAGGGGGCCTTCTCAGATTGCAGCATCTACCACTGCTGCTTCCTTCTGCTGAGGAGTCGCGCCTCATATTTTAAATACTAGGACAAAATTCTGATTGAAGAAACCATGTGGAGATGGAACTTGTTAAAATAGAATTCATATTTTGCTACATGGGATTCAAATTTCAGTAGTTTTGTGCATGCATCTGAAATGTGAATAAAAATGAAACTTAAATTACAGTATTATTACAGTAACTGCATTCCTTATTCAGCTCCAGGCTTCTAAGACTGCTGTGGGATTTAATCCTAAAGCACAGTCAGGGTTGATCTCTAGGACTGGCCAGTTTGATCACCTTGCAGGAGTCTACCCTTTTATTTCAGTTCTATGTGGCCTCATTGCCTAGGGCCTCTGGACAATTTACAATACAATGTTAAAATTTAAAGTACAGTAAGGCCTACTAAAGATTATTCACCTGAATGATCCCCTCAGAGCTCTGAATAAACCAAAGAGAAATTCTCTGCATAAAGGGCTGTCTTGACAGGATGCCAGGAAGATGGCAAATTTGGTCCCAGGCAGGCTGCAACAGGGAGGTGGCTCTGCACCCTGAGGAAGGGCCTGGAGGTTGAGTGTCCTGTCCAGGCGGGAGAGAACCTTTTAGCTCAAGAGCTACATTCCATTTTGGAAACATTAGCCACATTCCAATAGTGGGTGGAGCCGAGGTCAGTGCAAGTGAAGAAAAAACTGCCTGGGCAAATAATGTACTGTAGCCTCTGATTCTTACTGCCTGTAACTAAGCTTTAAGAGAGACATTTAAACCTTTTAAAATGTGAAATTGTGCAAAAGCTGGGAAGCTGCCAAGTAAAGGAGTGGAAGGGGTCGTAGGAATCGTGAATGGCCATCTTTGAGACTCCCAGAGGACTGAATGAGGAAGTGGTGTCTGGGCCCCCATACCTGCCCCATGTACTAAAAAGAGCCAATAAACATGTGAATAGGATTAACAATCATTTTATTATCCCAATGCCGCAGCTGTTGGTTTCAAGCTTCTCTTCCAACACTTGAAATTAAATCTCTTCTGGAGAAAGGGCAGGGCTTCTCGCATCTGGGATGGGAGGAAAAGGAAAGTCACCACGCTGTATTGGCAGCTCTCTAGCATAGCATATCTTGCACAGTGATTGCATCAGACCTCGCATTTTCCATCACATGATCAGAGAGAGAGTTCAAGGCAAAGGTATCATCATTTGTATCTCCCCACAGACATTGTATCCATATAAAGGAATGATGCCTACCCTTTCAAGTCAACAGCCAGTTCAAAATGGTGGATTCCTATGAATTGAGATGGGTATTAGTATACAAGGGAGAGCAAATGAAGCATACCTCAGGAAACAGACCACTAGTTTGCACGAAAGAACATTCTGCATCAGCCTGCCACATACAATTTGCCTCAACCTTTGCACAAAATTGACTACCAAAAAGAACGCTTTCCCTTTGTTACCCAAACAAAAGCAGGTCATGTTAATCAGCTTTAGCACTGATTCATCGCAAACATTACCTAAACTTCCACTTTTGTTCTAAGTCACAGTCAAGTAATTAAGTCAAGGTAATATTGAAAATATTACCACTGCAGAAAAGATGCTAACAAAAATTTTACTGAAACAAGGCTGCCTGGCTTCTTTCCATAGTTGCTATCATTTAAAGAGGGTCTCTGACAGACAGTCCCCTCATACTGGTCTCAGGAGCGCTAACCCCAGGTTGCCCTAAAAGGGGTGCGAGATACATCAGATAGGAGCGAAAGACAATTCAGCACGGTTCCCTCTGCTGAACTATGTGATCATCATTGTATCTGGATTCTTACATGCACCCCTCTAAGCTCTTTGCTCTCACTATCTCTAGAGAGGGAAATGAGCAATGGACTTGTAAATGCAGCCTCTGAAATCCATCAGATTTGGATAGTGCATGTTAATCTCAACACTGCTAGCTGGTGCAACACTGGACAATTCTAAGAGGCAGGCTTTGGAGGGGCCAGGGGCTACACCCCACAAACCAAATCCCATGGGGAGCCTGGGAGAAAAAAACATTTTGCCACCACGCTGGCAGCACACCACTAACCAAGCCTAGAGGAGCCAAGCCCTGGCTGTGCTCAAGAACAGCTACACCAAAGCCTAGTTCTAAGCTCCATTTGGCCACTTCAGGCTTGCTGTGTGCTTTGCTGCTAGAACCGGTAACAGATCAAGTTGTTTCTGCGCAAACCAAGGCCTCGGCTGCAGCATGGGGCAGCTATGCTGCCTATGGACTTAAATATGGTGCACAGTGACGTCTTTTTCTCAAGCGGTGCACCAGGCACGGAGTGCTTACCTCAGAGGGACAGAAGTCCTGCCAGGACACCAGCCGGTTTAATCTGTAGGAAAGTTGACATGATTTTACCACTGGGGCCCACAATGCGGCCCCACGTGGAGGCAGTCCCACCAATGTACTGTTTCAGTGCAAAATTCTCTTCAAGGTAAAACTCTTTACATTTCAGAGAGATTCCCATTGTATTACACAAGTTCATCAGTAACAGTACATTAAATAAATATGACTACCGTTAACAGCACGTTACATGAACTGAGTTAAGGGACCACTCCATGCAGCTCAAAAGAACCAGCTGTCATCGAGTGCTGGATGTCAGCCGCTGCCACATCAGCTGAGGGCAGAGGCGGGCTCCCTGCTTCCCTGGCCTGAGGGTCGAAGTACTGCTGACTTCGAGTGAGGGGCTCCACACTCTCCTGCCACCCCGATGCGATCTGCAGCAGCCACTCCTCCCTCCATCTTGTACCACCTTTTAGTACATGGCTTGTTTGTTACTTGCTCTTTTCTTCACAAACCATTTTGACTATATTTTATATAGGAAAGTGAAGTACAAGTGTAGGGACACTGATTGGTATTCCAGATCCAGAAGGACTCTGGGGTGACCCCTTGCTGATTCTTACTCCTTTATGGTAAAGGGGAAGGGTCACTTTGAACTGCAGTCAAGACTTGTTTGTTTGTGGGACTGGCATGTGCGTTTACAGTGGAGAGAACAGCCTTAAAGGAGCAGGATGCTCTTGCCAGCAGCTTCCGCCACCTAGGAGGGACTCGCCTCGCTTTCGGGACCTGCTGCATTTGGCCATTACACTCACCGGTTCTCTGATGCCTCAAGCCAGTCCTCTTCATGTTTCCTCACTCTGAAACAAAGGCCAAGCATCATCATCTGACCCCAACACAGAGGTGGAAGAGCTCTCACTGCAAGCCATCACACGCTTGAGTGGACCCATGTCCAAACAGGTACTTGGCAAGACCTCCTGTTCTCCCAGTCCATGTGAAGCTGACTGTATTCACTGGGTAACTCACAGCCCCTGGTCTGGTGACTTTCTCTTCTGCTATATAACACACATCTCCCCTAAAAGCCTCAGTGTAAGGTTTTCAGAAAACTGTTCTGTCCACTACTCTTAAAACATCATTGGCTTTTTCCCTTAGCATGCCCTCACTCATTTCTGGGGATGAATTTAATTTCTGAAAGAATGGAATGCGAAAATAGGTGAAAATGCCGTATATAATCAAACCATTGATCCATTTCACAGTTCAAAATGCTACTAGCCCATAACACCTCTCCAAATCCAACCAAATTCCATAAACCAACCAACCAACTTAAACCTTCAGGGCCAGATCTTAGCCTTCTGATTTCTAGCCAATTAAATGATCATGGTACTAACCTGTCTCAGTAGAGGAATATTGGAGCCTGGCCTTCTATCAGTACTTTAAAGAAACAAAAAGCATTGTTAGAAAATGGCAACAAATTCTGCAAAGCTTGGCTCATAATTTTGTAATCTTTACTTCAAGGCTGCACAGGCAACACGGTTCTTGCTGGGAACTGGCAAAATGAAAGTTTTGACCAGAACTAAATACAGGTGGGTGGATGGCAAACACGGGACACCTATCCCCGAACTTGTTAACAGGAAGCCTGACATAAAAGCCAGCATACTCCATAGGTGCAAGTGGTAAGCATGAAAAGAACCACAATTCTTCTCTCAGCTCCTAAGCCTTAATGGACACCAGGAAATGTAACCTCAGAAAATGGAACGGAATGGGGTTGATATCATTAGAACTCATCTGGCAGAATCAAAACTTCATCACTGGTTACAAGTGCCTTCGAAATAGTCTTGGATAAGCAATTCCTAAAGGACAGAGATAAAATTGGTTCTTACCTCCAATTAGTTAATCCCCTAGCCCGAACCTAGGTAAGAGTTGAAGAATTCATTTAGCAATTTATATGCACAAAACTTGAACACATTAAGAATTCAGTACTATGAAAGGAGTAGCTTTGAGTAACTTTACAGGGTCTTTCAGTACAAAAATTAATCCACACTGATTTCAGATCAGACATTCACTCATCATTTTGAACCCTGCTGGCTTTAAGATTCCTGAGGAAATTAACACTGATAGTGATAGTAACATATTTCGCAGCCATTCCAGACTGCATCCTCCATGACTCTAGGCCTCAACACTGGGACAGTCTTCTTTAGCAGGACAAACAGCTGCCTAGGCAGAAACAGTGGCCAGCTCCAGATTTTAGTAACCCAAGGAACGAACTCAAACTGATGGTACACTGCCACACAACTGGACAGCTGTCAATTCTTATGGAATGTCAGATGGACACACTAACTCTCCCTTCAGATGTGGCCATTTAAGTTCCTATTACTGAAGCTGGTACTTTTGTACCTTCCATGCTCAACTGCCTTAAATATTTAAGACCATTCCAGCTGTCCATTATAGCAGGGAATTGCTGGCCAGATGCCCATCCACACAGTCTCATTCCCTTCTCAGTCACTCCTCAAGTTTCACTCAAAGTCTTGTAATGAATTACCTTTCTCAGCAGTGTAAGTACAAAGAGCTCTTCAAAGTCACCCAAGACCTGCAAAAGAGGATGTTTAAGGAGAGTCCACAGAAAGCCTGCAGTAAGATGAGACAAATGCAAGCAGTTACCTGAAGTCAGGTAGAGCTAATTACCAACCTCCATTATTTAAGTCAGCTTTATTGGCTTCTCATCACACAGGCTGCTTGCATTGGACTACGCAACAGGCACACGCTAAACGTTATCAAGCCACGTGTTCAAAACTTAACCAGAAGGCAGAAAATGCTGGGACTTATTTCAAAAGGATAGTCAACTTGCCGGTCAAAGGAAGTCACATGGCCCCAAATCAGCATGGCCAATGGTCAGGAATCATGGCAGCTTTAGTCCAGAACATCTGGGGCCAGGGGTTGCCTATCCCCAATTAAGCCATCATCCAGCTATCTTCTGGAAAAGCTCCACAGCCTCCAAGAAACTTTTGCCACACTGCTCCCTATTTGTGCTAAAAGGCATCCTGGTCGCATGTCCCCAAATGTACCTTTTTACTTCAGAGATATCCCGATGCTTATTTTTCAGTCTAGTCCAGTCACGAGGACCTGTTAAGAGAGAGCATTTTTAGACATGTGCTGAGCTTCAGTTTTTTAAAAAACTGCCTACAACCCTCCACTGTATCAGTTTGAATTCCGTTATCCTCATTTAGATCAGAGACCTGATTCAGCATCATATACAGCAGATTAACTCCTTATAATGGCAAGTCACCAACCCAATGTTCAAGCAACATCAGCAGAGCCTCAGAGGTTCTAGTCAAGTGACTGCACTGGGGCTATTCTTCTCTTTAAGATGAAGACCAAGATTTCAGATAATCAGGCAACTCCCCCATCACTGGTACAGGAGTTAAATGGATTCCAAAATTAAGGCAAAGCCTAATAACTACAAAAATACCAATGCCACAGAAGAGGCTCAAGCGCTTGGCACTTTGGAATTTCACATATGCTGTTTACACCTTTGGATTGTTAATTTGCATGAAGACCTAGTATCAGCCTATCATTGCAGTGACGCTTCCCCAGGCCGGGTGAAAACATCAGACAGGCAGTAGCACAGGATGGGTATGTTAACATGTTCCAAGACAGGAGCGTCTGCTCCATTAGAGCAGACTGGAGCCAAGTATCTTCGTTACTAATGCTCCATACTATCATTCATAGTATGAATGGCCATTATTCATGACAAGGGATGGATGCCTAGTTAACCCTACAAGCCTTCTTGATTCTCAGCACTTACTCAACTTTCTTTGCAACACCACCTATTTGATTATCCAGGGTCCATCCATGCTAGAGTGCTTGCAGGTAGAGGCAAACGGAGGTTTATAGCAATGCAGCTAGTCCCCATGTTAATCTTGCTGCAAGTAATGAACCTATAAGAAAAAATATTTAAGTTATGACAGGCTGCAATCTGAATTTAGACTGAAAGTTAAAATTTGACAGTCAAGATTATGTCCATCATGCTGCTACACTGGAAACTTGGAACTAGTTTCCTAAGCAACCAGCATTCCCAAGCTATTCAGGCCCTCATCTGTTAAATGCTGACATGTTGCAGTGCAACAGCAGTGACAGGCATCCACGCAAATCGGGCTATCTAGTGAACTGGTGGCAGAGAAATCCAAAATGCCAACAAGTATGCATCAGATAGGAGCGAAAGACATTAGCATTCGTCACAGATTGTCTGCTGAACTATGCTGTCATCATTTGCATCCTTGTTTGCAACAAAATCCAATTTCATTTAATGCCAATTGCTGAAATGACATTCTCTTGAATCTTGCACAGACAAATGATAAGTTTATGCTGGCACATTCTGTAGGACTCTTACCAGTATATCTTCCTTTTATAGCCTCTGGATCATTTGTTAAACCCTGCGAGGGGAAAAACGAAATATTAAACCAAATACCTAAACATGGCACTCCATTGTTCAAGAGCAATCACTGTGCCTCAGTTTAGAACAAAGGTGGTTAAGCCTTCTCATCATTCTTCTGATCAAGAGTAGCAAATAGGGGTCATCATTGTGGCACCATGTAAGCTAAGCAGCATTGCTGAAACAATCTGAACAATACCTCTACATCTATAAAAAGTAAAATACCTTTGCAGATGGGAGTCTTGATCTTCTGAAGCTCTAAAGAAAAAGAAATAAGGTTTTTCATACAGCCAGACCTTTTTAAAAATAATGCAGAGCCCACTAACAGAATAGTGTGATAGCTTTGACTGGCAATCCAAATCAGCCTCAGCCCCATCACTGCTCAAAAGTATTAAATGGACTACACTGTTACTCTCCCAGCAGACCATAACTGCTTAAGTATAATGCAGGCTAGCTCTTAAGACTAATGTGCAAATGAGAGACAACATTGACTTCAGCTTCTGCACAACTTACAACCTTGGTGTTATATCTGGACAACACTTAAAGCTGTTTTAACCTTTCAAATGTCTCAACTGCAGTAATTAGTATAAATTACATATGAGCTGCCATTCTCCAAGCCAGAACCGTCTAATCTGGAAAGTACTATGAAATGCTTGAATTTGCAGGGCAATTTAATGTTTTACGCTAAACACGTCCAAAAGTGCAGGTACTCTTCACTTTTTTTAAGAGTATGTGGGAGGACTAGTCCTGCTGGTGCTATTTTTGGCTATGGAAGGAATGGCAGGCACCCCAAGTTTAGTTTCATTTAAGGTCTCCATTTATATGAAACAAGTTCAAGGCAGATATGGGTGTTTCTTCCATCTAAAGCATCTTGCTCAAAATAAGAGAAGGCAAAATATTTGGAGTGTTCAGGAACTGACAGTAATAGAACAGGAGGACACCTCATTTCAACGGGGCACCCATGCTGCAAAAGCCCATTATCTCCCTCCAGAGTTTCTCGTTGAAAACAAGAGGCACAGGCATGTTTTTCACACCCCAAAATACAAATATCCGGAAACACCATCACATTTTTAAAGTAGGATTTCCCAACCATTCAAAAAGGGACTAACCCTCTAGGTTCAAGGTTCCTACCATGCTGCAAGTGAGATAGCATTCAAAACTGATACTGCACTGATGGCAAGCCTAGCTATCTCTGAAATGCCAACTGCAGAGCCAAAAGGCAGCATAGTTCCTCATGCGACCCGTATTAAGACAAACCGCTGTTGTATAATTTCTACTTCTGCTTTTCCAGCTGTGTTTACTGGCTCTTAGGCTCTTACAGACTAAGAAGAGAATATTCAAGGTCAGAGAAGCAACCAGGAGTACATCCTAGCCCTGGCCTGCTCAGCGATGTTGGTCCTCATCATTTTCTCAGATGTCCCTACCAACATCATGTATCATCATGCGCAGGGAAGGCTCGCTTACCTTGTTCAGGGGCTTACACTGGGAGATTTCCTACAATGGCCAGGAGTTTAGGCAAGACTATATGCTCACAACAATTCTTTTACTCCACTGCTTAGTTGCGTTGCATAACTCAACACCATCTGTACAATCTAAAGTAAATGCCGGCATTAAGCTTGCAATTCTTGTCGAGTAAGCTACGCTTTGGAACTATTATGAGGCTTCCTAACTTTGTCCGCAAATCAAGCTATATAGAATGCACTTTACATTCCTACCGAGGTCCGAAACCATTCCTTATTCTTCAAATTTCCCTCGCAATTCTCTTCTTTTCAAGTTATTTCAGCCTTCTACCAACGCCCTCCTGTTTTTGGTACTCAACCTATGGCCTATCGAACGGTTCTGTTTAGGTCGAGATTTTGCTTGGTTTTAAAGTTACTGTTCTGCCACAGTTTGAATGCGGTATAGTACTAACGGGAGAGCCGAACAGCGCCCCAAGGGTCGCTCGATGCTTCCCCCGGAAGCTCCGCGGCTGCTGCTCCTGCCTGCCTGCGCTTTCCCGCCGAAGCCCGCACGCCGCATCGCCACCCGGGCGCCGTCGCCCTTCTAGGCCTCGCATCCCGCCGAAGAGCGGAACGGAGTGCCAAGAAAATCCACCCCCATCCGCGCACCCCCGACCCCATCCGTTGCACCCACGCGCCCTAAAACCCCTGCGCGCTTCACAGATACTGGAGGGAACCGTATTGACCAGAATAAAAAAATCGGATTTTGGCTCACGACCCACCTCAGCGACTTACACAGCGCAGCCCGAAAAGAACGAGAGAGGCGGAGCTCCTCTTCCTATATAGCGCGCGGGAACGCGCGGTCACGTGACGGCGCGGCGCGCGACCCGCCTGTTCCCGCCCCTCTCCTGCCCCCAGGGACCATGGTCTCCGCCCACAGAGGTTTGGAGGCCGCTGCCTCCAGGCCCAGGCCCCGCCCCCTGCCCTTCTCTATGGTGGGGGCGCGGCTACCTGACGCGAAAACTCTTTCGCCCGGGCAGGGGGAAACGCTCGTCCGTCAAGGCATTTGGGGAGGGGATGTTCTTCCGGGGCGTGACTCGGCGGGGGTTGCGCTTCCGGAAGGGTGTTCGGGCTCGTCCCACCCCCCCTGGAGGTACGTAGACGGTGTTTTTCGGTCCCCTCGGGAAAGGGGAGCAGGCCCGGAGAGCGGCCTCGCGCCCCTCGCCCCCCGCGGCGGGTGAACCCGAAGAGGGCCTCCCTGGGGCGGCTGGAGGCCCCCGGAGTAAGGGAGCCGCTTCCCGGCCCCCGGCCGCCCCCCGCGCGTGGGCCGGAGCAGAGGCTGCGCCCAGCGAGTGACGGCGGCCCCTTCCAGCGGCGCTGCTCCCGCCGCCGCCGCCCCGCTCCCTCTGGGGTCTTCCTCGGTCCGTATCCGTGCCCCCGATGTGCCGCTGCAGACCGACCGGCGTGGGAAGGGGTCGCCGAGCCGGCGGCTGGGAACGGGCGTGCGCGGGGCGCTTCCTCTCCGCTGCAAGGCAGGGCAGCCAGCGGGGAAGGCGTTTTGAATACCGCGCGATCCTCGGCGTGTTTTCTGAGAAGGAGCCCCAGCCGGGACCGGCGCGTGGGATCGCAGTCCTCTTCCTGCGGGGCTGTCATGCTCCTGGGCGCCCCTGCGAGGACGTGGGGTGGCAGTTTCCAAAAGTGCATGGTGTGGAGGAAGTGGCCGTGGGGGTCTTGCCGTAAAAGATGGAAAAGCCGCCGCCCCCGCCCCGCCCTCGAATGTCGGAGTTAATTTTTCCCACGCTGTCCTGTCGTAGATTCAGGACTAAGCGGGAAAAGGGATCCTTTGTCCAGGGTGCAACTGACCTATAGAAGGTATTGCCATATTACGTATGAATGGCACGGATAATTAAAGGGTGGATAGGCAGGGTCCTGGAGAAGAGATCAGACAGGTGCAGAGACAGTACGGCACTGATTGTAGTCTGGGGTGCAACGGCAATGGAGAGCTGCTGCCTTCACACCTCGCTTGTGGGCTTCCTGCAGGCATCTAGCTAAACACTATTGGAAACGGAATGTCGTACCTTTAATCCCGTGGGACACTCATCGTTTGGGGTCTGATAATTTTGTATCAGAAGTAGAACTCCTCATGGGAACAAGCGTACCTAAGGAAAAATGGGAAAGGGGGAATGGAGTTAAGGGGATTTAACACTTCATTTAATAACGGGAATATTCTGTTGTATCATGTGGTTAAACTTTAGCTATGAAGCTCCTAAAATTTAAAAATCATCCTAATAAAGTGCTTTGCATCTGCTATCTTCTCTGTGTTCATAACAAGCATATTAAGTCTATCACTGTCCATTATTTAAAGGTGATACCTGTCTATCATTGTAGTTAGTTTAATATTGTAGGAAGCTCACTAGTAGTCCGGCAAGGAAAGCCACTTCTGATTGCTTTTGTAGCTTCTATGAGTATATGTTTAAGATTCATTAGGTTTTTAAACCTTAAAGGCTTCAGTGCAAATTTTTGCAAACTGGTCATTTTGGATTGCATTACTAATGCATGCAGAAGCACAGCATGGTAGCAATCAACCTAGAACTAATGTTGCCAGCTATATCGTCATTGCAGCCATTTGTGTACTATTAGGTGTTTTTGTTTTTCTTGGTACAACTATAGTTTACTCCATTACAGGGACATTAGGCACCTTGTTTCTACTACCCCCTCCCTCTAGCCGCCATTTGTCCTTTCCCTGCTCCTCCTGCAAGTGACTACCTTGTGCTCTTTTCAAAGGAGTCTACAGCATGCTGTCAGCTAGAAATCTGTTGATTTCTGCTCCAAGTTAAATGTCCTTTGGCAAGTTGGTATTCAGTCATTTTACCTAAGGAAAATGAAGAATTTGATCTCTAGAATAATATGGTACTAATTTATTCAAAGTGTGCCCAGTAACCCTGAAAGTCTCAGTTGGCCTGTCCCCATAAATGATGGTAGTAAGTGTGAAGTGGTAAATAAAAGTTAAAAAAAAACCAGCAAATGGGTGTTTGCTTTGTCCCAGAAGAACGCTAAGCAAGCTTCCAGCACTTCCAGTTCTGAATAAGTTGTAAAACCCCATGTACAACAAGCAAAAAGATCTGAAGGTAGGATTTAAGTCATGGTGGGTTGCAGTGCAGGTCACCCACCCTTCTGAATCTTCAACCAATTGTGTTGCAGTTTTTGCATCCCGGGAACCCAGCAGGGTTGGTTTTGTGAGAGTTAAGCAACTCTTCCATAGTGAATAGGCTGTTTTAGTTTTCTTTGCTGAGTTTGCACAGTATAACCCACAGCCCTCCCCAGCTTGAATATTCAAAATAGCGTCTGGCACACATTGCAACCCACCCTCCGTGGGCTGCAGTGATCCTACGGACCAGCCCTTTAGCATCTTGCATCACCCAGAGCAGTGGCCTCAACTACAGACATCAGGAATCACAACTACACAATGTCCAGTCTAAGGTGGTTGGAAGCACTGATCCCCCCACCCCGCCTCTGAAGAGGAAGATAGATTCAGGGACCAGGAGAAAATGAGAGGGCATTACCAGATGCAAAGCCTGATGAAACCTTTTTGCTTTTAATACTTATATACAAGAAGGAATTTAAGAGCAGCTATTCTGATCAGTTTCGTTAAACCTGAACCTGCTGAATTTCCATTTCTCCCTTGACTGAAGGTACAGGAGATGCAACAGTCTTTCCCTCTGTCTACCATAGCAGGAAAAGTAGGAAGGCAAATATATGCAATAAAAAAATAGAAATAAGATCCATGGGGACTTCAGACAGGTTCCTGCTTTGAAAAAAATGGCAACTGCAGATCCAAATTACAATCCCTTGCTATCCCAAAGCGGGAGCAAACGCAGCACTCTGTCAAAGGGGAAAGGTGCATGGCTGGGCTCCTGCTGCAGTTGCCCTCCTCTGGTAGGAGTTGCCATTCCTGCAATGTTTTGTTAGCGCAAAGCGCTTTCAGCATTGATCTTTGCTTCACTGATATGAACAGAAATCCCACTGCACTGCCTTCTGAGGTATCACTGCCACAAGTATCTGTTTTCAGGATTCGTACAGCTGTCAGCAGGTCCATCCAGTCAGCCCTAAAAGCCCAGTTGTTTCATGGAGGGTGATTCTGGATCAGTGACATAAAAAAAGCCCACTAAGCTATTTTTGGTGTAATTAAGCAACAACCAAAATTGCTTAGGGAGAAGGGTGTGCAAAATTGTAGAATCTGGCTTCCCACATTGCGGTATTTTTATGTAGCAGTGTTGGGGAGTTTTTATAGCCATTCTGTTCCTAGACTACTTTATGAAACCTGTGCATAATAACATTGAGATGCATGAACATTGGTACCCTGCTGCTATGTAAGTACCTTGTTCTTCATGTGGTAGCTGCTGGTACTGTACAGACTTGATAACCTCCTGGTAAATAGCTTTGTGGACCATAATAGTCTGCCTAAATCTTCAGACTTCATATCGATTTCCCATCTTGTTCTGAGTTACTCTTATTAGCAGGAAGGGTAGCAAAAGTGAAGAGCATTAGAAGGAGTGTAACTTGTTCTTCTCATTTAGCATGTTGTGCTAAATGTTCCAAACGTTGTGTACAGTTTTACTCTTATATCCTTCAGAAGGCTGCATAACGTTAGCTGCTCCTTCCCTTCCCATTAACTGCTAGAGGAAAATCCTACACAACTCATGAGATAACTATTCTCTCAGTTCAGTTAGCTTGTACGTAACTAACATCCTGGGGTTGCAGTTTGTTGGACATCTGCAGTTTGGGCTTTTTTATATAAATATGTGGCTGATAGAATGGCTGGACCTTGTTTTCTGTCATCTGAACATGTCCTTTCAGTGCCCACGCGACTAACATTTAGCAGATGCCATCTATTAGAAATGCAGTGTGAGCATACCTTATTGAAAAGGATGTAATTTCTGCAGGATTTGGTCTTCACACACTATTCTTATCAGCAGGCCAGGGGAATGAGATCGTGCCAGTGTAGGTTCTGCAGGAGCAAGCAATCCGTAATCGGTGTTGGTTACCAATTAACAGGTATATGGGGAAAGGGGAACTGTGGGACAGGGTTACAGCTAAACGTTTTGTGGCAGCTATTAAGATGAAACATGCTGCTGAAAGCGCATATATATATATATATATATATATATATATATATATATATGAGAACTGCCTGCAGAGCTTTGCTATTGGGTGGTAGAGAAATTAAATTAATGTGGACACCAGTTGTATAGCTTTGCCACTGCCCCTCCCCCCAGTATGGTGGTTTTAAGCAACCAGTTTTGTCAGCAGGTTTGTTGAGGGGGCTTGTGTGCATTTTACTGTCCTGTGAGCCAAATTCATTTTGGCAAATGCATGTAAGCATAATGGCCAAACTCAGTTGTGTTTTGCACTTAAGAAATCGCTACACTGGTAGAGCCCACTACCATTTCCTCTTGCACAAGCAGTTGCGCTAGTAAGTGGAACATGAGTTGCCTTCTCCCTTGTGCATGGACCAGAGCCCAGTCTCTGTTGCCGCAGCATTATGTGCACCAGCAAAGTGACACCATCGGATACCACCCGTTATGTAAGAACCGGGCATTTTTGAACCCCACCGTTTTCCTCGTGTAGCATAAGAAGCAGGCACAGAGGCAACTCCTTTCTAATGCTACCTGTGGTGCCATTTTCCTTTGTTAGGGCTGCTCCGCCTGCAACTGGAGCCGTCATGGAGAAAAGTGGGAACATTCAATTGGAGATTCCTGACTTCAGCAATTCTGTCCTGAGCCACCTCAACCAGCTGCGCATGCAGGGCCGGCTATGTGACATTGTGGTTAACGTGCAGGGCCAGGCCTTCAGGGCGCACAAGGTGGTGCTGGCTGCCAGCTCGCCTTACTTTCGGGACCACATGTCACTCAACGAGATGAGCACCGTCTCCATCTCGGTCATCAAGAACCCTACGGTGTTCGAGCAGCTCCTCTCTTTTTGCTACACGGGGAGAATATGCCTCCAGCTGGCAGATATCATAAGCTACTTGACTGCAGCCAGTTTCCTGCAGATGCAGCACATTATAGACAAGTGCACACAGATCTTGGAGGGCATTCATTTTAAAATAAACGTGGCCGAGGTGGAAGCGGAATTGAGCCACACGAGGCCGAAGCATCAGGAAAGGCCTCCGGAATCACATCGGGCGTCGCCAGCTCTGAATCGCTCCCTGAGCCCGCACCACAGCACTCCGAAGGGAAGCCGGATGGGCCAGGTCAGCACCGTGCTGGACATCCGGGAACTGAGCCCTCCGGAGGAGTCTACAAGCCCCCAGATCATCGAGCAGAGCTCAGACGTGGAGAGCAGGGAGCCCATTCTGAGGATTAACAGGGCGGGGCAGTGGTACGTGGAGACCGGCGTGGCGGACCACGGGGGGCAGGGTGATGACGAGGTCAAGGTCCTCGGAGCAGTGCGCATCAAGACGGAGAACTTGGAGGAGTGGCTGGGCGCCGAGAACCAGCCCTCCGGAGAAGACGGGAGTAGCGCCGAAGAGGTCACGGCCATGGTGATCGACACCACGGGCCCCGAATCCGTGGGACAAGAGAGCTACTCACTAGGCTCATCGGGGGCAAAAGTGGCCAGGCCCACCAGCACTGAAATTGACAGGTAAGACGGACTGTTGTCGTTGCCCCTTTGCACTCACTCCTCCCCACAAGGGGCTGGCCATCGCTCCAGCCCATTCTGGCATGATCCCTGTTCCACAGAGCTGACGTCCAGAAAATGTCAGGGCTTGATTCCATGGGCTGCTAAGGTTGTGGCGTGCACCACATTGGCAGCAGGAAGTGCGGCGACGATGAGTTGGCATTCAGAGAACCCCTTTGGAAACGGTCGTGGAATCCCATTCTTCCAACCGGGGAGACTTCACGGAACCTTTAAAATGGGACACGGTCTATCTTAACAGCGATCCATGTGGACAACTCCCTAAGGCACGGGTCCTCCAACTACGGCCCGCAGGATGGATCCGGCCCGCCATAGCCTTCCATCCGGCCCGCGCCGCAGTTCTCCGCCTGCGCACGCACTTGCTGCGTGGGCGGGGAGGGGTGGCTCGCTCGCTCGGAGATGGTTTTGGGCTCGCTGGGAGATCTCCGAGCGAGCGAGCCACCTCCGCACGCACCCAATGCCACCTCGCGCGCCCCAGGCACCCCCACCTCACCGGCCTGTGACGGTCGCCGCAACCTTTCAACTGGCCCCCTATTCAAAAATTTTGAGGACCCCTGGCCTAAGGTTTTGTTGTTAGAAAAATTGGAGGATATGAAAGGCTTGTCATGTTCAGCAAGACAGGGCATGGTCATTTTTCTGAGAGAAGAAACTGCATGTTCTGATTGATCACCAGGTCCTTCTCAGGACACTGGAAATATTACATCTTCAATACACTTTCCAGCAGAGCTGTTTGTTGTTTCTCTGGCATCTAAAGCACTAATATCAGTTGACCAGGTCACTCGACTTGGTAACAGTAATAACTGATTCCAGTTTTACCTTTAAATTCATATATAGCAAGGGTGGCCACATGCTCCCAGAACTTGCTTTAAAAAGATGGCTGTTTTTCAGTGCCCACAGAGGGGGTTCTGCGTAGTGTGACGCAGTCCCAAAACTTCAAGCAATTGCTTCCCCTGGTAGATAGCCCACCGTATCCTGGAGACTCAGGGTAACAATACTTTTTAAAAATACATGTATCTACCATACCTCAAGACAGATTAAAAACATGTAGCATGCTAAGAGTCTGAAGCACCTCAGTGTCAGCCAAGGAACGTTGCCCTGCCCTTCTGAAGTTTGTACACGTTTGGGCTGGGTGGATCGCTTAGGAGGGGAATGCCATTGCCCTCAGCCCGTCGCTAAGAATGCCTTTTTTGGTTCGGTTCAAGCATTCTGGAAATGTGCCTTTTATGCTAAAGCAGGGTGGGGAACTTTTTTTTAAACAAGTTTTATTTGAAATTATAATCCTAAAAAACAAAAAAACTAAAAACAACATCCTTCATCAAAAATGTCGGGCCCACTGGTTCAGCCCCCACACCCTTCTTTTTCCATTTATGATAACTTAAAAACATATTTAAATCTATGCGAAGTCCCGTTTCTCTAGCCAATAATAAAAAGAGTCCCAAGTTTGATAGAAGTCAGTATCTTCCTTCTCCTTCAATGATAAAGTCAATCTATCCATTTCTGCACAGTCCAGGATCTTTTTTAGAATCAGTTCATCGGTGGGTGGTTCTTCACTTTTCCATTGTTGAGCAAATGCAATCCTCGCCGCAGTGATTACATGTAAAATCAAATACATTTCTTGCTTACTAATGTCCTCCGGTATAATACCTAATAAAAAAACTTCAGGTTTAAAAGCTAAGGATTTTTGTAACATTTCCTTGAGCCATTTATGTATTTTAATCCAATACTTTTTCATGTTATCGCAAGTCCCCCACATATGATGAAAAGTACCCAATTTATGTTTACATTTCCAACATCCATTTGACATATTTGGAAACATCTTAGCTAATCAATTTGGCAACAGATGCCATCTATAAAACATTTTATACAAGTTTTCTTTATACGAAGTTGCTAAAGTTACCTGAATATTTCTCTGCCATAGTTTTTGCCAGGTGGGGAACTTTTTTTAAGCCCAAGGCCTAAATTCCGCTTTGGGGAAGTTCCTAGGCCACACTCCGGTGCTGGACGAGGCCACAGGGAAAAGTAGGCAGTGCTGAAAAGCCCAGATCCCACTCCGAATTCAACTGTTAGCGTCGTACAGTAGGAAGCATGCCTACTCAGAAGCAAGCGTGGGCAACATGCCTGTTTGCAGTTAAGCAGGAAAAGCCTCAGCGTGATCACTCAGAAATAAGCAGGACTGAGGCACTTAGCCCTTTCGATAATATTTTTACTTGAAAATGAGCAGTGTATCAGAACCCAGCCTGTTCTAAACAACAGGACAAACAGTTTCCAGTTGCTTGCCTTCTGCTGTTCTCTGTTTGCTTAGCACTCCCAACATGTGGTGGACTAGACTATGATTTTGTCTGTTTAAGCACCACTTTAAACCATGGTTTATTTAGAGATTATGGCTAAATGTCTATAGTTAATCTTCTAAACATGGTGCGGTATGATCAGTGCATGAAGCATCCTTGTTGGCGCAATTATCTGCATAATGCTGAGGTTCACATGGAAATTTAACTAGTTTTTGTTGTGTGTACTGCTTAGTTCCTGTGCTTCTGGTTGACTTCTCTTTGAAGAATGAGAACGTGACTGCTTGTAACTTGTAAACGGTGCATCAACTGGATATGTAAATCAGCCTTTAAGTACTCCAGAAGCTAAAGAGAGATTTCTGATCTAGGCTAATTTGCCTAATAGAGTTTCCTATATCAGGTGCCTGTGATCTTTCTACTTTGAGGTGGCCTGAGGTGATGTTCATTCTGTCTTCTCTTCTGTTTCCTTGCCTCAGGAACTGAAGCTGCTTCATAAACTTTTCTGGTACAATTCTTTGGTCCTGGACTGTCTTAATTTCCTTGCATTAGCAAGCACAAATCAATCAAGCTTCCTTTAAAAAAAATTATCAGCTTCACACTTTGTCCAATCCACCTCCAGCAACCCATCTTACTGACTAGTCGAGGAGCAGAACTTCAATTATTTGCCATCTCTTTGTTCCAGGAATTACTTTATTACACAAGTGAACGAATCTCTCTTTCCTTCTGCAGATTTAGCCCTTCTGGGAGTGTGGTTACTGCAAATGAGCGGTACCGGTCAAAAAGCGAGTCTCCATGGCGGATGGATGAGCCCAAGCAGCCTAGTTCCCAGGTGGGTTCCCCTGCTGGGGCTTAACTTCTCTCATCGTCCAGAGAGATGTCTGCCAGTTGAACTTTGCCGGTGGGGATGAGATTGGCCTTCAGCATCAGGCCCTTCTCCCAGGTCCCCTGATCCACTGGAAGGGAGCTCTCATGGCAAGTCCAAGCCTCACTGGGAGCTGATCTCACCGGATGAGAGCCGCCTGCAGGGCTCTTCCATTTTCAGCTTGCCGTCCCCCTGCCCACTCAAGGGCTAGTCTGTAGCCTGCCACTTTTGATGGACCGAAGACTCGTTGGGCAACCTCCTGGTTGTCAGGACAGCACTAGGGCCCAGGGGCAGGCCCGATCAGACTCCTCCGCTTAGATGTTGAGGGCTGTAGCCCTACGTGTATAGCGGCAAGAACAAAAAGGGAGGCACCCTCTGATAGTTTATTGTGCCCAATATACTTTGAGAGAAGACTCTTGAAATATGTACAGTGATAATGGGGGTGGGAGAGCCGGTGTGGTGCAGCGGTTAAGAGCCTGGGACTGGGACTCCGGCGATCTGGGTTCTAGTCCCTGCTTGGCCATGGAGCCAACTGGGTGACTCTGGGCCAGTCACAGACTCTCAGCCCAGCCTACCTCGCAGGGTTGTTGTTGTGGGGATAAGATGGAGGAGGAGGAGGATGTAAGCTGTCTTGAGCCCTTTGTAGGAAAAAGGCAGGTGATAAATTTAAAAATAAATAAATAAAATCCATGGGAAGCAGAGCAGCAACTTCACTGTAAGTCTCTCACATAGAGAAGCCTCATGCATCATCATCATCATCATCATCACATTTCTGTGCCACCCATGAGCTGAAGCTGTCTGGGCAGTTTGCAACAATAATCACAGAATCATACCTTCAAGTCACCCATTCAGAGTCTAACCAGGCCTGACCCTGCTTAGCTTCCAAGAGGAGACAGAGTCGGGCACTTCAGGCTATACGGAAGCTGTTAAGAATGCAGGTAGACACACATCCTGCATATTGCAAGATCACTATAAAGACAGGGCTCTTTTCAGCCGTGTTCACCACAGGAAATAATGCGGAAACAGTTTACCACCCACAGCACTGTCCGCATGCTCTATTCCGTCTATGCCTTTCTGAGAAATTACGAGTTGCTCAAACTTTCTGAGCGCTTGAAATACATATAGGAGAATGACAGTAGTAAAATTTGCAAAGATTTGGTGCTTTCCCTGTATTATAAGGAAATTGATAGGAGACTGTACAGTTCAGCCTCTACAGGCCTCAATGAGGAAGTGGATTCTTGTTTTAATGTATTCTCTTTCAAGTGTTTGTAATGACCCAGTTAATGATCAGAGCTTTTAAACTGATGATGTCAAATACAAAAACGTTGCCCAGGTTCAGACAACATGACGGACCAACAGTTGTAAGAAACTACCATGGCTTGTTCTGTTGTCAGAACCAAGCTACTGTTGCATCTTATCGAGTTTTCCAAAAACCAGACTTAACCACTGTGGAATACCACAACTAGGTTTGGACAGCACAACAGACAGACCAAGAGTGGTTAAAAAAAAAACAGTGCCACCTCCATAGTTTGTTATGTTGTCTGATCTCAGCCACTGTGTAGTGTTCTGCTTTCTGTTATGTTCAAGATTTCTCCTTTCTCCAGATCTTTCTTCCCTACGTAGTCCTTTTCAATTCTCTGTTTCCCTGATTATTTAGATCCTTTGTAATGAAGACCTACAGGGGCGTTGTATCATAGGGTAAACAGTGTTATTTTTTTCATTCCATTTAGCATCATAAGCATGTGAAACTTGGAGCTTTAGTTTGTTAATTTCATTCCTGTATTAAATTTAATTAAATGGAGGCTTGAAGTTAAAGCCTCTGTTTAAGAACAATCTGCTGCCGCCACCCTTCTTTTGGGGAAGTGCACCAATTAAATTATTGATCTTTTACTCAGGATTGTTGAAGATTGCTCTAGTCTAGGTAGACTTCCCCAACCTGGTCCCTTCCAGATTTTTTGGACTTCAGCTTCCCTTCGCCCAAGGCAAGGATCAAGAATGCTCGGAACTGTAGTTCAAAACCTCTGGAGGTGAAGTCTGTGCTAGGCTTATTCAGCAATGATTGTGCAGCTTGGAAAACAGAACCCAGAAGGTTGCTTTTTTCTGCCAGGTGCAGTTTGTTATTTTAAGGAGGTCAGGACTGTGATCCCATACCTTGGAAGTAAGTCACATTGTGCCCGGTGGAGCTTACTTCTGGAGAGACACGTAAAGGATTTTGACATACGTTTCTTCCATATACATGTGACGTATGCTGCAGGGCATAGATGAGAAGTTCTGTGAGGGTTCTGGCAGAGTGATGTGCTGAATTTCTTAGTCATGTGGTGGATTATCCAGCTGCGACTGGACTTAGTGGGTGATGTTAGTCGCTGTTCTTTCTAGGGTTGTACAATTCAGTTTCATGTCTACTGCATTTAAGCTATTTTAATCAATTTTATCTCATGCTATAGGCTTAAATCATTCTGTTTGTATTGATTGTGTTAGATGTTTTAAACACTGATATTAAATATTTTAATATTTTTTACTTAAGAGCCTCCCGTAATCGGCCGACTTCCCGGGAACCAGGTTGCTTTCTTCCTTGGTTACTTTTTTGTGTTGCTGCCGTCCTGCCCTCTTAGCTAAGATGAGAAGACCAGGCAGCAGGTGGTCAGTATGCTAACAGCAGGTAGCCTAATGCCACAGTACCTGGTCGCCTTGGGAAGCCAGTGGCCAGAGCTAGTGCCTAATTGTGGATCCAGGGCCCCAAAATGTGTTTTGTGGCCTAGCGTTCCAGATGGCCCCAGGCAGGCCCCATCCAGTGGCGGCTTCATGGCTGCCGATCAAGCTGGACATGACAGTGTAAGTGATCGTCATACTCCACGCACCTGTCTGCTTTACCTGTAAGCTCCAGACCTGCAGGAGTTTTTCTTCTGTCTGAGGTTCTTGTTTGTTCTATGCTAGCAGGGCAGACACATGTCAAGCTCTCCTTTGGACCTGAGAGGGTCCGAAGCGCCAGGTGTGTCCATCTTTAGGTCCAGCGAATGGAATGACGAACAGGCTTGTTGATGCGTTTCCCTCTTCTCCTTAACGGTGCTGCTCCAGGTGGAAGAGTCCGCTATCCTCGGAGTGAGCGGCTATGTCGAATATCTCCGTGAACAGGAGGTGTCCGAGCGGTGGTTTCGCTACAACCCGCGTCTCACGTGTATCTACTGCGCCAAATCCTTCAACCAGAAGGGCAGCCTGGACCGGCACATGCGGCTGCACATGGGCATCACACCCTTTGTTTGCCGCATGTGCGGCAAGAAATACACCCGCAAGGATCAGCTGGAGTATCACATCCGCAAACACACGGGCAACAAGCCCTTTCACTGCCACGTCTGTGGGAAGAGCTTCCCCTTCCAGGCCATCCTCAACCAGCACTTTCGCAAGAACCACCCTGGCTGCGTGCCTCTAGAGGGGCCCCACAGCATCTCCCCAGAGACCACCGTCACGTCCAGAGGGCAGGCCGAAGAGGGGTCTCCGCTCCGGGAGGAAGCCGGCCTGGCTGGGGAGACCGCACAGGGCTCTGTGTCCACCACCGGCCCCGACTGAGGCGGCAGGGTGCCCAAGGAGTGAGGGGGACCCTCGCTGGCTGTAAGCAAGCCCCAACGCGACGGCGAGCTTCTGGCGTCGTTCGGGCCACACCGCTGCTGGACACGTGCTCCCGAGATGTTGCCAAAATAGAAAAGATAAGATAACAAAGTGCTAAAAGTTTTCCCCCTTTTTCTCTCTTCCTTGGGGAGTGGGAAACAAAAACTGGGTCAACTAACTTCTGATTCAGGGATTGACAGCTTTGGGGGGTTAGGAAAAATAATAATATTAATAATAATAATTCAGTAGCGATCAAGGAGGGGCAGCATTTTAATTTGGGTGGGGGGCTGTTGGGGTCTAACTGTGGCAAGTGCAGAGCACCAGCTGCTGTTCATCACAGTTGTGGTCTCCTCGCAGGGGTCATGGGGGCAAGGACTTGTTATTCTCCCTTTTGTGCCCCCCCCCCCCGGTCTCCCAGCTAATTGTTTCTTCAGAATAGCTGTCTTGGGAGAACCTACCTTGCCGGAGCGTATTTCATTTTATTCGATGTGTTTTTTAAATTGACCCGTTACTTAAGGGCTGTCGGGGGTGGGGACTTGCCCGTCTAAGATGCGCGGCCTTACCTGTTTGTTCTGAGGCTAGCAACCTGTTGAGCAGTATTTTAGAGGTGACACGATATTTAAGTAAATAAGCTACTGAAAAAGAGGGCAGTGGCTGCAAGGCTGTGCCATGTATGTGTGCGTGATATTTTCCTTTGCAAAAGGCGGACAGTGCGGATCGCTTTGCGGTTGCTGCTCAGTCTCTGGGCGTTGCAAAGACTGAAGAAGTGGGATGAGGTTTCCCGTTAAGACGGTGACTCTGCCCAGAGGCCATCCTTTGCCTCCCTTGCACTTGATCTAACAGCAATATTTGTATATCAAGATAGTCAGATCCCGACAGGGAAAGAAATCTGGTTTGTCTGTCTGTGAGTGTCTCCCTGTTTGGTATTTTTATATGAAAACATGCAAAAAAATTTACCTACATGAGTAATAATTTAGGAGAGACACATTTCTGGTTTCCTACAAGTGATGGTTAGTGCCCCCTCTTGTGTCAGATGTAGTATAAATGACGTTACTGGGGAGAGAAGGATGCCGGGTGCCGGTGAATATGCACCTGTCTGGGGTTCCCTAATAAGCCTTCTGTAAAGGAAAGGAAGCGGGTGTAGGAGAGAGAATCCCGCAGGCACATGCTTGAGGCTTGCAAAAGATGAGGCAGATTAAGCTCTGCTTTGGAGTTGGTCATATTGATGTGCAAAACAAAAACGCAAAGCCACAGGCTTGCCGCTGGTATAGTGCCAGTACCGCAGGTGGTACCGGACTCAAGAAATCGGCCAATGGGTCAAAAATAAGCTAACCGAGGAAAGAGGAGGCAGGGAGATGGCTGACATAAGAGGAGGAAGGAGCGGTCCTTGTAGGAAACCCGCTGGCTCTCTGCCAGGCCTGCCTGTTTAGGCCACAAGTTTTCCTGGTAGTAAAAATGAGGATATTTTCTTAAATTATGTTTGCCTGGAGAAATGCGTGAAAGCTGATTGTTGCGTAGCCCTGCGTGCACTTTTTGTGTGTTCATCCCACTTTCCCCTCATGACAAACTGCGTCCAGCTGCAGCTTCTCTTCGTGGCCACACAAAAGGAAACCGCCGAAACTGCTGACTTGTGACACCTGGAAGAGTTGGACAAGACCCTCCCAGGCACACGCATCTTCCGGATCAAAGTGGGGAGGGTGCTAGAGATGAGTAAGTGCTGCTTCCGTCAAAGCTTTCAAATCTACCAAAAAGAGACAATTTACACTAAAGAGCATCGGAAAATATTTCTACTTACTTATAACAAAGATTTTAAGCATTTAAAAATAGAATTTTAAATATTACCAAACTGTAAGGCCTACATATTATTTATCTGCACATACATATGATATATATATATAGTTATAATGGGAAAGTTTCTCAGCTGAGCTGGTGATGGCATAGTGATAGCTATCCCCAAAAGAGTTTCCTTCCAGATGGGATGAAACAGAATCCTTCCACGTTTAGGTGACAGAGAGCCGGAGGGGAACTTTGAGTTTGGTATTCACAGAGCGGTGAGTTTCTTAACCAAGATTTTATTACAGTGATACTGTGAAGAGAGGAGTAGCCAAGTAACTGAGAATCATGTCAGCAATTCCCTACTTGTTGATGGACTCCTCTTTATTTAGCCTGGCCAAATTCATTAAGCACTGCTTACTTCTTAGCCAGAAAAATTAAGCTTGTGAATGGTGTTTTTAATTGCCACTGTAGAAAGGTATTATTTTTAATTGCATGCAAAGGAGCCAATATTCTTGCCCAGATCTCATTAAAAGTGAGGTTTGCAGTTTGTAGCTAAAGTCACTGACCTCATTGTGACGGAAGGCTAAAGCAATGTTTAGCATTAGAGGAATAAGTCTTTGTGAGATCTGAGCTCTTGTATTCCCACTTCCTCCAAGCAGTCATAAGGAGTTTGGAAGTGTTGCTTTAATTTCTGATTAACCCGAAGCTGCTTGTGTTTAATCTTAAGGATAGCTTGTTGAAACAAGCCGACTGCAATCCGCACTTTATGGATCTGGCTTGTTTCAATAACCTGTAACCACAGTTAATTCAGCTATTGACCTAAACTGCTGTTAATTTAAGGGAAGTAGACGCTCCCACGCAGGGCAGGACATGCGTGCTCACGTGCTTTGCTTTCAGGGGGTTTGCTCCCTTTGGGCTAAACCACCATTTAGCATTAGGTCTGAGTGCAGCCACTGTATGGAAGGGAGCGGGGGGGGGGGGTTTGTGTTTGTGCAAAGGACTAAAACTGATCTTTGTCGGTTGTCAGATCCCGTCTTTTCGCAAAATTAGGGCACTGCCAAAATATTCTGGGCCTCAGGCTTTTTCAAAGAGCAAGTTCTCAAACTGGATGGTAAGAGAAATTGCTGAGAATGTGCATAGTCCACAGATCCCTTCGGAGCTTGAATGGAATAGACCTTTGAGTATGTGGGGATATCGTGAAACTAAAGGAGTGACCCTTCTGCTCTCGCAGAGCTCTTGTTCCTCTTATTCCTATTTCCTTTGAACACCTTTTTCTTCTTGGGTCATCCTATTTTCCTGTTTTCCTGATCTGTGACCCAGTAAAATAGAATGAGATATTAGAAATCTTGCAAACAAAAAATTGCACTAAAGTTGTAGAGCTAAAATAAAAAATAGGAGTGGAACACAGGCAACTTCCTGTGTTTGTCTAATTCCCCCCTTGAACAACTGTCAGCATCCTGGCAATTTAGCAAGTCACATGACTGTAGCCCTCCCTGGACTACAGTCATGTCCAGCCCTCCCTGGACCCTTGCAGGGGCCCCTTCCAAGCTGGAACCAGGCCTGACATATGCTGCAGATTTTCTCTGCACCGTCTGTGCATCTTTGCAAGTGAACTGTCTTTGCAAGTAAAAATGGTCTGCAGTCAACCCATTATGGATGGGGTCCTTTGCTGGTCAGGATCTGAGACTTAAGGAAGGGTGGCCAGAGGGTGACCCACCCGTGTCCTGGGTGGCTCGTGGCTCGGGAGGGACCTCAGTGGACATGAGAGGGCTGCAGCATGTGCCGGGAAACAAAGAAACAAACCAGACCGCTGTGCTCCTTGGCGTTGCCTGAACGCTTTTCTTCTTCCGCTGGAGACTCTGAGAAGCGTGTTCACATTCGAACACTCGCTCGATCCTTTCATTTCTGAATTGCTTCTTGGGTCGCAGGCCTTTTCAGACTGCAAATGGCTGGCAGGATTGCGTGGCCTGGGGCATGGGAAATAACTTTTGGGACTGCTTTTGTAAACGCATTTCCCCCGCTGCCCCAGACAGTCGTCCGTTGCAGCCACTTTTGTGCCATGTTGAAAATGTTTGTCCTTGTGCGTGCGGCCAGGTTTGAACGAAGGCGGCAAGTGCAGGTTCCTGATGTGGATGGAATGTGCCAGTCCTTTCTGTGCAACTTTTTCCCTCCTGTGGAACAGTGGCTTGTGTGCGAGGTTTCCTGTCCAGGGCCGTAGCTTCACCTCGATTCCACTGGTGGCCCGTTTTGTCATCCGTAGCATTTGCGTAGCCAAGTGCAGCGTAATCGGGGCAGCGACGCTGCAATCCCAGCCACAAGGCAGTTCAGACGACTGTCGGTTTCTGCTCAGATTCTGCGGTCCAGATGAGCTGGCCACCTGCTGCTCTGTTCGGTGCTCTTTTCACGCTTGCAAAACTGTGATTTCCACTGTGATCCAAAGGGGAAGTGAATCAAAACCCCTTCATAACATAATACCTCATTGGTGAATGGCCCAGTTAAAATTTCCTTGCAGTGAATAACTTGCCTTCAGTGAAACTCAGTAAAAACTAAACTTAGCTGGATTGGGCCAGTGTGTCCCCCCTCAGTTTCAGAGAATGCTAAGCTGATTGCTTGCCTGCGGTAAGTTCTTGAGAGGGGAAGGATGGGTGTCGTAGCCCTAAGCTTGCAAAAAGAAGGAACCCTTCAAAATGTGAAGTGCTGCAATGGCCCACTTGAGTCTCTCGCTACGCGTGAATCTTGCCAAAAGCAACAGCATGAAATCGGCATGTCCTGAACCGTGTTGTGGCTGCTCGGGAAACCGCTCGCTGCTTAGCTGAAGACACAAAGATGACATTTAGACTAGACCCCGTGTGTATACGCCATGGAGCAAATGCCATGGAACTCAGTTGGATTTCTTTCTTATCAAGTATGCCTAAGATTGAAGTGTAGGAGATCAGAGGAAACTGGAAGAGCTGACATTTTGTTAGTGTGCACACCTGACGTTCAGGTACGTCTTGTGGAAATGTGTTTTGCAGGATGCTGCTGCTCTAGAGGTGATGGCAGGCTATATTGCAGCGCTCCGTCTGTCATCGGAAAGTGTCCTGAAGATTTGTTCTGCAGCAGACGTTGCCCAGATTGGTTTTCTTCTGTGTGTGCACTTACTGTTTTCCTTTGCCGAAATGTGCATGGACAGTTGCCTTGATCAGGTACAGATGGGTCATTCTGTGAGTGGAACAGCTGCTTCTGCTCGCAGGATGAACTGGGATGGAGCAGAGGCTGCTGCCTGAGAAAAAGGGGGAGTGGTCAACTTTGCTGGTTCCCCTACAAACTCTACAACACCTGTGGTTCTGTCCCCCTCCAGACCAGCTTTTCGGGAGGCTCAAAGGGCTACGGGGTGAAGGAGGAATCTCGAAGGCGGTGTCTTTCCCCTCTGCCCTCCTCTTCCCCTCCTCTTCTGCATCCAGCCCCAAACCTATTAATCAGAATTTTACTGTATTCCAGATAAGTCCACACAATTGTCGGTTTCAGTCCATTATATCCTGCTGTGAACGTCACAGATTCCCCAGGTGCTGTGTTGGCTTCTTGAGGCTTAACATTATGTCCATGGAATGAAGACATTCCATGCAGATCACACAGATCAGTGAGGACTGTGCCAGCCTTGCTTCCAGTGCCTTCAAAGAAAGCCTAGAGCTGATCAGAGGCGGAGTACGGAAGAGCAGTGTTGCTGCGTGAGTGGCCATTGGCCGGTGCCAACGAGAAGTCGCTCGATGGTGAGCAGGTGCACCGCAGGCTCGCCGCAAGGACACGCTGCATCACAGCGGCCTGCCAGACAATTCTGACAGTTCCAGTTGGGGCCGGAATGGCTTTTGTTACCGCCACTTGCCTTGTGTGGCTGGTCTAAAACTGCTGTATTTGGCCAGGATGAGGCCCAGGCAGAACTGTGCTGACACGGGGCAGAAGTGCAGAGTCGGCTGCGTGCGTTGTTCTTGGGCCTTTCCTTCGGCCTCGTTGAACTGATGGCCCGGCAGTCCTGCCTATGGCCGGGCGGCATTTCTGGGCTGCCAGTCGTCCTCTGAAAGCGGCTGGCACAGGGAGCTCGTTGTGAGCGACAGCAAAAGAGGAAAGCGGCAGCGCCGGTTGTGCTTTCAGCACAGGAGGTCTGCTTAGCTCAGAGCTCTGTGTGGCCCCTGTGTGCGTCCAGATCCCCAGGTGGGCAGAGCTAGGATCGTCTTCGGGATGTCGGAGTTCGCTGTTTGTGTAGTGGCGGATTCCCGGTGGTCTTTGCATGGGAAGCAGGCTTAGCCAGGATTGTGATGTGGGGCTTTCCTAAAACTGGGCTGGGAAGCCTTGCACAAGCAGAGCCCTTCCTTCCTCTCATTTTCCCCTCATGTCTTTCCTTTCTTTACTACCCAATAGCCTAAGTGCTGGGAGGAGTTCCCAAAAATTACAGAATGAAAATACAGCACAGCTTGGGCATCATATGATAACTTTCATAGTCAAAGAGCATATAAAGCAGCTACAGAACACAAGAAATCAGCTGATGTTTTCTCTGCAGGCGGTGGTGAGGTTGGCCCCAGGCCATTTTGCCAAGAGGGCGTTCCATGCCTGGGCTCCCATCACAGGGGCCTTCTTCCTTGCTGCCGTCCTCAGAGAAGGTGTGGTGGAGGGTCTCCAGCATGCAAGCAGATTCATACTAGGAGAGGAACTCCATGAGGCACTGAGGTCCCAAGCTGTGTAAGGCTTCAAAGGTTGGATCCAGGCAAGAATCGGTCCAGGCAAAGGTTAGATCCAGGCGAGTCGGCAAGAATCGGTGGCACATGCTTGGACCTCCTCGTTCTGTCGGTCGATCTGCCTTTTGCCCAAGTTGCAGCTTGCAGACTCTCCATGTAGAAGACATGCCATCTTGAAGCTTGGAAGTCATGTGAGCATAGACTGCCAGCACCAAGGGGCCCCTGTCCAGATCAGGGAGGCCACTCAAAGCTGGCAGAAGGCGCTCCACGTCACAAGGCCACCTGGGCTTCACGGGATGGAGGTGGCTCCAGGAGGCCCCTCGAGCTTTTGATGTGCTTCTTCCATCCAAAACAGGTTGACCTCATGGGCAGACCCTGGCGCCATCCCTATGGGCAGGTGCACATTTAGTCATAGTTACCAGAATATGAATAGAAATAGGTGCACCTCACCAGGGTGGGTGAAACTGGCCAGCTGGTCATGCTGATACGTCTCTGTCTAGGTCAGGGGTCCTCAAACTTTTTCAGTAGGGGACCAGTTGAAAGGCGGCGGTGACCAGCGCAGGCCAGTGCGGCGGGGGTGCCTGGGCGCACGGGCCGGTGAGGTGTGTCGGGTGCGCGCGGCGGCTCGCTCGCTCACTCGCTCGGAGATCTCGCAGCAAGTCCAAAACCATCTCCGAGCGAGCAAGCCACCGCCTCCCCGCCCGGATTAATGGGCATGGCAGGCCGTTGTTTGAGGACCCATGGTCTAGCTCAATAGTGGATAACTGGTCAGTGCACCCTCTTCATGGTTCTTTATCCCTCAACCAAATTAGGACTGGAATGGTCTTCATATGCAAATTTTCTTTTGAATGGGATCGTCCTCTGACCATTCTTCAAATAGAGGACTGTCCTCTGTAAGTTAGGGCACCTGGCCACCCTGTGGAATAGAGCTGCCCCTGTTTTGTGTCTGTTGAGGTCCTTTCGTTAAACGATTAGGCACTGCAAGAACAGAGCCGAAGTTGGTAGCGACATGAGCTTTCGGGTCATACAGAATTCTTCATAAATTGGGAGCTTTTACTATGCAAGAATTTGAAGTTAAAAAAAGTTTATTTGGCTGGAGGGGGCAGATGGGAAGGGAGGGGGGTTATTTCTGTGTTGTTTTAATGTACTTGTTCTCACTTTTAGTACAGCCAATGGAATTGGCATGTCCCATTCTAAAAATTCAGAACTTGCCAAACCCAGGAGAGTAGCATCTTCCGGCCAAACCCGTGAGCACTTGTATTCTAAAGATTGTGCCTGTGTGTGATGAACAAAGTCTTTGTTTAGCCACTGAATGATACAACTGAAAAAAATCTAATGAATTTGTAGCCTGGAATTTAGAAACTTGGGCAACTTCCCGTTGGCTTGGGTTGAGGGGGAACCTGGAAGCTTCCAGATCAGTCCTAGACCTGATAGAGGAGCCGTGTGCTGTTAGTACACACTGCACTGTGATACTTTAACATAAATGGGTTAAAATTTGGTTTTCCGCAAAGCTGCTTCCAGTATTACATGTCATGGATAGAAGCTTCTCTGACGTCTTTAGAGATGCACCCACACCTTGCCATTACGGAGTCTGTTGTGAGAGTGCCAGGAATGTGGATGGAGGGGTGTGTTTGCGCTTGAGAGGATGAAGTCTTGCGCCCGCGATTAATAGGTATACCATACCTAGCGTGTTCAGATGTTGAAAAGCATGGCTAAGACAACTTGTGGATAAGGTTTTATTGGTAATGAAGTAAAACATGGGTCTTGAGCATGAAGACCATTTGAGATTATGCACCGCATCTTTTATTTTATTTTATTTTATTTTATTTTATTTTATTTTATTTTATTTTATTTTATTTTCATCTTACACAGAAAAAGCTTTTGTATTATTTCAGTGAAGTATCTGTGCCCCAGAATAAAATGGATGTGGGCTCTTTTATTACAGAGGACTTCAGTTCACTTGCTTGTTCCAAATCCGAATTTGCTTGGAGAAACTGGTACTTTGGGGTAGGAGGCAAGTTGGCAAGAGTCGTATGGTGAAAGGAGCAGGCAGAGGCGTGCAAGGAGAAGGCATGTGACTGGGAGCCATAGCAGGGGAAAGAGCCTCCAGCGGTCAGGGCAAAGAGGGGCCCATCTGCCTGCACATTTGCAAGAACACGGATGTGCTAGAGAGCTTTTCCAGAGCAGGCGTAACGCCCAACTTCGCTCATCAGCCTTTTCCGGTAGCGGCCAGCCAGGTCTCTCTGGAACCAAGCATCAGCACCCCTTCCCTGCTGCCTGGCCTCCGTCCAGCACAGTCTCAGAATACGTAGGTTAACTGTCCTAGTAGCCACTGACAAACCTGCTTTCATTGCTCCCCGTTTTTGTCTTTTTAAAGGCAGTAGCCATTGCTGCATCTTGGATCAGTGAATTCTGTCCATCACTTACGAAAGACGTCCTTGCATACAAGTTGGCTTGCTAGAACAGATCAAGGCCCGTACAGAGTGGCGCAACTCTCAGGGCAAAAGATGTGGATTAAAAACCAAAACAAAACACTGGGATGCTGATGTTTCTATGCCATGTACCATATTCCTGAGACCCATGCTTGCAAAGGAGGTATTTGTACCAACGTATATCATTTACATACAGCTATATCTATATATAATAAACTGGAAAGCATCTTGACTGCCAAAAGCATCCCTGAATTATGTGAGAGCAGGTTCTCAATGTGAACTTTTTAACAGTCTGTCCCTATGAAAGCCAAGCTTGCTTGGAGTCCAAACCCCCGGGGTAATTTTTCTAGTAAACAAATACTTTCCAGCCACAAGATCGTAACACTGCCACTGTAACAACAGACTGGCCAGCCTATCTGGGCACATAGATAATGTCTAGGAGTAATTTGAAGACAGATGTTGGTTCCCAGCAGTTGCTGTGCAACGTGGAAATTAGCTTCTCTATGTTCCAGGGGGAGCCGAATATATTGGCAGGATTTGAAAGTATGCTCTGTCTTGGTGCATTCAAGCTTCTCTGCACGAGGATTGTGTTCAGCCAGGGGAGGCCTCCGCTGAATGCACCCAGCTTCCTCTAGTCTGAGCTGGGATGCAGCTGCAGAGCAGCTTTTTCCAGGTCACATGAATCCCATGAAATTGCTGGCCATTTTTCATGGTGTTTTGAACTGTTGGGGAGAGCTGGGAGTAACGTGCCTTTGCAGAAGTGGCATGAAATGCTTGCAAACCCCTCCCCGAAAAAGCTGGTTCTGTCACTGAAAGGATGACAGAATGAAAGATGCCTGACAATCAGTGACACGTGGGTGGAGTGGATCTGACGCAATCCCTGCATCCCTGTTTGGGCCCCTTCGTGCAGGCCGGGGAGAGAAGGGCTCCATTCCCATCCCGATTTGGCTCCTGCGCCCTGTGGACCAGCTGTGTCCGGTCGCTCCCTTGCCACCCTCCCTTCTTTGCAGAGTGCTCTGAGGGAAGACGCCTCTGGACTGCCCTGCAGGCAAGGTGGGATTTCCAAGTGGCTCTTTTTTCTCAAGATCCTTCGGCTGCGTTTCCACCTCTTTGCACGCGTCCGCCGCGTCCTTTTTGGTGCTTCGCATGGCAATTCCCCGCTCTGGCGGGAAGAGCATCTTCTGTGCCGGCAGGCACCCCCCTGAGCGGCTTTTGCCCAGTGCTTGTTGGACGGGCGCCTTGCCTCCCAGCCCATCTTGTCCATTCTGAGTAGGTTTGCATCCACCTCATGTTTTCTTTTTGGGGCTGCTCTCGTGACGTTCTGTTGTGTCCTTGGGTGGGCCCCTTCTGGGCTTGTGCCAGGCAGCCCCCTTCCTGGTCCTCCCACTCGCTTTTACGCGGGGACCCAGCCTTGAAGCCCCTTTTGTCTGACGTGGGTGCATGCATATGGCACGGGCAGCAACCTGATTATACGTGGAACCGTGTTTCTGCTGGCACTAACCGAAAAGGAAGCTCCAGAGCTGCAGCCGCCACTATGTCTATGGGTGATGGCCTAGTCCTTCGTCCTTGGTGTTTCCTTCCTGCAGCTTTGGGAATCAGCGGTGGGGCTTTGGGTTCCATCGGATGCTTCCAGTCACCAAGTGCCGTGAAGCGTGAGCTGGCTGCCGAGTGTGCCGTTTGGCAAAAGACAACCCATCTTCCTCCCCGCTCTTGTGGCAGAAGGCTGCCAGCACGCTCAGCGCCCAGCCGCAAGGCCTGCCAGCCTGTCTGGGACCTGCTTGCAAGCCAGTTCAGGTCCCCGGAAGCAACTTCTGTGCCAAAGGACACAAATGCTTTGTGCTTTGCCTTGGCGCACAATTCTGCTTTGGGTCCCCAAATGTGGTGTGGGTGGGTGCTGCCCAAATGGCAGAGCGGGCCGGACTTCACATCAGCATCGCTGAACCTGCGGGGACCTGCTTGAGCCATTCGTATCGGGGGCCCCAGCCACACAGCCCAGAGGCTCTGGTTCCAGCGGAACCCCTGAGCCCGGCTCGAGCACTGAGGTCCAATTGCATCATGCCAAACGGACAGAGGCGTGGGTTCCTTTTGCCAGTAGCTCTGCAGTGTATTTATATTTGTATTTATTCATTCAGTGTGTCCGTATATTGGGTGGGATCCAGATTCACCCACAGTTAGAGCAGGCCCATTGAAATCAGCTCAGCTTTAGGCCTGTCTAACTTAATGCCATTGCTTTCCAGAGCTTTCCTCTAAGTGTGACTAGATCTGGGTGTCTGCAGGGGAAGATAGGGGCATGAAGTATTTATGGGACTGTTCAGCATCACCTCTCCTCGCCCTCCATTCAAGGAAAGCAGAGAAAGATGCAAAGCGGCAAAGAAATTGCTCGCTTCTGCAGCAATCAAACAAGCAATTCCTATTTTCTTTTCCACCCCTGCAGTAAATTCTTACTTTCCATTTGTTTAATGAGCATTGCTGCAAAAACAAAATAACAGCATATTTATCACAGTGTTTCACTGCTGATCTTAGTGAGGTATCACAAGGAGAGAGGCATTTAATATTGTTACTGTGATTTCCTCATGTAGCTTGCTTAGCTATCCTGCTGATGCAAGCTGTGTCCACTGGAACCATAGAATCATAGAAGAGTAGAGCTGGAAGGGGCCGTGAAGGCCATCGAGTCCACCCCGCTGCTGCACCAGCTCACACCGCCCCACTCAGGCGGCATCCAGATGCCTTCTCATGTCTTCAGCAAGGGAGGCCCCATGAGTCCCCCAGGTTGGCCTGAGGGGTGCGGCCATTTTTTATTTTGGAGCAGGAGGGTGCAGGTCAGGGACGCCCAGGTCATTGCTGGCACGCCACACAACCAGTCCGTGGCCCCACAGCTCCTTGCCCGGCACTGACGCGAGTCCCTCTGCTTGTATTCCAAGGGGACAGCAGATGTTGTGATTCCATGTCACCTGGAACAAGAGGGAGTTTGCATCTGCTGGTCCAGGCACTTAACTTGGCAACACCCCTTCTTCTCGGCACTTAATTGGCTTAAGCGATCAAGTTTCCATATGTTGCTCTCAGATTACTGCAGGGCTGTACACTT